AGTTTAAAATCCGTACTATAGAAAGTATAAACTATCCACAGTAAAGGACTGGCTATTTTTCGAAGTTTTACGCGTAAAAAAAATCAAACACTATGCCAAGAACTGCACGATACATAGAGAACATCTGATCTGTCGAACCTTAGAAAGACCACGCTTACAATTGGTGTTGAATGATGTGCATTGCAATCAGGTAAGGGGAAGCTCGCTTACCGATGCTAAAACTACTGCCAGTCCAAGGTAGCAAGCCCAGTCCAGTACGTATATTCAATAATTAAAAAGTGCGAACAAGTTGAGCAGGTAAAATTACGGTACAATATAGCTATCAGACAACTTATAGGATTGATCACGAAGAACTACATTAAGTCTGTGAATGGTACCTTGTTACCCTCTCATATACCATTTCTGGCACTCTACTTGGTTTGTGGGTGTCTGTTAGTGCCCAGTATACAACACAATAAGTATGTTCATGTTTCCTAGATGGTAGTTAATCAGTGTTACTGTGTGAATACTGAGAAGTCTTGTTAATATTTAGGTTTCTCAATAATTGTTGTTATAAGACGCTACGAACCCTAATGTGGATATGTTTGAAAGCTAGTGTTCCACTGATATTTTACTCGATGTGGTGTCTTCACCGCTTGTCATTATTGTAGCCAATATAGTATCGGGCCACTGGGCCTTGATATGTAGGCACATATGATAGATCTCCTTTTGCCAAAGTCGTACAGCTTGTGCTAGTAATTCTGCGCTTGACAATAGGGAGTTGAGTGGACTTGATCGGAATTAACATCCAATTCCACAGTCATCACAACATCCGTGAGCAACTCCATATGTTCCGTCACGGCACAATTTCTGTTAAGACCCGTCTTGAGTCAGTCCGCTTTTGAAAAGTCGTTTTCAGGTAATAGGTACTAGCTTACCCCAAATTCTCCAGCGCATCCATCCTATTCAAATCTCTTGTCAGCTTAGGATTCCCACACGGAGAAGAACAGGGCTACTTATAGTCTATCCATTACCATTATGGAAAAAGATTTACGGTGTGTCTCGATGTTGAAAATCGTATGATCAACAAACTATCCCATTCTCCTAAGCAAGGAGCATGTTCTACTAGAAGATCAGGACAATTCCACTCTATTGAAGCTGGAGTGCTGCACAATACCTATCCCAAAGATACATACAAACCGTACTATTCATATGCTACTAATATTCTACTAGATATAATATCTTCACCGCTTATCATTATTGTAGCTAATATATTATCTGCATACAAGTGTGTTAGAGCTGCTATCTGAGGGCAGGGGTATTTCGGCAATAAATGAAAACATAGACAGTAGATTACGGGTAGAATAGTCTAGCGCTTTTAGTTGTTGCAGGACACGGCAAACGCATTTTATATGACGTATGAAAATAGGGTAACGGCCGCCAGTTTCAAGGCTATTTTGCTTGTCCATGATGTATCGAGAGGCTTTTACAGTGAGTAGTGCTGCATTTCGCTAGAATTGTACGACTTTGCGTCTCCTAAGGGTTGTTGATGGTAAATATCTTGGTAGGAAAATGCTCTTCATCTTTCTTAGTTGCTATGGAGCTGGCTGGGCCGCAGATCTCATGGTCACTGACAAATAAATAGAGGCTGAATCAGAAATCTACGAATCTAAAGATTACCGAGCCCAGTCCGAGTGATCTCTGATTCACTGCATCAGATCTCACTTACTAGCGTCCGAGATATGGATCGCCCCACATGCAATAGGACACTTGATTTGGAAATCACCCTCAGAATTGAACTGCAACCAGAGTGCATCATCATACTATGTGTGCAAGCTAGTGGCCAGTCCCATGGAAACATATCAAGGAGACTGGCCCCTAAATTGACCCGACAGGAGGCTTAGGCAAACCCTTGCTGGTGTTGGAGAAAAACTCCAGCAACACTCGGCTCTGTTCATGTACTTTTTGACACCTTTTATTAATTACCTGCGTACACTTCACGAGTGCTCCCAGGAAGAAATTTGCCAAGGTGTTTGGTAAAAGCCTCGTGGTACCCATCAAAGTCCCCAGAAATGCAGAAGTGATCGTGCGCCTCCACCTCTAGTCCTTGACTCCTTGCAGATCGGGCCCTGTCTCGGAGGGGACCATGCTAGACGGTCCATGCATAGCCCACTTACGCCACAGCATGAGATCTGCAAGATACATGACTTTCTCCGTAATGCATGCAGCATTATGTATAGTGACATTCTCACCGTATTTCACTGTTTTCAGGCTGCCTCAAGCTGAACAATTCTGATGCCAGATCAGGTTAAGATCTCCTGGTAGATTTCTCGAATACTACGCACGCCGACTTTTTGTCAGTACATGACCCAATCTGGTATCAGAATAGGACCTAGATTCTTCAGCTTGATTGAGTCTTCGAAGACTAAATGGCGGTGAAAAAGCAATGTAATGTATTGTTATGAAGAAAAGGCGGAATGTCGGACCAATGCGACCCTAGCTTAGGAGACACACATCCTATCCCTTACTTGGCTCAGCCGTAGTATTCATAATATTAATATTCTTGGTATATATATGGACCCTCTGCTGTATAATAATTCTATCAACAAAATCTCAGTCTCCGGCCTTTTCCCAAATTCGTCTTTTAAACTATCTTTTACCCTTGTGACAGCTCGAACGAAGTCTTTCGGCAATATGAAGCTTCTTGCTATCCTTTCTACAGTTATGTTTACTGCTGTTGCAATAGCAGGACCCATACAATTTGATGGTGAAATTGAAAAAAGACAAGTAAGGATATAAGCTTGTTCTTGCTTCAGAGATAATATATGGGTCAAGGCTGATAGATGGATACTGATAGGATGTACGTTTTTAATTCCTTCCTGCGTCACAGATAATATATGGATATCTAGGCTGATAGCTGAATATGGATAGATTGTATGTGCTTAACTCCTTCCTGTTTCAGCGATAGTATAAGATTCCAGGCTAACAGCTGAATTTGGATAGGTTGTATGTGTTTAATGTCTTCCTGCTTCAGAGAGATAATATAGGGATTCAGACTGACAGAGACGGGATATGGATAGAATGTATGTGCTTAGCTTGTTCCTGTTCCAGAGATAATACAAGAATCTAGGCTAACAGAGATGAGAAATGGGCAGGATGTATGTCAATCTCTTCCTACTTGAGGGATAATATGATGATATTCAGGCTGACAGCTGAATTTGGATAGTTTGTATGTGTTTAATCTCTTCCTGCCTCAGAGATAATATAGGGATTTAGACTGACAGAGATGGGATATGGATAGGAAGTATGTCAATCTCTTCCTAATTGAGGGACAATGTGATGATATTCAGGCTGACAGTTGAATTTGGTCAGATTGTATGTGTTTAACCCCATTCTACCCCTGAGAAAATATAAGAATTTAGACTAATAGAGATTGGATATGGATAGGCTGTATGTGTTTAACCCCTTTCTACTCCAGAGAAAATATAAGAACTTAGACTAACAGAGATTGGATATGGATAGGATGTATGTCTCTATCCCCTTTTTATTTTAGAGATAATATAAGAATTTAAACTGACAAAGATTGGATATATATAGATTGTATGTATTTGACCCTTTTCTATTTCAGAGATAATATAAAAATCTGGGCTAATTAAGATGAGATATATATAGCTTGTATGTGTTTAACCCCTTTCTATTCTAAAGAAAATATAAGAATTTAGACTAACAGCGATTGGATATGGATAGAATGTAAGTCTTTATCCGCTTTCTGTTTCAGAGATAATATAAAGATTTAGACTGACAGAGATTGGATATGGATAGCGTGTATGTTATTCGACCCCTTCCTACTGAGAAAATATAAGAATTTAAACTGACAGAGATTGAATAAATATAGATTGTATGTGTTTCACCCCTTCCTATTCCAGAGAAAATATAAAGATTTAAACTGACAGAGATTGGATATATATAGTTTGTATGTATTTGACTCCTTTCTATCCCAGAAAAAAAAATATAAAGATTTAAACTAATAGAGATTGGATATGGATAGCCTGTATGTGTTTGACCTCTTCCTGCTCCAGAGAAAATATAAGGCTTTGAACTAATAGAGATTGGATATGGATAGCAAGTATGTCAACCTTTTCCTACTTGAGGGATAATATGATGATATTTAGGCTAACAGCTGAATATGGATAGGGTGTATGTCAACCCCTTCCTGCTCCAGAGAAAGTATAAGGATTTAGACTGACAGAGATGGGATATATATAGCTTGTATGTGTTTGATCCCTTCCTGCTTTAGAGATAATATAAGGATATCTAAGCTAACAGAGGTGTATTACAAATAGATTGTACGTGCTGACTCCCTTGATTCCATTTCTACTGGAGGGATAACTTGAGAATATTTAGACTGACAGAGATGAATATGGATAGCCTGTATATTTTCAGTTCCTTCCTACTTGAGGGATGAGACATACTAACTGCATCAAGTCAACACTTCATGTGTGATGTACATGGTACTACAGTATCAGCAAGGCCTCATCGAGGTAAGAACCGTGGTCACACTAAGGCTGTTTAGTGATATATGATATATTGATTTACTAGTATATCCGAATTACGCTGGTGAACAGATCGCGAAGTCATTCGGCTTTCAGATTGGATATCGTTCTTTTTTTGCCTTGGTTCAGGTTTTCCCTATTTAGTTAGGTTTCCCTCCACCGTTATGCAAATGCAAAGGCTTCTTCTATAATACTTCTTCTACTGTAGTTGCTCTATATAACGCCGGTAAATACGACCATAGGGTGTGGAGAAAAGGGCGTCTGGGTGCATTTTCCGTACATACGAGGCCACTGTTCTATTGGGCCACGTTACATTCAGGCTAGCCGCCCAGTCCTGCATTAACCAAACCCGTTTAAGTATATCGACCGGTAAAATGAAATGAGTCTAAAGAGGGGTCGAAGATACGACGTATTTAATATAAATCGTATACTGGTGGCCAACTTAAACCTAGGTTGCACTCAGTTAATATGCCATTGCGATCGATTTCGGAGGAAATAAACCCCCACAAATTTCGAGTGGTCATTGTCGGCGGCTCGATTGCTGGCCTGACTCTTGCCCATGCTTTAGCTGCCTACAGCATTGACTTTGTCGTTCTAGAGGCCCGCGAGGAAATCGCTCCAAATGTTGGCGCAAGTATTGGCTTCACCGGGAACTCCCCCCGGATCCTGGACCAACTTGGTGTGTGGGATGAACTCGCGGAACTCGCGACCCCTATAATCAATAACTATGCTTGGAACGATAAAGGCCATCTGCTTGGATACACAGGAGCCTTCAAGCTATCTCAAGTTCGGTCGGTCCTATTCTCCCCTCGCTTTGTGGTGTACACTGTTGCTAAGTACATGGTAGCCATGGATACCAGGTCATTTTCCTTATGCGACAACAAGTACTGGACGTGCTCTGGAATAGGTTGCCAGACAAGAGCCGTGTTCTAACTGGTAAAAAGGTGGTTAAGATGCAGCAGACCTCCACAGAAGCGACTGTGCACTGCCTCGATGGGTCTACCTATACGGGTGATATCGTCGTTGGCGCCGATGGCGTGCACAGTATCATTCATCAAGAGATGTGTCGACACATGGAAATGATGCAGCTGGGTGATTCATTGCTATCTGAAGATAAGAGTATTTGCAATGATTGATGATATCCTGCTTCAATGGTTTCTAACAGTAAATCTAGGGATGGTCACGCAATATCGCGGTGTCTTTGGTATTTCAAACTCGGTTGCAGGGATCAGAGAAGGAGAGATGCACAATGTCTTTGTAAAGGGGGCTTCTATCCTTACTATTGGCTGCAAGGACCATGTGTTTTGGATCGTTGGAGTCAAGATGGAACGAACATACTACGCTCCAGAAGCTGTTCGTTTCGATCAGTCGCAACTGGAAAATGACCTTGCTTTTTTGATGAGCAAATACGTTTGCGCAGGAGTTCAGTTTAAGGAGGTATATCAACGAACTATTAGATGCAGCCATCTACCTCTTGAAGAAGGTATATTTGAGCGATGGAATTGTGGAAGGGTGGCTTGTATAGGGGATTCGGTCCACAAGGTACGATTATTCAGCGTATTTGATATGCATTCAATTAGGTTTTTCTGCTAACCCGATGTAAGATGACTCCAAATCTCGGCCAAGGAGGATCTTGCGCTATAGAAGACGCCGCAACCTTGGCCAACGCAATAATAGATATTGTGGAAAGCCCAGAAAAACAGCAGCTTCCAAATATCGAAAGCAGATTGGACTCCTGGGCAACTGTTAGCAAACCCAGAATGAGGCTTATATGTACACTATCAGAGATGGTGATTCGGATGCAATCGCTAGATAATGTGGTCTATAAGATTACTGGCCCAATCTTTTCCAAATACTATATGGACGCTTTTGCAGATCTCATATCGGACATGGGTGTGGGTGGAGAATGTATATCGTTTCTACCTCTACCCAAACGTCAAAGCACCGGGACAATGCCATTTGGGAAGCGACATTATATCGGTGCCCCGATTATACCATCCGGCCGTCTATTTTGGACCATCCCGCTTATGATTTGCTTCTCCTTGAGCATTATTATGTCTCCCGGAAAGGCCCCAGCTTCGAGCCCCTGGGACGTTTATTCTGCGTTTTCAGATCTGGGAATTTTCCAGGCCATCTGGGCCATGGAGAGCGCAAGGTTTTGCAACGCCATAACTTTTATGAGCTGGTAAGTCTTCTTCGCCTAATCTTATAGGGATGCTGAAAAGCTAATCTCAACATCACGCCCAGTTGTCTTCCAATGTCTCTACTAGCCCACTCAAGCATGGGGTTATGGAGAACAGCGCCGGCTTACTTTACATTCTACTATGTGTTCTCTGCATCAAAACGTCTCATTCCTGACAGCCGTCCTATACGATTATCATATGCCAAGTCGATGATCCCCGCGCTGATAGTTGGCTTCTACGTACCTTCACTATGGGCTCGGACCTCACAATGGTCTTCGCTTCAGCTACTCCTTATACCAGTTATCTTTAGCCTCTTACATCGTTTCCTGGCCAGTTATGTACAGGATACGACTGTTGATGACAGAATAGAACGTCCGACAGCTGATTTGCCATGGATCAGGGCATCATGTACTTTGACCATTTTAATTTCGGCCGGCGTTTCCGTATGCAGGCATTTTGCGGTTCCTGGGCAGGATAGACTAGCCCACTCGCTGTCTTTGGAAGCGACTTTAAACGCCCAGACAATCGGTATTGGCAGCGCAGTGGCCTGGGTTATCTTGGAGTTGAAAGATGTGAGCGCAGAAAAGAAGCTACGTTTACCTTGGTTATACATATTTTTGGCTCTGCCTTTATGCCTCATCCTAGTCGGACCAGCAGCCACGTTTGCTTTGGGATGGGGTCTGAGAGAGGAAATCCTGGCTAGAGATTATAGAGAGAAAGCGTCGACACATTCCGTCGCCTCTAGAGAACATGTCAGGTGAGGTGGTTTTCGTATAGATATCTGAGAAGATCCGTGGATTTTGTTCTCTTGGCAGGAGTTTGCCAGTGCAACCAAATATGTTGTGTGTGATTGAATGGCTTTGTTAACTGAATCACATAAAGTAAGATGGAAACAGGCCCAAGATCACAATGATTTAATAGTGCGTTAAACCAGGGGTGATTGTGCAGAACCTTCTAGGTTACTTGTAGATGTGAGCCTATTTCGAAATCTCTAGGTGAAACAGAGCTTCTTTTACTGTATGCCAATACGTATCTCTTAGTAAATGATTTCCACGGTCCCACAGTGGTGAGACGGAAGCTGGCGTTATGCATGGTGGGCCCCCTTCTCTAAGATCTTTTCGCCAACATGCAACAAGGACGGGATAGCTGGCTCCGTGTCGTGAGGAATATGGACTTCTTCTACGGCTTCGAAACGTTCCACCTGGATGACCATAACGAGCGGGTTCATCGGGCGACTTGAGTGTTAGAGCTGCTGCTTGGGCGGTACAATCACTGAAGTATGCCGGATCGCCACCCCTGTTTGGCGAGACAATAGAAGTTTATATATAAGTTGCATGGATAGTACGTCTCACCGTACAAGTGGTATTCAATTTACGCTTTTAGACAAGGATGACCTTGGTGTTGAAGCTCGCCTCTAGCAGCATGAATACGTCGTGGTGGAAAGGAGGGAAAGAGGTATATTTTAGCCGTAGTATGCTAAAGGGCTGGCGAACCCCAAATTATAGCGAAGAGCATGCATACCGGTGGGGCGGTTTGCAGTAGGTTGGCGAGGAGTAGGTAGCTGTCAGCGTGAGCCTCGACTCCCCTCCGATTCCCATTCACATTCATCGCAGCTACGCTTACAAACAAGACCAAGGAAGAAGTTTGGTACCATAGCTATGATCATATACCTAGGCGCGCATGACTGTAGTGACAGTGGTTGATACAATATCTTCACAAGTAAGAGACAACGAATAACAAACACAGCGTGTGATGTAATGCCCAAGCTACCCCGATGAAACAAGTTCTCCTCCCATCATCGAAATCCATATCGGTCGTTCAGGCCCGAAACACAGCCCGAAATCGGAGGTGGAGAGGTCGGTCGAGATGGTCGAGGCGCCTGTTCGATGGGGATGTAGCGGTTGGACATTGTACGATTTAATGCTGCCAAAATCAAGTTAGTCAGGCTGACGGTGGTCAAAGATACACTGGACTCACGCTGCAAGAGGAACAAGAGCAGCTAGAGCAGTTTCCACTGCAGCAGTTACAAGCACAGGGAGACATTCTGAGGGTAGATATGAAAAGGTGGTTTGGTTGATAGAAGGATTGAAGGTTTGTGATGAGGGTTGAGGAGCTTGGCTTGATGATGGCGGATGGACTGAACCAGACAGGCATGGCATGGAGGTCCTATTTATACATTGCTGGGCTGTCATGGAGAGGACCGGGGCGTGTTGATTTCATTGTCTAATGATCGAGTTCCGCGTGAACCGCTGAGAAAAACGGGTTAATCCCGCTCGGATCCCTCATCGTAATCTCTATATTCGACTCATGACTTGGTTCGCATCGGTTTGTGGAGAGGGGGCCTGTGGTGAAGCTCGGAGGTCTTGAGTCTTAGCGAGGCTAGACACTGGACTGGACCTGAAACCCAGATGCTGCTTCTCCACATGGGCAGATGCTAAAGAAAAGAAGGCAACAAGGACGCGCTACCCGCCATATTTGCCTGGCATGGGCCCTTGATGGAGACACTAGGTGAAAGTGGGTGGTACGCCTTGTCTCTCCTTCATCATGGAGACATGTCGTACAGGCCGATCACAATGTAGCAGAAAGGTCTGAAATGAAGGCCAAAAAAAGCAGAAAGAAGTTCCAAAGCATTGTCGCTGCGTGAGCGTCGAGCAGTTTTATATTATACCCAGAGCGTGAAAATGAGAACCTTGAGGCCAGGAGAGAACCTTGGGAGCACATATCTGCCCCTTACTGATACTTGGCCCTTCTTCGCAATTTGACGACTCGGGATATCTCCTCTAGTCATCTTCCTATCACTAATTCGATGGCCGAGAGGAATTAATTATGATAACCGGACTGATCTACAGCGGTTGTAAAACTCTGACTTCATGCCGATTCCATGATGCCTGGCATTATTCTATTTTCATTACGTGTTCCTCTCTCACTAATCTCAAGGGAGAAAAAAGCAAAAAGGACCAAGCTCGCTTATAGAGTACGGTATTTATAATTTTCTTCTTACACATTACCACTCCCTACCAGGATCCTACAGAGGACTGTATACTCTATGCCCACAAAGGCTTAGTATCGTCAGCGTCCTAAACCAAAGTAGTGTCGACTTTGCCGTCTATCAGACAAGCGAGATGAGCAGGGTATCCGACGAAAGGCAATACAGCTGACTCCTGTTAGCTCGGGGCCGGTGCATACAGGCCCACCGAACTATCCCGTAGTTGCAGGAACCACAAAATTGGAGGAGAAAATTGATCATGGCTGGTTATGGTGACGATCAGACATTGCCATATCACTGGATACACAGCATAGCCTTCCTTGGAAGGAGTAAATGCTGATAGACAGTGACCAGCCAAGCAATATCCCAATTCGCGGGGCTTCGTACTAGGCTGACTGCCAGGTTAGGTCATCTAGTTGCCTTGTTTTCTTTCTTCTTTTAGCGAGATACGCCCTCAATCAACCCCATAGGCCATACTTAGCCTTTTGTCTGAGGCTTGGCAGTACAGTAGTTTATCAATTACCAGATGGTATGTGTAATCGCCACACTGGTACGTGTCAGGTTTGTTTTCCAGCTCCACTGGTCCGAAATCGTGCCAGTGGTAGAATATTTCTATCAAATTAAGTTACTGTGATTGGTGGTCTATTCACTTCTGCGATTCAGGAAGGTTGCTAGAGCCAACATGTGTTCGAAATTCTCTGAATCAATTCTAGTTCTTTGCCAACGAGCAGACCGTTGTGGAATATGACCTCGGAGATCCCATACGTCAATAGAATAGCTGTGAAAGTCATGTCGACTCCAAAGACCACGCACCAGTTGGAGTTTGAGTACAGGGTCTATAACGCTAGAGGATTTAGAGTTAGCGTATTTGATGTAGGATAGAAAATAAAACAACGACTATTCCACAGGAGAAATGCTAGCAAATAGTGAGGGTCGTTCTATTTGCCATGATGCCCACCATACTATAAATGGCTTTATAAGCGCAACTCTATCAAGGGACTCTAGTTACCTATATTTGCTGTATAGAAATATAGGTAAAATGCTTCTTTCACAGCTGAGATTATCTCTATTTTCTATAATATATGCCTAGATTCCAAGCACAATTCTGACAATTACGAAGGACCTAGTTAATTCCCTCTCTATATATAAATAGTCAGAATATGTTGACTTCCATCGCCATGATGACGTACGAAACAACTAAGAAAATAATATTTGGCGTCGATCGAGCTATTTTACCTTTAGATGCTGACAACTACTTATGGTCCCACTCACCGTTATGCAAAGGACTCAGGTTCTCTATAATACATCTTATTCTACTGTAAAGTTTGTGTAGATCGCCACACCGCTAATAAGTCAAATCCAGATGCTCAGTATTCACATCATAAGTCGCACATTCCTACACTACCAGCTGATAAAGTCTATGAAGAAAATAGAGAGCTTGTCTGATTGAACTATCCCATAAAATTTGACTTTGCATCTTCCATTTGGGGTGCGATAGAGCTATCCTGGAACAAGTGTATAAACTACAATAATGAAGGCCCATGTAATCGTGATTCTCAAAGCCAACGCTCAAGAGTTCGAGTTGTCAGCGCATGACCACGCAGAAGAACCTGAAGCCGCCTTGTTAGAAGCAATGATATTGACACTGGAGCCGTAAGTTCCAGCAACCATAAGAAAAGACCCACAGATAACGGTGAGGATGCTCCAAGATGAAAGTAGAATCCATTTGAGGGTTGGTTGCTCTCTGCCGTTTTTCCAGTTATCATATAGCCACATGCATCCCATTGGCTGGAAGGACATGAAAGTCCCCAGCAAGGCGCCGATGAGGGAAACCAGATCGCCAAAGATGGGGATCGCACTGGCAATGATGTAAGATAAAACTGTAGTGGCGAAGGTGCAGCTCAACCATGTTGCCCAGTGTTTGAAAGAGTTGGCCGTGAGATGTTCAGACCCTCGTAGTATGCGGACGAAGATATATTTGCTTGAAAACTATACTTGGTCAAAAGAAAGAAGTCGAGATTCACCATTTATATCACTCACATGCAGGACGATGATTGTGCTGACTACCAGGCCAGGAAGTGCGCCATATGCCACCTTCTTGATCAATATACCGGCAGATCTAAGGGCTGGTGATGCAACGTATGAGCCGCAATAGTAATAAATGACGATACCAATAGAGACGTATATTGAAGTTACAGCAGATTGGCAGATAAGTAGGGATCTTGTGTAATTCGAGGGATTGCGCATTTCTGCCGCAATGGGAAAGAATCCTAATTTGCAATTATCAGCGCATGGAATTTTAATATTGGAACATAGCATTTTCATTCGCAGAAACCAATGGCCGCCCATGGTAGCTTCGTCACTTGGTCTACCTCGAGGAGAGAAAATATAGGGTAGACTGACCAGGAGTACCAGAGTACGCAAAGACAATGGACGAGACTGCAGTAATTGCCTGGGTGAACGATAGATTGCCAACAAGCTTGTAGTCCGATACCCAGGGTCCGTCGCCCTTGGGCGCTGTTGGAGGCCCATCCTGGAGACCGACTGCGATCGTGGCCATCATAACTAGAGATCCTTGAGTATGTACTTGGAGGCAGGTTACAATGGTCACGCGTTCAAGGTCGCTCCTGCTATCGGCTGCGTGGTAGCAGAGCTCGCTATTGACGGAAAGACGACTGACGATATCTCGAAATTCCTGTACCGACTCCGGCGGGCTCTAGTAAACTATAGTTGAATGGCGTGTACTGCTAGTTGTTGATAGGTATATTGATAATGTTAGCTTCGATCGTTCAGAGTAAAAGGTTTTATAATATTATAAGTAGTACATCCCACTCCACAATCACGGGTTCTTATCGATTTCTGCCCGCAGACATCCTGTTTTATTCCCAAGTATTTAGGATCCCTGTACGTTTACATAAGACATCAGTATAAATGCTGAGAAATAGATGTATTCTATATATTTCTCTATAAAGTGTAGCTATTAAAAACAAAATTGACGGAGAATGAGCTGTACACTATATGTAATAGATTGTATTATGACCCCTAAACCTAGGCACGACTGTAGCCCCTAAACCAAGCTTAGTAAAAGGACAGTACGTTAGCGGAAGCTATTTTAGCGGAGACAATATATACCAATGAGGAGAGCCGTTGTTGCGGAGTGGCCGCTATGAGCCCCCATCGATAGCACCAAGCGTTGTGGGGATGGACCGAGTATAGCCTAGGGAAACAAATAGTACAAACACTACGGCGAACCATAGAGACCAGATATGTAGGCCACGGCTACGGGCTGCGACGATCTCTCTCAGACGTCAGTTACTTGGGACTCATCGGGATTTCAGGCATTCATCATAGTGGGTCAAACAAAATTTACAAAATGGGGGCCATAAACTTAGGTATAAGTTCACTCCTGACGCTCACCATCAATTACTGCGACAACCACTATGGAAGCTAATCATTTGAAGTCACCACACATGCAAAAGTAAGTCGCACCGAATGGACCAAGACTGCGCCCCACTAACACCGCTCAGTATGTTCCCCACGTTGCCAATGGATTGTTGGATAGCCATCACGGACTTTTTAAGGCCGGGTGACATCGTGTCACTTTCTGCAGTATGCAGAGACCTGCATATATCTCTTCGTCCCTTGGTTTATAATAGGGTCTCTTGGGAATGGGAATCAGTGCCCGTTGAACGCATCCTCCAACTGCTGCGAACTGTCCTGCAGAATCCAGAACTAGCCCTGTTAATACATCATATCACTATTATGTCTCCCCCAAGAAACGCCCTTCTGCACGACTGGAATCAAGCCAAGGTGAAACCTGAGATTATGAAGGACGCGACCGTTTGTTTTGCGGACGTAGTGGAGCTTGCCCAGACACTGGTTAAGAACGCTGAATTTCCCGACGCATCAAAGTGGAATGAAGCTCTTGGGGATGGCAATCCTTATGCCTTTGTCGCCATTTTGCTCTCCCAGCTACACGATTTAAAATCTCTTCGACTGGACTATTCCTTTGTCTGGAAGCTGGGATTTCCAGGGCTAATGATGAAACATGCCCTTTTCTCCGCCCCCGAAGGCCTGCTATCAAGATTTACCCACCTTAGCATAGTGGATTATGGCAGCAATGTGCCCATCGCTGAGGAGTTTGATGGTCTATATAATGATTTTGATACCACAGCCGGCTACCCTCTGTGTGACCCTGATCAATTTATGGCATGGTTTTACTTACCAGCCATTCAATCCTTATCAATCTGGCTACGGAGCTTTCAGGATGTTATTGCTGATTATAACAGCCAGCAGGCTAATCTCGGCCAGCTGCAGACACTTGTTCTTGCTCGTACAACAATTACAGATGATGAAGTACAAGACATACTGGCCCAAATGGCCTCTCTGAAAATGCTCCATTTAGGCCTAGCATATCGATGGCATGATGAGATAATCCTGGAAGTTCCAGATTTTATCATTGAAGGCCTGGAGTCTGTTAGTCAGACTGTGGAAACACTATCCTTAGGGCTAGAGTATTACCCATACAACGAGGGGTATTATTCTTTTGACTGCCAAGATGAATACTCAAGAGAACAATTCCAAGGATTTTTACAGAAATTTCCCCGTCTACGCTCTGCAGAGGTCCCGATTACCCTCCTGGCAGGAATGAATACGGACAATACTGTTAATATTGGGAGCTTCTTGCCACCTACACTGGAAGAACTGTGTCTTCACTGGGACTGTGAAGAAGTGCTTCGGGGGTTGTCAGAATCGGAGTTTTATGACTGTGTGTGGCGTTTGCTGGATGACCTGCACTCACATTCTCCTAACCTCAAGCGGATCATGATCCGGCAGATGGTGTGCTCTCCAGCTACAAGGGAGAAACGCACGAAAGAGCATGCAAAGCTACAGGTAGCATATGCTCAGGCTGGAATTGAGCTTCAGGCGGTCTTTGACTATCTATCTCCCGGCCTGTGGACACAAGACGGCTATGTATGATGGAAAATAGATATCATGGCAGTGGTTAAGATACATCTTTTTCTTGTTCCTAGGCTTATTTAGGTTCATGGTTGATATTGTCGTAAGATTACTTGATCCTAAACATACAAGGCTTCTTCAAAGTTGCGGACGGTTATATTAATAAGGCTAACATCACAAGATAGAGTAAGAAACAAGTTTTCCAACATCTTCAAATCCCACTATATGTAACGCCGCCCCACCACCAACCGATCCTCTCTCACGCCATTACAAACTGTTGAGTTGTTCTAGGAACCAACATCTGGGTGACAGGCCTACTTCCACGTCCCGCAACACCTGGATCCCCATGAGGATGACCTCTCTGCCTCATCCCGGTCCCACTACACAGTCCATATACTGCTTTAGGCTTGCCAGGTTACCTCCCTCTTTCCTTGGTTTTTCTTCTTCTTGTCCTCTGCTTCTTTCTTCTTCTTGGCCTCTGCTTCTTTCTTCTTCTTGGCCTCTGCCTCCTTCTTCTTCTTATCCTCTGCCTCCTTCTTCTTCTTATCCTCGGCCTCCTTCTTCTTCTTATCCTCGGCCTCCTTCTTCTTCTTGTCCTCGGCCTCCTTCTTCTTCTTGTCCTCGGCCTCCTTCTTCTTCTTACCCTCGGCCTCCTTCTTCTTCTTATCTTCGGCCTCCTTCTTTCTCCTCTCCTCTGCCTCTTTCTTTCTTTGCTCCTTTGCTTTCGCCGCTTCCTTATTCTTTTCCTCCTCTTCCTTTTTTAACGTGTCTCTAATCTCAGCAACCTCTTTTTGAAGCGCCGGAGTCATAAGCGCTTGTTGAGAATGCTTGGCAATGCCGGGGATGTTCTCTTTTTTGTCTTCTGGGGTTTTGGTATCAATAACCTTGAAGCCCATCTTACTGCAAAAGGCGTCACATCCCCATACCTTGTCCCCAGTGCCGCAGGGATCATAAGCTTGGTTTTTGGTCTTGTCCTGTATCCAGGCAATGACCCGGGCGTTTTGGCCTTGTAGTTTCGCTCCGTGGTTCTTCAGCAGATAAGTATAGCTGGCCATTACTTCTCCACAGGAGGCGTCGTTCTTATGCTGATCGTTTTCCCTTGGGGGTTCCTTCGCCGTTCCGAGAGCAGTTTTAATCTCCTGGGGCACATGGGCTCGAACTTCTCCGGTACCTGCTTTTTTCCCCTTCTTGGGTTTCGCATTGTATTCGTAGATAAAGGAATAGTCGCCCTTCATAGACGAAGCCAGGTAGACTTCATCACCGACAAGGAGGGCGGACATAACGGATGGCTGTAACTTGGCATTGGTCTTCTTGTAGTTTTCATCCGCATGCATCTGATCGCTGGCGTGATGCACAAGTGCAATCATTTGACTATCCGTGATTACTTCCTTCGCTTCTTTGTCCTTGTTCAGCTTGATAACTGAGCTCCAAACCCATTGACGATCACCATCCTTTTCATTTCCCCCTGTCTTGTGCTCCCCCAGCCTGACCGACATGTCTTGCTTGATACCGAGATCCGGGGCACTCAGCTCGGCAAGTGCCAAAGCGAACAGCACAAATAGAAGCGTCAGCACTTTGTGCGTTATCATGCTGGCGGTGTGTCGTCGACTCAACGACTATTAACTAAAGAAAATAGATGTATATATAAAGAGTGTATAAGATAGGTGTTTCCAAAGAGTGACAGGTTGTAGTGAATGAAAGAATGACAGTTGGATGGTCCTCTCTCTATAGGCAGAGATGGCGGTATTTAACTTGTTCATTTCGACGGATGTGTGTCCTGTAGTTGACTGTACTGCGTGGGCTCGATACGTAAACCATCTCAGATGAATCCAAAACCGCCCCCAGATATCAGGTTCTTGGCCTCAAGAAGAAGTGGAATGCGTAGATATTTCTCCACTAAGTGATCTCGCCATAATTCTATCAGACCTATCAGCGAGATGCAAACATTCTATTCAGCTGCCCGCCCCCGTTCACAGCCATGCCGATCCAATTGTCATGGCGTAGAAGAGCACCATTCTAGGTACCAAGATGTTGATCGCTGAGCCTCTGTCAACCGCCAAGCTCGTCTCCCAAGTAGGGCCTTCCTTCGTCTCTACATAGAGAAATTTCTCGCCCCCAACGGAAGCAAGTGAACTTCCGGATGTGGAGTTCTACGAGTTGTTAGTGGGCTTGGTATGTCCCTGATGCCTTTAGCACGGTATGCCAACGATATTGACAGACAATCCTTACTATTTAAGGTCCCAGTACGCTTTGAACAAGTACTATTATATCTAAGCGAATGTATGCATAACTGAACATCTTTTTCTTTTTCAGGTTAGGAGGCCAGTATTGAATAAGATTAAAATGCGTCGCTTGCATCTATAGCTAAAAATATAATTGGAAAATGGGTTTGAAGCGATGGAAAAGCTGTACATCGAGAGGGAGTGTTTGGTCTTCATATAGGCCGTCTACTATAGTGATAAGAGCGCATTGTTATCATTTATGCTTAATTGATTACTTATGGTTCAGGTTAGAGCATCTGTGATATTCCCCTAACTTTATCTACTACGCGCTGGGAGTGTTTTGTTCTGCATAACTAGATCCATCGATCTAGATAAGAATACACAGTAAGTTTTATTTTTGACAGGGGGGTAATCTGCTAATACTATGTCCAGGCAGTGTTGAAGGTCGGTACTGCCGACTCGGTGTACTCGGTAGTCCTCTTGGCTTGTCGGTAGTTGCCGATGCTTCGGCACGAACCGAGGGAAACCGGGAAGATTGATAGTGATCGGCATCGCTGGACCTTTACACTAAAGGACAGTTTGGCATAACTATGGCAATTGAATTACGTGAATACACTTTGTTACCAATTCATTCCGCTGCTAAATAGTCACCATCCCGGACTGGCCCCCTTCTGTTTCTCGCAGGATTCCTTGGCAGTGGACAACACGCAAAGACTTACATATATCGGCGGTCCCTTTTACTTATTGTGCGTGTCCCTGCATTAGTCTACCCAGCTATTATGCCGCCTCTTCAAGTTGCTGCAGGTAATATTGTAACCCCCTGAATTGGAATCTTACATACAGCACGTTAGTCTACCGCTGAATCAGATGACTGCGCGGATGCCCCACTGGGCTAGCTCTCGTCGGTAATTACTAGCTATATAGTTTCAGGGATGGATGGCCTGTCTGTGTTGTTGGAGCTCGCTGCGCGATGAGACAGCTCTGCTCCCTCGGTTGCTGGCATCTGCAGTACGCACCATGTGCCGCTTGGCTCGAGGTACATTTATCACACTCAGCCTCCTCCCTGAACCCCCTGTTATCGAGTCTTGTCATTTACGAATTGGAGAGAGACAGGTAGTACTCACTATCATCCAGCCTGTCACGCTGTTTCTCCTGAAGTACCACCAGCGCCATAAACGGCCGCGAAACAGCTGCTTTATCTCTTCTAAAGTCTCTATCCTAGTCTCAAAGGGTAGAAGAATTAGATAGATAGCTAAAATCAGATGGCATTTGAAAAAGGAAGCAGAGGGGTGTGAATTCAATATCTTCAAAACGATCCGCAAGCAACGTGCCGAGTTAACGACCTTGGAGAGTACGCATTGAATACTAACTCGTGCTGCTCATGCTTGTAGTAGTTTCTACTGCATGGCCAAGTTCTTTGGGAACGGTATTGTCATCGGTGAGGGGATGTAGGCAACCCATTGACTATTGGAACTAACTACTTGGGATTTTTCTAACGAGTATATGGCCACACGTGATCCGGCGAAAGAGGATCTCTCTTAGGTCTTTTACGTCAGAATGGCTGATACTGTTCAAAAACAACTACTAGGCCATGTTGGGTTTCCTTGGATACTTATGTGTCGAGAAAATGAGACGAGCCTTTCAAGCCACAAGTCACTGGCATTAAATGGATATTGATCAACCTTCCCATTTGTCACGCGAACAAGTCCTAGGAAATTGTGAGATTTTTGTATGAAAATAAACCTTCAGCGTGCATTGCACTGTTTTGCGAATAAACGGTATTTCGATATCGTAGTTTCTTTACTGCTCACTATACAGTTATGGAATGCTGGCGCTTTTGTAGTCATTGTTAGCATTATGCTCACTATATGTTCTCTATTTCTATAGACTCGTGGTACCTAGGGGGAAAGTATAGAAACTACGACTACATAGGCATAGACAATGGTGGAGTTTCCATAAGCACGAAAAGCGTTGGCGTGTTAATAAACTGTTAGGTTTCCGGTGTTTGAAACAGATGAGTTCTGTATTTCTTGGGTAGATAGTAATGATAATACTCTTGTAATAAGAATTGTGCTAGCTTTTCTTTAAGCAATCTATTAATAATCTTTATGCTAAGTTACGATTAATAGATTTATAGGAAAATATAGCCCAGTTGAATTCTATCTCTATTAAGGAGTTAATACATAATATAGCCTGGCTGGCAGAATCTACTATAATCCAAAAGTATTATATAGATCCCCATAATAGATAGTTGTCCAGACTTAGACAGCTTGTATAGTTTCAATAAAAGCTTTATTCTAAGAACCGGATAGCGCACCAAAAGGTAATATAAAATCTGATTCCCATCCCTCTATCCAGTCTCGTAACACAGCTAAACTCACAATATAATGGCTTTGAGCTTGAGAAGAGTGCTGCCCTCATGGAGACTTAAAGCATGCTATTATCCGCGCTATCCTACATCGGGAAAACCCTTTTTATATCTATTCAAGCTGTCAAGCTTCTGTATAGTAAATGCGTTAGCCTCAGGGTTGTTAAACTCTACCCCGATACCGCCTATCTCGGAGGGCACAAGTGCTGGTTCATTTGGTGGAGGAAAGGCTGGGTATACACTTTGTGCCAGAGTCAATACTCGCGCTAGTCACACACACAATGTCGAAGAAAAGGGCAGAAGCATAAAGAACCCAGAGTGAGGAAATCATTCACCAAAGATATGAAGCCCGCTGGGAATCAAATATGATATCAGTGTAGACCCTAGTGTACAGCTAATCCATCTGGCCCAGTACGTAGCCGTATATTAGCTATAGAATATCTCGATTCTCTTAGGGTCTGGATAAAGACGAACGCACTTGCAAACTACCTATAGTTAAGCTAGTTACTCGGTTACCTAATAACCGTTTGAAAAGGGGGTATACATACATGTAACATGTGTGTGACAGCGACAAGCAACCCCGGTAACGGAAGACCGTAGCAGATCCTGTCCAGCAGTGGGCGCGCCGAGCAGGTGATATGGCCTTGCGACTAATAGGGAGTCAGCTCTTGTGCCATGTGAAGGTAACGACTGAATTCCGTCTGCAGGAGCGTCCCGATACGCTAGTCATTGGTCGATTCTCTGGTAAACATGCCGTAATTGAGATACGTTCAGGAACATCGGTCTACTTCAACAAAATCGATCCAGCCGTGTACTTTGTGGGCGAGCGTTGTCTAGGTAAATTCCCTGTTGCATATCAAATCGATAGTGCAACTTGCCTCTCCCTTGTCCTAATCTAAAAAAATATGCATGTCAGCCTATCACAAGTTTCTTATACCTCCCTGATCAGTTTTAAAGATAACGCGCATTCCTCTGACGGTCCTCCCTCTTTGAAGTAACAATAAACATCCTTTCGCTGTCTGTAGCAACATTGCAAGCGATGTCTATAACTACAATACAGAGACTCCTCACAGCCGCCAGAGGATGATCAGCTTCGCAGCCAACTGGTTCAAGCACTTTCCCGTGCCCTGATGGCAGTCGAACTTTGGATACCGTACACTGCCTCTCCTTCGTGGTAGGTGCCTTTTTAGACCGCCTTTAGTCTTTTCTCTGACATGAACGATAGCCTTGCAGCTGGCCATGGCAAAGATCGCCATCGATCTGAACCTCTTAGAGGCTCTAGTCTCGCACGGACGGTCGATGAGCGTGCAGGAACTAGCTCAGGCAACGGAGGCCCAGGATGTGCTGTTTGGCCGTATCCTTCGTTATCTTGCTGCCTAAGTCTTTATTGCTGCAACGAGCGTCGACCACTTCGAGGCGACACCCATCGCGCAGGCGCTCACTGTGCCCGGGCTTGCAGCGGGGACCAAACACCAGTTCAGCGCACCTCATTCGATTCCTGCAATGCACAACTAACCTACGTCTAGCTTTGACATCCAGCTCCCCATGTGAGCGGCTCTATCGGCTTTTCTTGCACTCTTTGACTGATCCATGACTCATGTGAGGTTCTTTTCAGAGTTCAGCGCGTGGATGGTGGCGCAGCGCAACGGCGAGCCGACCTGGCTGGATGTATTCCAGTGGAGCGGCTTGTCGTGAAAACGGTCCCCCGCCTTAGCGCCGCCACTATTAGTGGATGTTGGAGGCACCGTGGGGCAGTAGTGCGTGGCACTCGTGGAACGAGTACCCCAGCTGGTTGGCGGGTCGTGGTCGAGGACCTCGCTCCAGTAATCGCCAGGCTCTGCCGCGCCCCCATGTCGAGCGCCTTGCCCACGACTTCTGTATGCCGCAACCGGTCAGCCGTCAACTACCCCGGCGAGTAGTGTGTATCGCGGTGATGGCGTGCTTGGCGGTTCAGGAACGTGTGGGAACATCTCTTTAGCTCCGCGGATCGGTATCTGGCCGAGGTTCTACCATACGTGAGACCGTGAGGGCACAACGTGATGGTGATCAGACCGTCGGCCAATCCTGCCGCCTAACACTAGTTAGATACTAGTAAATAGCACTAATGCATGCCCGCTGCGGCTGACTGTTGTTACTCCCACATACAGGAGCTGAGGCCCCGAAAATCCTCCCGCGACAGACGGAAAGCTTAGCGTGTATGAAAGATACGTACTCGCAAACGTGCCTCGAAGATATAGAAGTGGAACTCCGTTAGATAATCTTAGATTGGCTTGTTTTATTAACACGAATCTAAATTTATATGAAGGAGCCTCGCATCTCATAACAGCCACCTTCAACCTCACACCATACTCAGTATGTTGCATTTTGTGACTTGCGTAATCTACTGTACAGGCAATCTATCTTAGTGCTTCTTTAGTGGTGGTGGCGCTAGGGGCAGTTAGGGCTGACAGGTTCCCAACTCCGCACTTCGACCCTCCCAACCGACTTAGTCGATCTGTCCCATGGTGATATTACCGGAGATCACCCAATAGTTCCCTGTCCATCACTCACCCCTCACCTCGCTTCTATATCGCAATACACTAGTGCTGACCGCAGTGCCTCAGCAGCCCCGGCAAAAGCTGAATTCCAGTGTTACATCCAAGAATTTGTGTAATTATCGGACCACCAATGGCATCGGTCGATCGTATGGTTGAAAACATCCCCAGCTGCGACAGCGGACGAGAAGGGAAAGGAGGGATTGAACCGTTGTACAGACCGACAAAGGGCGATGGCGCATTATAAAATGTGTTTAAAAAATAGCCATCACCTCCACTAATTCTTCGGTTCAGACAGTTGACCCTGAGTTATTCCTTCATCTTCATACATAATGGCTGAGACCGTTGCCGACCTGACAGCCGCTGTCAACGCAGCCCTGTCCAAGCTCTCTCCCACTGATGATATTCCTGACCCAGCTCGTCTCCAGCTCCTCGAGGCATTGGACAAATTGCGTGGGGTCGTCGAGCCCCCTATCCAGTCCCTTCTGAATATCTGCTGGGCGGTAAGACAAGGCCTGCAGTGGCCGGGAAAGAAGTCTTGATCGAGGGAATCATTCGCTGACCCAACCCCCCGCGGGCTTGTCGCAGGCCCATCCCCTGGTTGCCATCCGAACGGCGATTGGGATGGGAGTTTTCGATGCGTTTGCCGCTGCCGGCGGTGCTGAGTTGACTGTCGACGAGTTGAACGAAAAGACCAAGGGCGACAAGGACCTGCTGGGTAAGAGAATTTTCTCTCCTTCTAAATAATTGGCAATGACCTGGGACGTCTTTGATTGATCAATCGCCCTTTTTCCGTCTTACAGTTCGGATTATGCGGCTTCTGAGCGCCAATCGCCTCTTTACTGAAACCGGGGGGGATAAATACCTGCCCCAGCCCTTAGCACTAGGCTTCGCGACCGGCGCTCCGCCCAGTGAGGTAATCAAAAATTTGTAGGTGGTTTCTAGTCCCCATCTTTTTTCTGGGAGTGCGGGTTGTCGAGTAGGCGAAAGAAATAGCGAGTGTTACTAACTGATTTGATTACCATTCGACTAGCCACATGGTATTGCGGGCCACAGCGTACACGCACGAATTTTTGGAAGCCAGAGGGTACCAGAGCCCAGATGACGCGTACGACACCCCCTTCCAGCGGGCGTACGGCACCAAGCTACACCACTTTGAGTGGCTGGCACAGCACCCAGAGGAGCAGCATGCCTTCAACACGGTGATGGAGACTGGGAACCGGGCGGTGGAGGGTGAGCAATGGTACGACTTCTACCCCTGGGAGGAGCGGCTGGCCAGTGAGGCAGACCGCGTGCTCCTGGTTGACATCGGCGGGGGCAAGGGTCACGACCTCGTGCGCTTCAAGGAGAAGAAGAACCCCGCTGGCCGCCTGATTTTGCAGGACCTCTCCGAGGTCATCCAGGATATCCAGGCCCCGCTCACCCAGGGCATCGAGGCCCAGGGCTACAGCATGTTCGATCCGCAACCCGTCCGTGGCGCCAAGGCCTACTACATGCGCACCGTGCTGCACGACTGGCCCGACAAGCAGGCCCTGCAAGCCCTGCAGCGCATCCGGGAGGCGATGGCCGACGATTCAGTGCTGTTGATTAACGAGAATAGCGTGCCCGAGACTGGCGTTCCCCGGTTTAATGCTAGCGTCGACCTCATCATGATGACCATGTTCTCGTCTCTGGAGCGCACGGAAACGCAATGGTTGAGTCTTCTGGAGCGTGCCCAATTCAAGGTCATTAAGGTATGGCGAGCGGATAACCAGGGGGTGGGATCTAATGCTTTGTTTGAGGCTGTTCCTGTTTAGATAGGTAGTTCTACCGTTCAAGAAGCTATGATTGATTCCCTGACCTTGATATATGCGCTCATTTGCCCGGTTTATTGTTCGCGTTTGAGCGCCGCTACCCGTTGCGCTCTTGGCTACGAATCTCTCCTCCTTATTCTAGAACAACAGCAGAGATACTGTGCCACTGGGCTCCGGAATAGGCTTGGGGAAATGATTCTCAGAGGGTACACTTCCAGTTACCATGATAAGTGGGACTAGCAAAGTTCACAGTGATGATCCTGGAGAATTACGGTGTGCGGAGTGCTAATTCCACAATTCCATCATCTCCAAAATCTCTGGCATTTGCAGTACAACAGTGCGACGAAACTTGTTCCTATCGACTACATGTTGGCTGCACACAGAACACGGTGGAATAATCTCTTCAGTGTAATAACGGGCCAACAGCTTCCAGTGTTATCCCCTGCAACTTTGCCAGTATATGTATGGTCTTCATGCCTAGGTGGAGTAGGCTTGTTTTTCCAGATATCTAGATGGCACAGAAGATGTTTGAAACTACGAGCAGCCAACTATATACACATAGAAAGTCCCATCAAGCATCCTGCTTGATGCACTGCAACTTCCGTGACTCCCCAGCAGCAGGATTGTCCCCAAATTGACACGTTTCTGAAGGCGTAAATGCCTGCTATTTCCCTAAATATCCTGCCTGAGTATTTCAACCTTACAGGGAGCTGAAGCAAGAGACCCACCAGCACTCTGAGTATGGCCCCCTTACTCCATACTATGGAGGAGTGAAAGCACCAAGTCAATACCTCTCAGAGATTGGGAAAGATATACGGATCCACTTTCTCTTTGCCGCTGCAGAACCCCAGACTGTTCTCTGTGCGGGAGATCAACTAAAGTCTCTCCACAGATCGTCGACTCAGAGCGTTCCAGTGGATCACGAGTGGATCCGTCGATCTTTCCCGATCTTTCTTTGACTACTAACATAATACTTCTAATGGGGGCAAGTATAACCCAGACTACCGCACTTTATAGCATATGTATGGGTCTGCAGTTCAGCTGAGCGCAGATCCACAAGATTTCCGAGAACAAGGAGCTCCTAGTTTTGCTTTCTCGGTGGTACATAAATAGAGCTCATATTCCACCAACCTCTGATTTCAACATCTTTCAACCCCCTTCACTCATTTGAACAATTAAACAATACCAATATGGTCAACTTCAAGGCACTTTATATCCACCCAGACATGACTACATAGTAAAGTTCTTACTAATTAAACATTTAACTCAGTCTAGCTCCCCACCTTTCTCCTCATTGCCAGCTCGGCTCTCATTTATGCGGATGATGTCTACCAACTTATCACCTTTGGAGATACAAACTGCGATATCATAACCTCCGACAGTAACACTACCGCTTTTGCTTCTTGCGTTAATATCCCTACAGCACCGGCCCAAGCCCTCTGGGGTCAGTACACGCCAGGCACACTGTGGTGTTCTAGCATTGCTGGAATATCAGTCTTCATGTATGCTCAGCCGAACTGTGAAGGCAATGCCATTGCCCAACAAGGTCCTGACGGATGTGTGCCTGTTGAGGTAAGTGCGTAAGGTGGATGCTCGTGCAGATTTATCCATCGGATATATATGCATGGCCGCCCGGGCTATAAGATGATCGTGCACTAACCGATGCGAGTGGGGCTGACTATTGGATATAGCGAGCGAACTATCAGGTGAAGCAGATTGTATGTACGGGTCCTCTCCATGTCAAGACCTTACGGAATTCTATCGAGAGAAGTGCGGTCTCCATGTGATATAAAATTACGTTCACTCGCATACTTATGTACTAAGTCGGACTTGTTTTCCGGTTTGCCTGCTGTGCTGTTATTCACTTCATATTCATTTGAATTTAAACAGATTTGTTTTTTCTGATTTCTTGATTTCTCTATTTCTTTTGTTTTGTCGACTTTTCAATACAATCAGTCCGAGCCTGGATATCTATGGTATAATGAACGCTTGTAGACCTGTACTCGGTAGGGTAGTCCCGGACAAGTTGCTCAGGAACAAAACGGAAAGCCCTCGCATCTTTGTCTAATGTCGTCGCATATCTATAGTCCCCTCGTCAAGTTTCTATCAAGTAGGGAACCATGTCAAGTTGCGGCTGAGAACACACTTTCTTCTGGATTGCACTGCATTGACTGGGTTGATGTGACATGGCAATCCAGACACTACGGTGTACAGAAACTAGGAAACCTTCCTCAATAGCACTAGAATCGGGGAAATACCTGAGTATTTGTGTTGTGAAGAATCCTGCAAAGTCTAGGGAATGAAGAACGTTTACATTTGGGGTCCAAGTGTCATCCCCGAAGCGAGCTCGGCTAATCCAACTTTGACCGCCATACGCTGTGCAATCAAAAGCGCAAATGCTATTTTCGAATAGCTTAAACATGCTTGACTTCGGAAGTGGCCAGATTCCAACGCAGACAGGCCTTTGTGCCGTATGATTGGGTGCGGGTTACGCATTGTCCTTTGCCTCAGCCGCATCCCTATAAACGTTATTCTACAAGTGCGGGTCTATCAATGGTCCTAGAGGAAGTGAGAAGCCAAGGCACCTATAGGCATTTCGCACCTTTGTTGAGTCAAGATCCTTCTTATCTCCTGTGCAAATGGTTTGTCCACTTCCTGCCGAACTAAGAGACTTCCCATGTTTTTCCCGTAGCAGAGGTGTCCTGGTAGATTAAGAATATACCCTCGACACCACTGAGCAATCCCCCAGACACTAATACTTCGACCTGAATCGGAGCGACAGCCATCCTATCCAATCTATGACATTATTGGTGCCAACAGTACTTTGGGGAGTTGGATAACTAAATGAGAACAAAGAAGTTTGGGATCGAGATACACTACCAGCCGCGACAGAAATCGCCGCTGATGCAGTAAGCCGCCAATGCCTACTGTGACTGGTCAGATCGTATGGAGATGTAAGCCCTAAGTCACCTAGTTAAAGTCTACTACGAACTATATCTCCATTTACAACTGACTGTTTCTCCCCATCTTCCTCTATCATCTCTACCTATTTTCCTCTCAACATCACGCACACAATATCTAGCCATGGAACAGCTACCCTCCGCCGGGAACACCACCAACGGAAACATAGGAAATTGTGTAAGCTCCATTCAACGTATCCAATACTGCAACCTAACCAAAGCAGTGTCTAGCCCTAGCCTCCGTGCTGGGCAGCAAAGTCTCCTTCCCAAACACGCAGCCCTACAACGACTCCATCAGCACCTACTTCTCCCAACAAAACTGCAACCTCCACCCCCTTTGCATTGTGTCCCCAACAACAGCCGAGGATGTCGCCACCGCCATCAACACAACCACCTCCACCCTCGAAACCACCAACTTCGCCATCCGCTCCGGCGGCCACGCCCCCTTCACCGGCGCATCCAACATCGCAAACGGAATCACCCTCGACCTCCGTGGCCTGGACAGCATAACCGTGAGCCCCGACCGCACGACCGCCTCCATCGGTGTCGGCGCAACCTGGGGCGAAGTCTACTCCCACCTCGACCCGTTAGGCCTCTCCGTCGCAGGCGGACGCGCAGCACAGGTGGGGGTGGGTGGCCTGACGACCGGCGGGGGAATCTCGTATTTCTCGCCGCGATACGGCTGGACCTGCGACACGGTGACTAACTTCGAAGTCGTCCTCGCCAACGGCACGATCGTCAATGCCAACGAGCACGAGAACCCGGACCTGCTGATTGCGCTGCGCGGCGGATCGAGTAACTTCGGGGTTGTCACGCGCGTAGACCTGAAGGCGTTCGAACAAGGCTCGATCTGGGGAGGAAGCGTTTACAATTCTATCGACACCTATCAGCAGAATCTCGAGGCGTTTGCGGATGTGAACGCAGCGGAGGGGTACGATGAGTTTGCGTCGCTGATCACCAGCTTCGGGTATTCGGCACAGGGCAAGGCTATAGTGAATAGTATTGTGTATACGAAGGCGGAGGAGAATCCGGCGGTCTTTCGTCGGTTCATGGAGATCCCCAAGCTGTTTGGTACGGTCAGGATTGCGGGCATGCATGAGATTGCGGTGGAGCAGGGGTCGTTCTCGAAGGTTGGGAAGCGGTGAGTTTGGAGGCATCTTCTTGAGTGGTGGGTTTGCGCTGACTATGTTTCAAGACAGATGACTGTGGTTACCACTCATGGTTCGACTCTGCCCATGTTGGAGGCGGTTTACCAGCGTTGGGATTCTAGTCTTGCCAATGTTGATACTATTCCTGGTATGGTGTGGGCGATTTCTCTGGAGCCGTTGCCGCAGGCTATCTATGCCCGCAATGCCTCGAAGAATGCACTGGGTCTGGATGATGTGTCTGGTTCGCTGGTGGTGACTCTGCTCAGCGCAACCTGGGACAACGAGTCGGACGATGAGAAAGTGGAGAAAGCTGCTCGTGAGCTTTTCGATAATATTGATAATGACGCGCGCAAGTTGGGTCTCTACGAGCCTTTCGTATACCTCAACTATGCGGCACAATGGCAGGATCCAATCTCCAGCTATAAGAGCAAGAACGTTGAGCTTCTAAAACGCGTGAGTGAGGAAGTCGATCCACAGAGGCTATTTCAGACAATCGTACCTGGAGGATTCAAACTACCGAATTGTTGAAGATACCAGTTAGAGCCTAAGTACGAAATAGCAGCTTGTATGTAGATCGATCTGCATCCATAACAACTGGAATAGATCTGCTCTTCTCTCTATCTGATTATATCCAGCGGGAGATCTGTTCCTTCAGCGATAGCGAGGTGGGGTTTCAACCATATCAATATACTCATACTAGTCTTGACCCCAGCAAATCGCCGTCCCGAGGATCCTTACCCCATTCCTGTTCTCAAATGAATTTAGGTTCATCACCTTGGTATCTGGCCGACGTCTGTACTTAACTGACTTCGATCAAACTGAGTATTGAGCACGGTGCATTATAGGTTAAGTTAGGCTACCAGCCAGAAATTCACTAAGCACGGATCTTTCCTACAAGTGACAGAATAGTGTGGAATAAACCAGGGTGAGTTCCACAAGATATGATAAAGAGTGCGAGCTGAATGGCTAGCTGACTCCGCCAGCGCCCATCCCTTCATTTATATATCATGTGGTGAGGGAGACCAGTTAGTGAGAAAGGGAATATAAATATCACAGTCTAGGCGTCTTGCAACTTTCTGCCCTCGACATATAAGCGCACTATCCAAACGTGATCTGGTATTCCTCTTCACGGGAGCAATTTGTTCTAGTTACCACGACCTAATCAACTCCAGCAGAGACAGTCAAGTAGCTCTGATGGCGCTCCCACTCTACATCCCACCTTGCGTTCACAATCCCACCAGCAAATATCACCTTTCACCGCATCAGCAGCCACTGAGAATCCAAATCAAAGGGACCCCTGGTCGCCATCCAGAGGCTTCTACCGGATATCCCGTGGCACCTAAGTCTTCTCAACCGAACATTCCCACAACCGGCAGGCCCAGAGCTAGCCCGGTTGACGTACCAACAGATATACGGACGGGATACATGTCCCGAAGTTGCGGGCGATCTGGTGGTGAGGGACGAGTATTTGGCATGGGTGCCAGAGAAGTACCCGGATCAGTATGTTTGGCTACATCTTACGCACTAATCCCTTATCGAGATCTCTATAGCTAACAATCACTTCCGTCGTCATAACCTGGGTAAGCGTGATTGACTACTATGGTGTCACGTTTGATCATCTTGTCCCAACTGATGAGCCCAACCCCGGGGTGCTACAGATTAACATTATTGAGATTGAGGATGATAACGGTGTAGATGCAAGTACGGGCCTTTTATTCGCGGTCAATCCGGTTGAGTATATTGGGAAGAAGGTCCTGACCGTGCCGCGATGTTGCCAGGTGAGAAAGGGGACAACATATCGCTGGCGGGTGAATGCCTTGGTGGATCAGAGGGTTCACGGGGGACAGCATTTGAAGACAATGGAAGAGTTGGAGAAGCGTTAACTAGAAGTCAAATCGAGTCTGCAGTATACTATAGGAACTGAACAGATTCTCTTGCGGTTTAACAATGCTTGTAAAGGTTTTGAGTAGATGATCCTGCCATCCTCTTCATATCAACCACACGAGCTTTCGTAGCTAGGCCCCTGCGTGATACCTCTTCCTACATACTGACCACCTATCCCTGGATCAACAACCAAACCCCCAAACTCTGAAATCAAGCACATCGCACCCCGACCCCAAATATTCGCACCGTAGGTCGGCCGTGCCATCTCCAAATCCGTATCCAACACCGACACCTACCCCGCCGCATTATTGGAGCACGTCTCGTCCGGTGCCGCGATCTTCGACTGGCTTGACGAGTTGGCATAGATGTTGTGGGTGTCACGTTAGGCTGTGACGTGAGAACTTTGTATTGAATCAAACGCGTAGCGTCATGTAGACGTGGTGGGTCTGCTGGGCGGGTGTGTATGTGTGTGAGTACCGAGCCGATGCTTTGTAGAGGAGCTGGCTACTAGGGTTGTGGGTGATCTTTTTTGTTTTGATTCACTCGCTTTGCGGGCTTTTGACGTTGGATTTGCTCGTCTCGTGTTGTTTTATTTGGGCTTGGTCTTGTGTCAAAGGTGAGGGGGATTAGAAGTGAACGAGTGTGTCAGCCTGGGCCAAAACTGGGATTGTTGCACAGGATGTATTTTGGAGCCTAGGATGTGTCACATTGGTGAGAGCAGTGGCCAAGCCATTAAAATACGGATCAGCACTGAACCCTTCGACACTATGACCACCCCAAAGGGTACACCCTAATGGCTGAGACGTTAAAAGGCAGCAAAGTAGAGCACTTCGATCGACCATCCGGTGTACCACAACATCCCGGCCATACGCAAGATAATCTTGGTTCTCGGTACCTCACCTTGTCAAGATAGGGCTGGCTTGTTCTCCTGGTACCGGTGGATTGGTCAGTATGCTTGCTGGGTCCTACTCTTACATTTGTATCTATCATATCTGGTGAACGGGGTCAGGTTAGATGCACCCGATGAGAGACGTACCACGGTGGAAGCCTTACACTAATAAGGAATTAATGTTTTTAAAAGGTGTGGTCCAGGAAAGAATAATTCTTGGTTAAATGGCAGGTCTATCTCCCTTCGGCCTCAATGTAGACTGGCTCTAGGCCCACATTTCACGCACATTGGGCCGGTACTTCTATAAATTTCCTCCTACATGTTGCATGACATGCGCAACTTCTCGTGGTTGAATCACACATGGCTCTTCCCAGTCAACTATAGTTTACGTGGTTACAAATCTCATTCGATTCTTCTTTCCTTCAGCAGTAGCACGATTGGCAACATGAACAAGATAGACACCGTGCCAAGTACTATACCTGTCACCTCATGTCATCGCTGGTTATCTCCGGGGTTATATGAACTTACATGGTACAAACTGAAACCCATACAGATAGCTCGACCGGACGATACTTTGGACTCTTTCTGGCAAGCTCTCGGAGAATCGCAGGTCATTCAGTATTTGATCAATAAGCTGGAAAAGAAATTTAGCCATACCTCTGACTCTGACTTCATCAAACGCACCCTTTTCTCCTTAAACCCCTCCAGACCTTCTGAAAGGCTACTGGCAAACCGCCGTTGAACAACAGCGACCGAAGCCGCCGGACCGACAATAAACCCCAACTGCTGGGAGAGGTAGTAGATCCCGGTCGAAGTGGCAAGTCGCTCTTTAGGCGCAGTCAGAGACATCCCGATGAATTGCGTGGAGAAGAGTATGCCATTGGACACGCCGGACGGGAAGAGATAGACTAGTTCCCAGGTGTAGCAGCCATCGCGGTAGCGGATGTAAATTAGAATAGATAGCAAGGCAGTGGATCCCACTGCCATTACACTCATTGTCTTATATCGGTTGGTCCTTCCGTTTAATCAGCATGGAGCACCAGATATATTGGTCTATGAACTCACCGTTTGATGATGGCGCCTGCGATCAGGCCGCCGACTGAGACACCCACCGCGGTGACGACGTAGGTAAAGGATGCGAGGATATCAGTTGCCTTTTCGACTCGGATAAAGTACGGGACCATGTTACTGCTAAGCTGTGTTCGAGTGACATGTCAGCAGTGAAATAAGGTTGTCTGCACATCGAACCTACCGCCGAGCGACCAGTTAGTAACATCAATTGTCCCACGAAGTACCCTCCCAAGGAACCCCTCACTAAGCTCAAAGGTATCAAGGGATTTCTGGCCCAGTATGCCTCCGTCAAGAGGAAGACTGCAACGGCGATTGCGAACACAGACGCTAAGAATGGTAGTATTGGTCGATCGTCTGTCGTATTCGAGCTTTGGATCAAAAAAAAAAACAACATGACGATCGCTGTAGCAAAGCTGATAATGCCGCCATAGTCGATGTGGGACGCTGGGGATTGGGGAAGATCCTGGTCGTCATTTGTCTTGCTCTGGTTCAACGACGAGGGAAGGCCGTAATATGCGACCATCATACAAATAATGATGAGAGGGAGTTGGCCTAGAAAAGACCTGGACCTAGTCAGCGTTATAACATTACAATTGAGGGGCTTCACAAGGACTAACCATCTCCATCCCAGTGTCGTGATCAGAAAGCCCCCAACCGGGGCGCCCAAACTGCGACCAGCCACATTGACCACGTTGGCATACCCCCGGAACAGTGCCACCTCGTTTGGAGGCATCAAATCTAGCAGATGTTAGTTGTAATTCTGTGGGTCGGATATGAATATACCGGTTATAATAATGGAAACTAGGGCAACCATGCCGCCCCCACTAATACCAGCCAGTACTCTGGCCAGAATGAGCTGGATCAAGGAAACGCTGGTGCCACTGTATAATATTCAATCAGCATCGTAGATGGTTTGATAAAGCCTAGATAAAACTCGCCATGCCAGGCATCCCAAAGCAAACAGAAAATACGCCCAAAGGAGGACATTCTGCCGTCCATATGTGTCGCTGAGCGTTCCATACTAAGAGAGCTGCGTAAGTACCACAGAATGGACGGTTTCCGGACGACTTACCACTGGTAACGAGACACAATAGCCAAAATTATATGCAACCAGCAGCCACGACCCTTCCGATAGACGGTTGAATTGCGAAGCAATGGAGCTCCATGTTGAGATGACAAGTGACTCATCGGCAGACGCAAGGAACACGCCTGAGATTGTCAGAATACCATGTTATCGTCTCATTTGCAGCACACTCACCAATAAAAGAACCATAGATGACCAATTTATTGGCGCGTTCAGACTTTCGTCTTAGTTCAAGGTCGGACTCAGGACTTCGTGGGATCGTAGTTGATTGCAAACAAGGCGATTCTTCGTCGGCCGTCATTTTGCTCGATTTTCTGAGGGTCAATGAACATCCGATTAACATTCGAGTATTTATAGACGCAGATTGGGAGCACTATTGACATATGTAGAGAGTGCCATTGTCTCATTCATCGAGTACAATCGATACCTCTGAGTCATTGTCATTTGCACTAAATCAACAATGCAGGGAGGGACAAAGATAGTCCATGGATCAGCGGAATAAAGTGATGAGCGCGACTTGGCTGCAGATGGCGTTATTAGGGCTTATTTGTCCCAGCCACTAATTAGAACCCTGTGTTGGCCACTCTCTTTCTACTATGAGATAGGGCGTCTGGTTATCCAGCTGGGTTGGGTATAGAGCACAACACAAACAGGGGTCATACCTCCAGAACTTGATATCAGTGATTTTCTCTTCTTTTCCTTCTTATTATAAGTCACAGATCGATCTCTTTTCTATGTAGTCGCGTACTTTACTCTTTCAGCTTAAGACAGAAAAAATGGTCTGTTTTATGGAAAAGCATGGAGATACGAGAAATGCCTGATGTTATACGTCAAACTCTTATTTTCTTGGCTTTATAGCAAATAAAATCAGAGTAGTTGGCTAGGAAACTTACGATGACGTGCAAATATAAGCTTTAGCCAAGTGACTGAAGCTTTGCAAGAGGCTTCTACGAATGAGAGCAGAGAAGGTCCATAATTATAAAAGTTGAAGGAAATACAGAAGAAAACTATTGAATCCGCTTAATACAAATAATGCAAGTATGTACTTTCATGCTTAGTTTGCGCCTTCATTAGGGCGGAATACAACCTTCTCGCCAGAGACACCCTCCTTATTCTTCGCAAGCGCTTGTTCCACGGCATTCAGTCCCCCTTGAACCAGATGCACTCGGTTGGGGACAAAAAGCTTCTTAGCGATATAGCCATCCTCACCACCGAGATGTTTCGCCAAAGGTTCACTCAGATAACGCAACGCTGGGTTGCTACCCAATCCCAAGACCTGCTTGACTGCAACCTTTGGCTCCTTGGACTGACCAAGGGCAATAGCATCAGAGTCGGCACCCTGGACCGTCACAATCTTATCGGCGCCTTGGGTAGCCTGGACAATCTCAACACCCAATGCCTGCGTCGCTTTCACCGAGATAGCATCGAACACGAATTCCAAAGGCAATCCGCCGATCGCCGCCTTGAAATCCTCAGGGCTCGAATGGGCCCGGTCCAGCACCACATGTGCGCCCAACTTCTTGAGGCACTCGTGGTTTTGCGGGCTGGCGTTGGTCACGATCCTTTCAAAGCCCGACAGCCTGGCGAGTTGAATGGCATATTGGCCCACGGACGAGGCACCTCCGATGATCACGATGGCTTTGCCCTTTCCGACCTGCGGGCCATTCGCGTCCCACGGTGGGGTCAACCCGTGGCCAGACTGGTCGTAGAATGCCGTGACAACCGCCACGGTCGCGAGGCTGATGCCCGCCGCTTGGTCGTCGCTGATGCTGCTGGGCGTTTTGGAGACCAGGCTGGCCGGCATCTTGCAGTATTGTTGGAAGGTCGACGAGTCATATCTGCCAATGATCCCCTGGAAGAATACCCGATCGCCAACGGCGAAATTGGAAACATCGGCTCCGACGGCAACAATCTCTCCCGCGGCATCGGATCCTAACACGGCTGGGTACTCTTTGATAAAGACGTTGTAGTCACGGATCTTCCAGTCGACCGGGTTGATGGCCGTGGCGGTGATTTTGATCGCTACTTCGCCCGATTCCAGTGGTTGCAATGAGCGGTTGGAAATGACATGTTGGGCGTGTGGCTCGTTGACCGTGGCCGCGAGGAATGTGTCGGGGACAGGCATCTTGTGGTTTTATCAGGACAGTGTACTGTAACAGCAATAGTAATTAGAGATATAACAGTCAACTGTTAAAAACACGAACGTAGCAATTAATATATCAACGAGAAGGCAAATGTCACGTCGCTGAAAACATCGTCATTGTCGCCGGCGCTGATGAATCGCTGACTAATATCACTAGTATCACTAATCCAATAAAATCCCTAATTTTCTATCACTAATCGTGTTCACTCATCTTTATTACGTCTTCCATTTGGACGTGGGTTAAACATTTTTCCCCGCCATGTTCATCAGATCCAGATGCATCTAGATACATCTATGGGCCACCGTTCAGGAGTCGTTCCCAGAGTCAATGGTAGCTGGCATAGAATATCCATGGTAATACTACTAGAACCATCATGGTTAGGCTCTATTCACTTTCACGGAGACAGCGCTATATAGGCGTAATCACGATATATAGTAGAGCTTGGACAACACAAAACATATACAAGAACACCAAGACGAACTAGCAGCCTATCTACTCCACAATCAAAGACACTAATGGCAATAAGCTACACAAACATGGTTTCCACCTCCCTAATCACATCCCCCACAATAGATATTGATTTCCCTGAATTTGCCTCGTCAAGCCAAGGTCCTCATTCCCGCCTCACCACTATCATACCTCGTCTCATATCCCGCCATCTCGTCCTCCTGCGCCTGCTCCTTCACACGAGCCTTCTGCACAGCCCGCGCACTATGAATCATAACATAAGCCGACCTGACATCCCGTAGCAGCTCCAGCGGATTCAAATAGACAGCCCAGGCATATAATCCCCAGGGCCCACCTTGGTAGCGTTTCCGGGATCCGCTCAACAAGGTCTCCTCGTTGCCGTCAGACTCGATGGCCTGGTATTCTTGGGGTCGGAGGGCGCGCACCGAAGTTGAGATCTCGTAGGGTTTTGTGCGGTAGGCATAGAGGACTAGGAAGGAGAGCGGCACCATCTGCACGCAGATTACCATTGTCGGGAGGCCCATCATCACGTCGATGTAGGTCATTGAGGCGGTGGGTTTGAGAACTTTTGTTCCTGTAAGGATGAGAAAAAGGATCTGAGTGGTTGTTAGGTATATCTTTCTCCAATGTTTCTTTTCTTGGGGTGAATGAAAAGCCGACCTTCTCCAGGAGAACTACTCCAACGATCAGCTTGAATGCCATCAGCTTGAGGAGTGGCCTGTGCTCGGTCATGTATCCCTTCATGTTCATATAAAATTGGAGGATGGCGTTGATGGCTATTGATGTCGATAATGAGGTGATCACTTGCAGCTAATCATTTTTATCAGCTACAATTCGAGGATACAATGCAATTATGGCAAGATAGTACATACCCAAACGTGAGCGAAATGAGGTGCGGTACTGTCCAGACAGTAGATGTGTAATGACTGGGTCACCACTTGGGAGACAGCGGCAACCCAGGTGATGATTGGGTATTGAAGCACAGAGTACCAAGTCAACTGTAATCAAACAACTGGTCAGTAATTCCTTCATTTCAAGTTCTACTGGTGAAAGACTTACACTCAAGAACGCAAGACCATCCCTTTTCTTCTTCGGCTGCCACTGTCTTTTCGTCTCCAGTGAAGAAAAGAACTCCACTTTACTCTTATCATTGGGAGCCATGAAGTCGCAGAGTAGCATGAGGAAGGCATATAGAGCGACACCCTGGAGCACCTCGGTGAAACCTTGGAGGTAGATGTAGGAATTTGGAAAGCAGATGGAGATGAAGGACAGGACTTGGTAGGAGGGGATGAGGTTGCAAATTCGCATTATTCTGTCAGCAAATTATATTAGCATCGCAGAGGCCTTTCCACGTGGTCGAGGCTCTTTACTTGAGTTGTTCGTTCGGATTGCTCATGCGCATCGCATGTCGTCCCATCAGGCCCAAGATCAAGATTAATACGATCGCAGTGCAGCACCCGGATACGATCATGTTGAATTGGTAGAATATGAGCTTTCCCACGAAGGGGCCACCGCCGCCTGTTGACTTGTCCGTAAGTCCGTTATGTATAGGAGAGTATGTAGCTATCACTCACTTTGTTCAAGATGGTCAGGTATGGGACAGCCAGAGCTGCCTGCTCTTGGATTGAGAATGCCCATGTTGTATAGTACTCAACCGACGACGCTGAAGGAATAGCTTTTTTAAATAAAATGAAATATAGAAAACGAGTGCAGTGTCAACTTATCTTATATCTACCGCCATCATCAAATCCTCACCCAAACTTGACATTCTGCAATATGAAAGTAGGTAGCCTTGTGAATTCCCTAGTCAGGTTGGAGCCAAAGCCCAGCTCAACCCTAACAGCCTCACATTGCTTAACTTCCAACACCGCTGGATAGGAAGCCTGGCGAGATCGTCGCGATGACTCCGCCACGCGCATTTGGGAGCGCAAATAAGCCTTTGATCGGCGTTGTGCAAACTAATTGCCCTTGTTGAGTCCACTCGCCAAGCGATTGGTAGAGCCGATCGGTGGAGCCAGTATGCTTAATTTGCGCGAACTTGCGCTGTCGGTCTAGGAGTAGAAAAATAATTGCGCGGTCTATAATTTGCGCGGTCTATACTCTGTAACTTGCGCTTAGTTTAGAGAGTGATATTATTCAATTAATGGTGAATTTAAAAATAGATTTATTTGCTCGTAAAGTTAAGTATCGAAAAATTATATACACATCGGAGGTAGACACGCCCACACTACCCTAATAATCTGCACATCTATGGAATGATACACTATGATGACCTTCAGGATGAAGTAATTGTATTATCATGTAAAACAATCTAAAAAGTCGTAACTCGTCAAATCGTAATTGAGAAGACAGGGCTCCATCTCCAACTCCATGGAATATACGAAACCCGACCTCCCGTACTGGCATTTGCTACCTTCCTCGAGGTTTACGGTGTAAATGATAACATACTGTCATCGAGCCCAGTAGTCGTGCCCGGGAAATCCGCAGTGTTAGGAAGATCAGTCGTCGTATTCGAAAAGTCGGTTGTAGATAGCGGTAGACTCCAGTCAAACGTATTCTGCAGTTGAGGAACACGGTCCACTGTATGGGGATATGGCCACAGGTTCCATGCCTCGAAAGAACTGAACTGCATGGTGGGCACAGGGGTTTCAGTAATTGCGGGTGTATTTACCACACCCATGGCCTTGTCCCAGTCCTTGACCAGAGAAGCCTGCAGTTTCAAACTGTTCATCAAATCACACAGTCCGTAGACCATCTTGCTGCTTGCGGCGTACACGCAGCCACTTCTAAAGGCAGCCTCTAGCGAGTTTCCTTGGGCCACCCTGGCTGCTAGCTGATGGGCACATTGTGTGAAAAGGTCGAGTTGTTTGTCAAAGCTGGAATGCAGTCTTCCAGAAGCCTTGAATCGAATGAGGTTATTTTCGACGATATTCTTGCATTGGTTCACAATCTCCATTACTATTGGACGGACTGGCGCAATGTAGTTGTTGCCACCCAGCGTTATTGTCGTGCACTCCATAAATTTGGCCAGAATCCCTTGCAGCTTGTCTGGATACCGTCCCCCAAAATGGCGCAGGAATTTGAAGAAATGCGAGGCCCTTTCAGAGTCAGGGGTTGTCATCAGGGAGTTAATGACGGTATTACCCATCTGGGTAGCCTCTTCCCGGAGAATTTCCATGTTATTCTGCGGTTGATCCTTCTGTGCCCTTGCTTGAAGGACTGATGTAAAGAACAACCCGAGGCCAAGCATCCTGGCAATCACACCATGGAAACGCAGCTCGAGAAGTGAGCACATGGCCATGAGCTCATTCTGCTGTCCAGCTTCAGCTGCCTCTGACAGGAACTCATACACAGAATTGATTTCCGCGAGGCATTTCTTTTCGCCCTCTTCGACAACGATAAACAACCGATTGGGATTCATCCAGCATTGCCTCGAGTTTGCCATCGCCTCGATCTGCATATAGGTTGCTGTAGTCCATTTGATATGGAAGATCATGATTGGTGAACAGGGTCTTGTTTGCAACAGGACCTGGTAGGAGTCGATATGCGGCTGCATCCGTTGGAGGACCTGCCGGTAGGCATGCAGTGTCATTGTCAGAAAGTCCCCCAGAAGGAATTCCTCGGCGATCAGCTGAAGTCCCTGGATAGACAGGATAAGCTCACGCTCCATCTCCACACTGTCAATGGCAGTTGTCTCCATGAATGGCATGCTCCCTGGCTCGGGTAATAATCTTAGCCGCTCTGCGATCCGGTATGCAAGGGTAATATACAGCTCGGCTTTAAAGGATTGAGGTGCCACCCTTTTTGATGTGGCCAAGGCCGTTGGCTTGAATGTCGATAAAAAGCGACAAAGAACAATAGAGTCGATATGGGTGGGAGGACTGAAGATGAACTCCTGGCCGTATGACGAAACCGCTTGCTGTAGACTGTCTTTGAGAGACGCATTCCGACGGCGAACCTCCTCTGAGCCTTCACAAGCAGTCAGACAGAGCACTGCAAAGAGCAGCTTGGTGGCGACATTATTGGTCTTGGGGTCGGTTGACAACAAGCGCTCTCTCAAATGGACCAGGCTAGGCATCCCCAGAAAGAAGAGACGCTGCCATACTAATCTACTAACGGCGTTAGCGAGTTGACAAGATCAGGACATTTCTCAGCGGATTCTACAAATTGTCAAGTGTGATAGCGAGGTCATGGCTCACTATATCTGTTAGAGGAGTGCTCCACATTGACATCAATTGAATGTCCGCGCCGAAAGAAGCGTCCTTGGCCAACACCCCCGCGATGAAAGTGCTCGTGTTGGCCATAGAATGGTAAAGATCATCGTCGACGTATGAGAGATTGGTGGCATCTCGCGATCTTTGCAGCATGAGGTTGTCGTCTATCGCGCCCGAGAAAAGATACTGCCGGATCGAGTCCGAGAGGCTGGATGCTTTCTCCTCATGCGGGGAATTGGGCGGGTCCCGCTGGGGCGATTTGCTAGCAATATTTGCGCGTTTTGCGCGCTTCGCTGGTGGACGTCCTAGAAAGTTGCGCTCGATAATGCATTCTAGATCGAGATTGCGACATCGTTCACAGCTTGTTGCTTCGGGCTGTGGAGTGCCCAGTGGGCCCAAGTCGACGGACGAAGGCAGCACGCATTTAATTTTGCGCGCTCTGCAGCCGCGACAGATTAAACGAGCATATCTGCCTCTCGGGCCTCGTTCGGTCTTTTGCTCTTGCATTTATCGATATCGTGTCTCGCAGAAGATGTATAGAGTAGAAAGGATATGAGATCGTGGAGGGGCTACAGGTTGACGTTTGAAAAGGGCCTCATGTCTGACTGATCTGACTGATCTGCACCAGCTGGACAAATTCCGACACGGCTAATCATATCAAAGTTTCGGGCGTATTGTGGGCCCTGACTCTATTCTAGGTATAGATAGACCTACTATGGAAGCCTTGTCTGCCGCACTGATGGGTAGTGGGCCAAGCGAAACTGCTGGTGTACATAAGCACTCAGTTAGCTAGGTAGTCCATCGAAGTCCGTAAAGAGCGAACCAGTCACACTGATCTCTACCTCTACTCAGTTCTTTGGGCCTTGTGAGATACCTGTAAGGAGAAATATCACAGTATGGTGACTCCTGTTAGGTCAGCTCCGCAAAACGTAGCCGTCATGGATGTGAGGATAGGGACCAAGTGTTAAAATTAGGTCTAAGATTCTATTATCATTATGAATCAAGCTTATTATCCATACCGGGCCCAATACACCGGCAGTTCGAGCCAGGCCTGACGGGGCCTGACGGTCGGCTTTCCGACGCTCGATTTCTCCCTAGGCGTAAGCCCCATAGCATCGCAGGTCTTTCAAAGTCTGGTACATGGCGCGATGTTGATACAGCACCCCACGACTCAGCCCTATGCTGCAAATATTAGCCATGCAGGGCGCCTAAATAACAATACTATTGCGGGAATTCAAGGTGTGGCGCAATAATTTCCGCTCTGTGTCGGGTGGCTCTAGGCGCAATATATTGCGCTGCTTACGGCGTCACTGGCTAGTGGGCGAGCAGAGAGACAAATATAAAGATTCACTAATATTCTGAAGGCTACATGCTTGAAATTATTCAACAACAATATCTGAGGACAATTTGACACCAATATGCTTCTTAAAAGTGTCTTGCTCCTGGCTGCAGCACAGTCTGTCTTTGCCAAGTGTAAATGTGTATGTTATCGACGATTCATGTCTTTGAGTGAGAGCTCCATATCTAACTTTCTGAGAATAAAGACCCCTACCGACGATTGCTGGCCCTCTGTGGACACATGGAATACCCTCAACAGCTCCGTGAACGGAAAACTTGCACGCAATGAACCCATTGCCAGGCCCTGCTATCACGGCCCAGGCTACAGCTCCGAGCGCTGTCAGAGCATCAGTTCCAACTGGACAAGCAATGTTTACCAGGCAACTTTCCCGATTGGATATAGCTATCCACTTGTGGAAAGCTGTCCCCCTATTAATGCCACGGTGGCTGGCTACCCACAGTGCGACCTGGGCAACTATCCTGTGTACACCGTCAAGGCGACAACGGCGGCTGATGTTGCTGCCGGGATTCAGTTTGCAAACGACAATAATGTGAGATTGGTTATTAAGAACACTGGCCATGATATCTCGCAGCGGTAAGGGCTTAAAGTGGAGTTTTACGAGGGTTTGAATACTGACGATACCAGATCGCAAGGATACGGCAGTCTATCCATTTGGATCAAGTCTATAAAAGATGGACTCCATTTTCACAAAACGTTCGTTCCTTCCAATGGATCATGCCCATCCAACTGGACTGGAAGTGCAATTACCGTGGGCGGCGGATACGTGTGGCAGGACGTATACGACTTTGCCGGCGAGCACGGCGTCATCGCTGTTGGTGGAGCAGATCCAGTAAGCTCATCACTGTCTCAGGCCAGACATTATCTCAGCAGACTAACCATAGTCCAGACTGTCGGTGCTATTGGAGGCTTCATGCAGGGAGCCGGCCATGGCCCCGTGAGCCACTTCTTCGGACTCGCAGCAGACCAGGTTCTGGAATACAAGGTGGTACTGGCATCGGGGGAGCTTGTCACCGCCAATGCATGCCAGTATACAGACCTGTTCACTGCTCTCCGTGGAGGAGGTGGAGGCACCTACGGCGTGGTCCTATCGGCCACGATCAAGGCCCACCCAACGCGTCCTGTGCTGGGCCACAATTTAGACGTCATTGCACTGAATGGAAACAACGCTGCGGTTCTCAACGCGACGGGCAGAATCATGTCGAAATTGGCAGCTCTCTCGGATGCAGGGTATTCCGGTACTGCAATCCTCACGCCTTTACCTGGACCATTGGTATATACACATCCTTTCCTGAACCTACTTGAGAGCAATTCCACCGAGGCTGTAGAAAGTGCCAAAGACGCCATGAACCGGCTCATTCTAGATGACCTGCTCCCACACAACGGAACCTCATATCTGGTGTTATCCACCTTCACCAGCTACCCTTCGTTCCATGCATACTACTCCAGCACCCACCACACAACCCCCGGTTCGAATAGACCGCTCATGGCGTCGCGGTTCTTTGACAAGCAAACACTGGAGTCTCCAAAGAACAATCTGACAAGCTTGCTCGAGACCGTCACCACTAACACCGTGCCCAACAGCAGCCTTTGGGCAACTCTGTTTAACATTGTCGCCGGCGGTAAAGTTCTTGAACCTGTACCTCATACCTCTATGAACCCGGCGTGGCGGAGAGCCCATCTCCTATTCCAGCAAATCGAGGTCTGGCCTGAAGATTTTGGCACCGAGGAGATTCAACAGTTTAGAAACCAGCTCACCAACAGAAAGCTGAAAGCGATGAAGGACATGGCTCCGGACATGGGCACCTATGTCAACGAAGCAGATCCGTACGACCCGGACTGGCGACAGGACTGGTTTGGAGACAAGTACGACTGGCTCGCATCGGTCAAGAAGAAGTACGACCCGGAAAACGTGTTTTGGTGCTGGCGATGCGTGGGAAACGAGGGCTGGGAAGAGGTGACGGGAGGTGCGTGGTTTGGACCGCTGTGCGAGACTGGGAAGTAGTTTAAGGCCTCAAGCAGATGGTTAGCCCACAATTCAGAAAAGGACCCACAGGATCACATAATGATGTATTCTTGTCTCGCTTGAATATTGTGTTTGCTCTGCATGTCTTGGCTAGTAGTCCCTGATCAGCCGGCCTGCCCATTGTGCTCTGCAGTTTCGATTCGATCATATACCACGCTGTAGCTAAGGCTACACAGTATATATAGTAAGTAGTATTCAGCGTGAGGGTCTATTCATCTATTGGATCGAGGACTTGTTATATATGGTTATATGGTAGATGAAAGGTACAAATTATGACATTTACCTTGACAGTCTTGCGAGACATTATTAGGGAATGAATATAGGTTTCCTATAATGACTTTTCTTAACTTTGATTTAATTGACAAGAGTAGCTCAGTAAGGAATTTATGTTCTTAGTCAGTTCAACAACCTCCCTCATGCTACTCGCGGTGTGTGATGCCATGTTGCTAAGCCTGCCAAGCCTCACCACCAGCAAGCAAGCAAGCAATATTCTAGCCATTTGAAAAAACGAAACCCGTCAGTAGGACAACAACACCAATCCATGTATCCCTTGATTAGCCTCTCCATGGGGGCTTATTTTCCTTCTTCGTAAACTGGTCGGATGGTGGCATTCTTCCTGGCTTCGGGTCTTTCTCACGCGTACTATCTGGCGGCATTCCTCCTGACGTCGGGCCTTTCGCAGGCTTACTGTACGGCGCGCGCCAGATATTGAACGCTTCCACGTACGGGCTCTCCTCATCGATCGCGAACGACGTCTTCGGGTCGGTGAAATCGAGCGCCGCAAGGTCCATCAGATAAAGCTTATTTGTCTGGGCATCGTAGTTAAGATAGCTGGGGTGTTGCTGGACCAGCTTATAGCCATTCTTGCGCATCATCCTACGAGATAACCAGCATTCGTTAGCAAATGAATCGGTACCAGATCTGTGGACTCACTCTAAGATATACGCAAGCTGAGTTCGGATACTGTCGAGCTGGCGATTGGTAAGCTCGTCTTGGATCTCATCGACGTCCTCTCCAGGGGGAAGTTGCATGGCAATAAAGTCAACATAGCCGCCGGGGAAAGGCATCCACTCTTCTTGGTCTTGAGTCTCATGGGCAAAATACTTTGGTCCAAGTCCACGTTCAGCCAAGAGCTTTATAGCCTGAACCTCGTAGCAGTAATGCTCTTCCGCGAACTCCTGAACCTCGCCTGGATCTTCGAAATCAAAGTCTTTCGGGTTTAGTTGGTAGCGTATCTTGAGCAAAGACTGTACTTTACTGTCCATGTTTTTGACTCTTGCTAAAACTTGGCGTTGACCCAGGTTTCGATCCAGGACCTCAGTGAGTTGCTCCTCAATCTGGAGCTTCCTCCCGTGGATATCGAAGACTCGTCCTTCCAAGGTGAAGTCCCACATGATGGGCTTGTTGTATGGCTTTGTGTTGATTGGAAATTAAGGTGCTTGTTATGATTTCCGATAGAACATGAAGTTGTGAGGTTTGAAGGTTTTTCTTGAGAGGGGAAAAAGCGGATATGGGTCACCAGCCGAATAAAATGAAGCCATCATTCACGATGACACCGAAATCATGTCACTACAAGTACGTCATCTAAAATGAATATGAATTCACTTTGAGGAAGCGAGAGTATTACCCACGCAAATATCCGATTCCACAGCTCCCGTTTGAGCTAGACGTAGTCTAGCGTCAATCACACACCGAGCAGCCTAGCATCTCTATTATATGAAGTAAATAGAGGGGGTACCTTCTGTGCTTCACAACTTTTTCCTCTCCTCACACCTCTTCATAACTTTGTCCTGCTGATGTTATTTTACACATATCACATAATAATATATCGGATCGAGACAGTCCAAAACTTGCAAACTAGACCAGTGAAGTGTCCAGCTGCGCGAAGCACAGTCAATGTACGTACGTCAATAATTAAAATCCTAATCGCCAATGTCCTTGGCTTATTCCTGCTTGGTACTGATGAGCCAAAGAGACAAAGTCCCCTTTATAACTTCTTAGTAAACAGTGAAAATAGCCCACTATTTCACAAGACACGGTTTTCAATTAACTTAACACCTAGGCTACAAGAAAGGGGAGTATACCGCTCTTAGGCCATACAAAGATATGCCGAACAGTCTAACTGTTGGCCCGCAGCCTTGATGGGATTCGGGGAACACCCCCTACTATAATAGCCTCCCCTTTATTTCTTGTACTTTCTCGACAATGTGTCAGAATTAGCTTCCATAAGCTTTAAATGCAAATACTCATGAGAAAGAAATGTGTTTAAAACACATTCAATACCAGAGTCTTAAGTAGGAATCAATCTAACTGTGAATACATATAATGCCTATGAATCTCGTCTCTTTCACACATCTAGGAAGCAGAGAGATAGATTCTTTTGGTACTCTAGGCGTATATAACTACCGTCTTAGCTACTCGTTCTACATAAGTTGGAAAGTTTCGTTGAGCAGAAGTGATATATCAAGCCTTTGCGTTGAACTCATTGACGATAACAATTGTCCGTAAACATGTCCTCATCATTGAAGCTGCCAATGGTCCATCGCCAATGCCTCTGGTCCCCCATTCCAAACTTGATTACTGTTCCAGGCTTCAGGACCTTGAAACCTGGTGGGTCCCAGTTTACACTGAAACCCACGCAGGTTCGGGACTGGCCAAATTTTACAAGGGAAATCAAGGAACTCCTAGGCCCATGCTGTGGCAAGTATGAGGCCTTTGTGCCTGTTATACCTCGAGAGGTCTTTGGCGTGGCCAACGAATTGGGGGTGCAGGGACGTTTTGTCAACAACGCCCTGCACCCCGTGGGCGAGATCGCCAACCTGCTAAGGTTAGGTGTCTGTTTTGGAGACCCACAATACGGTATAAACAGACGCCAGGATGAGATCAAGAAAGGGAAGAAGCGGAAGCACGGAGCGCAGAAGACAGACGGTGTGAAAGGCAAGCTTGTGCCGGATCTCGTCCTAGTAGATGGCAAGACACATGCCATCAGAGTACTAGGCGAGGTGAAGACTTTCTGGGCATTTACTCCCAAGAAGCATCAGACATGGCATGAGTTTATCTGCGACAAGCTAGGTCAGTAACCATGTGCTGGCATGTATCTAGATTCTCTATGCTGACTGTAGTTTCGATACGTATAGGTCAGCTTGCCAGGTATATGGACGACCACTATACTCGGTACGGATTTTTTACAATCTACGAGTATACGTGGTTCGTCAAGCGAATTGACGACACCCACTTTGCCATGTCCCCACCTATAAGCACAACAGCACAGTCATCTGCAAATAGCGTTTCACTGCGAGAATGTCTTCTTGCGATAGCCCTTAGGGCTTCAGATGATAGAGCAAGCTACTACGGTACAAGGCACGGTTCGAAATTGGTAGGGCTACCACGTGGCACTCTCGAAATTTCACATTGTTGCTAATATCTCTGACCAGACTGTTCGTGGATACCGGCCTATGCGTATAGATCGCAGGGTGAGGCTGAAGCGGGCTCAGTAAAAATACTTTCGGCCAGGAATACATTTTGGAAGTTCTCCACTCTTAAATTTTACTTAGTGGTTAATAGAAATACGCACTTTTTCTGACACTGGTTTTAATCTAATTCAGATAGTTAGCTAACTTAGGATCCTGGTTGATTGCCACAACGCCTTCTCTCCTAGATCCATATCCAGTTGAAAGATCTAACTTGAGTTTGTCTTTACATTTATTGCTATATTACCCCTATCTATTTCATTCATATAATGGAGGCACTAGACTGCTCAATGTGCGATTGAGCCTGGGCTGCATCTGGGAATGAAACGCAAGATGATATCTGAGATACTGTGACTCAGTGCAGTACCATGGTTGTCATCCTGTCATTTCTTCGTTTTCTATTAATTCTGGTCTACTGAGTTAGTATTGACTGTTGGCACTAGATTAACTTAATATTTTTGATAAAACCCCAGTTTGAATATTCATTTCATAGCTATATTCCCACACCCTCGCCTCTGTCCACTGCTACTAGGATTTTCTTTCTCTCCTCTCCTCTCTATCCAGATATTTCATCTTCTCCATCTGTCCATCTGTCTCTCGTTCCAACTGCGCCTTCTGAACTGTTCCTTACCCCTCTATACACCATCCCCGGGTCATCTTCTATGCCTTTCTCGGTCAAGCACTGAGTGAGTGTCGGAGCCACTCCAAAATCAACTCCTAAATCTTACGGGTCACGTGGATTTCAACCTATACTAAACATCACCAGCTTCTTTTTCTTCTCTTTCCACTCAAAGTCTTCCACACTCCACTGAGCCATACTCCTCTCAGCAACGTATTTCCTACTGTTTTACTTCTAGAGCACATAGTCCAATCTTGGGCGTGTTAACTTTGTCGGCTTGGCTCTGCGAACAATGGCCTCATTCTGTGGCTCATCCTTGTGTCCTTCCGCAGATTCAAGCCCATACCCTATCCTCCTTGGGCTCCTCTCTCCCTTTCAGGCTATCTCAGTAAGCTTCCTATCCTATTCATGAAACATGTTCACTGGTACTAACATTGGAAGCCTTAGTAATGGCGTCAGTAATCCACGACCAGTTCAAAGCCACGCTCCAGGCGGCGATGCAGCAGAAAAGCGGCGACTACAAGAACGTCTACCCGATTACTGTCAGATGGGTGAAGGATGACACGGATGCCGGTAGAGGTGCCGAGCACTTTCGGAAAATGCTCAAAGACCTTGATGTTGGACGAGCCGATGAGCTTATTATTTGCGCTGATGACCCTGCACCCAGGTTCACGTTTGAAAAAGCCTGGGTCAAGTTCCTCGGAAACGCCATAGCTGAAACTGAACGCAACTTGGTGATCTTTCATTATGCGGGTCACGGAATGACAAAGACTGGAAGCTTTGTTTGTGCAGACACAAGAGCGGCCAAGAAGACCATCAATGCGAACCGCTACCTCCTACGAGGCGTCAAAGACCCTCACGTTATGTCCTATTCAATCAATACGGATATATTGCTTATTCTTGACTTCTGCTAGGCTCACACCGCCACTCGCGCGCCAGCCATCCCACGCCGAGTGGTCGAAGTGCTCGCGGCGACAAGCATAACAACACCTCTTGCAAGATCTGGACCCGATAACACATTCAATGGAAAGCTTGCTGGTGAAGTTGCTCGGCGAAAGAGACAAGGCCACAAACATGTCGAATTTGCCGATGTCTTTCAGAGCCTCAGAAGCCGTGCGGATAAGGTGTAGCCTACACATGCCGTGCTGGTTGGTGTCTCATCCACCTGTCTGCCCTTGAACGGGCCTAAGATCATTGATCCCACCGCTATCGCTGCGAGTTACACAGCCATTTTCAGTGTAAATGTTGCGAATGATCAGACCGCTGAAGAGATCAGGCAGCTCACCGCATGGATGCGCAACCTGCCGCCCTTCACGGGGTTGGCCTTCGACAGTGTGTTTCGCAAGTCAATTTCTACATGAAGCAGGATCATGCGCGCTACGGTTTTATTATAACCGATCGTGAACTTGCCACTATCTGGAGGCTCGATAGAAATGGCAATTTGTATCTAAAGAAAGTATAACTACAGAATCTCAGTTATCAATTGGACGCAGAGTTCTCTCTAAAACGTTGTATGTACAACTCACTAGTATAACTATGACAACAGTGGGACATGCAGCTATATAAATAGAGCAACATATTCTGTATTAGCAAGAAACTTACAGTTACTATTTGCATTTAACTATAGGGCAGATCATAGCAAGCACTACATATACTCAACTGAATATCAATAAAACAACAATTGCAGGAAAGCAAAGCTATAATATCAGAGAAGACATTAGGAAAGTCCATCTACCTTCCAAAGATGCAATCAATGGAGATACCAGTCCTGGTTATTTGCCGCGAGTATCCCCAGATACCAGATTGCAAGTAACGCAGTTAGTCTCGTCTGTGAAGTGGTACCCTTTGTAGTCCAGGGGATAGATGCCGAGAGCTCCAAATTGCCGTTTCTATCGAGCCGCCGGATAGCGACAAGTTCACGATCGGTTATAATAAAACCGTAGCGCGCATGATGTTGTTTCATGTAGAAATTGACTTGGGATAAGACCTGTTTAAATTCTGTCCGACTATGGGAGTTTTGGTGGTTTCTCAAATCAAGGGACCATTTGTAGGAAGGTTTGATTTTACTCGGGAGGCGGTTCGGTCTGGTTTTGGCCTCGAGATTCGGATTAAAGAAGGCAAAGTCGGGAGTGTAGTTATCAATAGTTGCAGCCATTGCACCAACATCGTAGTGTATAACAGTGAAATTACCCAGCTGTTGGGTAGACTGCATATATGAAAATCCACAGCGAAGAGCACGTATAATCCGGTTAGTTAGATAAGAGTTAATACGGGATCTGACTGCCGCCTCAGAGTTTATTGGCCGCGGAGGAGAAGATTGAAATGGTTCATCGTCAATTCGTGCGGCAGCTAAAAGGGTCCCGTACTGTTGTTGGATAGAAGTGAAGTTGAATCCTGCCCAGTGGCCCACATTTCTGATATCACCAGCTCCGTAATTATCATCCCGTGTGTTCTGTGGTGACTGTCCTTGTTCGATGATAGGCAGCAGAGGAGGACCATGTTGTAAGTACGTCATGAGGCTAACTTGGGTCGCCATGGTATATCAAAAAAAAGAAAAAGAAGATGCTGTCAAAAAGATCTGCAGAAGGAAGCCTGATACTGATACTTGTTTAGTAGGCGCTTAGAAACTAACCCAAATGTTTTCCTCTGTATATGACTTCATGGGTGCGTAGGAAACTACCGAAGTACTGTTTCAACCTCGCACAATATTGGAGGGATTGGCCAAGGAGAGAAGTCACATGTGCCGCACTTAAATTGGCAAGTGGGCGCTTATGACATCGAATCTTCGAAAGGGATGAGCATTCAACTTCCTATCTGATTGTGTCAGTCGGCCACCCAAGTTGGAAAGCCAACGCACGCACAACTTGCACTCAACCCTCGTCTTCCGCTTTGTACTTGCGATCTCCACATAGCCCTCATGTCTAATGAGATTGATGCGAAACTACTATCGGAGGTTGAATTCCTCGAAACGCTGAAGGAAAGTAAATACTCAGTGGTTTTCAAAGTCCGTTTCCAGGAAAGGATATGTGTTATGAAAGTGGTAAGTATTCTGAGTTATTTACTGGCTTCTTTCTTGCTTATGATTAAAGTATCATGATAGAGGCCCGTCTGAGTATGATCCCCCTGACCGCGAAGTCAATCTTTTTATTTCTGAGTCTACCGCATACCATCGAATGAAATCGAAGGGCTTATGCGAAAGGGGTGTTGTCCCAGATTTTTATGGGATAATGAAAAATATTCAGCCGGCTCTTTGTCCAAATCTTTATATGTTTTTTCACGACATACTGCCGCCTAATGCTATTTTTATCGAGTATATTCCCAATCTGCAGTCAATAGACCTATCCAACTTTTCAGTACAACGCCTGGCTAAGCTCCGCGAAATTCTTGATGATATTCACAGGGTACAAGTTCTTCATGGTGATGCAAAGCCCCGCAATATGATGGTATCTTTAGGGGAGTACGAGAGGGTACTCTGGATAGACTTTGACTCTGCCCAGACATTTTCAGAGGGTGGTCGTTCACCAAGACAGCAAGAGTGGATCGAAGAAGAAGATGAGCTGGTGGACTATTTTGTTGATGCCTTGGTAAGTTCTAGTGTTCTCGCTACGGCTTTTACTGACTGTCAAATAGGCTCGGGATTTCAAAGAAGGGAAGCTGAACCGTGCATATTCGTACTATTATGAGTGGTACATATAGGCGGGAAAAAGACCTAGCTGGAGAATAGTACTTTGTACACAACGTTAAAACCTGGTGCTCTAGATATCTTCAAACGAGTAATATCGAGTCGTTGGTTCTTATACCATATTAGTTCTTCTGGTGAAATCCAGCATCAGATACATAATTGAATGGCGATTAGGTGGTGGACTTTTCTGTATATTGTTATCTTTTTCTTTTTATCTGTCGGTCTCTTTGAAAAGAATATATTTGCCTTCTCTCTGTCGGTTTTCAGGGTCCTAAAACAGATGAATAGCTGGTAATAACTTATCAGACTGATTCTAAACTGCAAAGAACGCCAGGGTCTATGTACGAGGAGCTTGGAATTTACTGGTAAACCCAGCCGTGCTGTGGCATATGCACTTCTGCGCTTGAAAAGGTGCAATGTCTCACCGGTTCCCTCCCTTCAACCTCTCCCCATTGCAGCGGCAATACTGATTCATCTTCTCGGGATAGGTCCGCTGGATTCACATTGGCATGACAAGCGGCTGCAATAGCCAGACTACAGCTCCCGGCGACTGGCATCCCAGACTTGAAACGTCTGAAGCTCAATCCGATAAGAGCACCCAGAGCGACAGCTCCAACCGAAATGGTTGCCACAATGGCCAATGCCGAATACCCACAGGTTATTATATCGTTGGTGGGATCTCACTGCTGATCCACCGTGTACGCTTCGATCATGACAAGGAAAAGGCTCTCGGATATGAGCCAGTGCACGAGCGTTGATACAATCATGAATGGAATGGCGTAGCGGTATGGCAAAGAGAGGAAGTACGTGCTTCGTTGTGTGCCCATTGGCTCGGAAGAGACTCGCAGTCCTTTCCGCTGGCTTGCATACTGACTCCATTCATGAGCTAGGGCCATGGTCGTGATAAGACCGTTGCATGCAAAATATAGCATGGAGAGTATGAGTTGGGGTAGATTTGCCACTAGGGTATTGGCCACCACTGACGAAATTGTGTATCCCCCAGAAGAGATCAGTGTTTGGGTGCTAATTTGCCCTAGCCCGACACTCCAGATTCCGGTCGAGTCGAAGGAGAGCATTAATCCGAGCGCAAGGAGGGCGCCGCAGGCTACAAGAGCAACTGAATAACTGCATATTATCAGTCAATTCATTTTTACTAGCAATGTAGAGAACTAGACAGAGATGGAGGTCGAGTACTGACCATGTGATCCCAAGTGACCATCTCCTGCGAGACATAGCCGACCGCCATCTTTTTGGGTTTGCATCGAACTTCATGGTTCTGCTGATTCTGGAAGATTTTCTTACAGATTCCATAGTCAATAGACACATGCCTCGCGAGCATTGGTCGGGTGCTCTCAAGAAAGATGAAACTGCGTCACCAGTGGTAAGAAGGGGAGAGTCCTTCAAGTTGAAAGCGACATAGCACAAGACTATAGCCTTCACAATATTAAATGCGATCACAATGACCACCAAATACAAACTGTACTGTAGCTTGCAATGTGGAGTAGGCTCCTCAACAAGGCAGTACTCTGATTTATACCCACCCACTGTCCAATTGTTTTCGGCTACTCGAGCTTGGACTTGTGGTAGAGAAGTGATGCATGGAGTCAATTGCCACTCATATTTATGATGTTCCAAGTCTTCACATATCCAGTTATATCCACTTGCACCGACAACGGCTACGTTAGTTTTAAAGACCTGTTGCGTATACACAAGATTGAAATGATCGGCCGGAGTGGCGTTGCCTGTCACTAAAATGAGACTGCCATATGTCGACTGAAATGCAGTGGCATACGCATTGACACACGCGGAATTGTCAAGTCGGCGTAGGGTGCCGTTTTGCGCTTTCGCATGCAGTCTGAGAGCTGCTTGTCGGTTCCCGTTATCCCCAAAGTCCGATTCTATAACCGAAACAGCGGTGTCATTCGGTGAACCGTTTGCGGCAAAGACATGATAAGCGTTGGCGGACACTGACGAGAAAACGGTAGAATTGTACCTAGGGTCTGAATATTAGTTGAAACTTACAAGATTATAAGACACGTTGAGAACGCGACGAAGCAAGGCGCGTACATCAAATGGAGAGGAAGAGAGGAGAAGGCTAAACACATCCACAGCCAGAACCGTTTCTTGGTTATTTGGGACAGGTTTCGCACACTCAACACACCGACGTCGAGCCATTGTCCGGTTCGATGGGCTGTGTCAACCTCTTTCCTCGTTGGTGCACCCAAAACCTGCTGCTTTATAGTGAGTTTGTGTATGCGTATGGTGTTAAGAAAAGTGTCTCAAGCATACCATACAGTAGTTGCTTGCACTCAAGAGAGAGGTGCTTAAAATGTTAATGACCAAGTGAAAGCCTATACCAGCATTTCGGACCTTCTTACAGTCCCCCGCGTAGAGGACTCCTTGACCATCTTGAACATGGCGATGCTGAACAGCCCATAAGGTAAAGCCTAGATTGAAGACAAGCACAACCACGGAAATCACGCATCCGAACAAAAGCGTGCGCCTCCAACCAACGAACTGTTCTTTAAATGGCTTCGGCCTATTCCTGTCTGATTGAATGTCTGGATGTCTGAATTCATATTGGTAATCTTTGTTCTTGCTTGAATTGCCATCGGAACGCATCAGTGGTTCCGCATCTCGTCGAAGAAGTGTCAACTCCATATGTTGGACGTAGAGTGAGAACTGTATCAACTTGAAGCAGACAATGGACGCAAATTAAGAATATTTTGGTTTCGGGGAAAGGCTGGACTTGGGGCTCTCATGACTTTGACAATCCCCCTAGGGGACGGCATAAAACTTAGAGGCGTCTCTATTTATTTGATTCTGGGCTGTGTTCGGTCGAAGGCAGCCATGTCTGGACTGCTTAACCCGCAGCTCAAATCCTTCGCGTCAGGTTATCAAAAAGATTAAATGGGTGCCTCGTATTCTGTGATGCCGATCACAACGGACCCGCTGAGCCATTCGCGACTTCACGGGAACTGTTTTAAGTTCAGCCAGGAATATGTTCGAGTCCTGTGATAGGGAAGAGTAAAATGCTCCTGTCTGGATATGGGGTTTTGCCTGGATGATCCCGAGCGCTATGGATCGACCTCTTCCACTAACTGTTGGCTTGCGCACATACCCCTGCTTGATTTGGTCAAGCTTCATCGCATCGGTTCGTGTATCCAAATCTCCTCATGACCAACGATTATCTGATACAGTGTACCCCGGAATGTCTCTGGTGCTCGACGTTCTAACAGTCACAGTGACCCGATAATCTCAATTACAGTACAACCCAGTCGAGTACTAGTAACCAATATATTATCCTATTGCTGGGGTAGAGTACTGCCCCACGTCGATACTCAATCGCAAGTCGCCGTCGACTGCAAAGAGAGACCCAAAATGCTTCAATAGACGGTATCATAGTCCCCGAATGGGGTGGTACTGTGGCATGGCATCCAGATAGCCTCGGTAGCGCTAGCTCTCCGCCAGAACCTAACTTTCATTCGTCATCACTCCTTTCTTCCACCTTAAATGGGATATAGGTTTCCCCAGTGATTGTACTCTGTCAAGTAGTTCTATGTACTCACTGTCCGCGTGTCAGCCTGTCATAATACGCTTCACGCCTGTCAGCAAGGTAACTAGATGCACTCTTCCCTCCATTGTCTTTTGCTTCTGGGTCCGCACCATGGCTAACTAATAAGTTGTACACTGTGGAGGAATCCGCGTAGGGGGACAACGGGGCCTTGTGTAGCGGTGTTTGACCATATTCGTCTCGGGCGTGGATATCTAGACCCCACCGCAGGAGCGCACGTATTGCATCAGTGGCACCTTCTAGGGATGCATGATGCAAGGCTGTTTGTTGCAACGCATCTCTGGCGTTTTTGTCAGCGCCAGAAGTGAGGAGCGCTTCAAGAGCTGCAATGTTTCCTTGCATAGCTGCCCGGTGAAAGGGCCTCTTGCCCTCATAACCTTCTGATTCGATGTTTGCACCGTGCTGAAGAAGCAAAGGTATTAGATGGGCCTTATTGGAATCAATCGCACAACATAGCGCATTTCCACGACGTCCAGTCCGGTTCAAAGATACGAATTCGATGTCAGCGCCGTACTCGACTAGTAAGTTGATGCACTTCTCTTGATTATGCCCGATTGCAAATGCCAAGGGTGTATACCCGTAATGGTCCATTACGTCGGTCTTTGCACCAGATTTGAGAAGGACACGGACAACCTCTGGATGATGATGACGGACTGCAACATGAAGCGCTGTTTCCTCTGAGATATACGCCTTTTCTTGTATATCTGCACCCTTGTCAAGAAGGAGCGATACCACTGCTACAGAGCCGCTGCATGCCGCATTCAGTAGATCACACGAACCCACTGCTGCCCCGGCATCCAGAAGTAAAGTTATCACCTCTGCGTAGCCGTACCTTGCAGCTAACTGTATCGCGGACCTTCCCTGTAGTCGTGCGGAAACAACAAATCCGGTCTCCAGAAGTAGCTTGACTATGTCTGTACAACCACGCTTAGAAGCAAGAGGCAAGGCCGTTGCTCTGTGTTGAGCATGATGTTGCGGCACCATGTCCCTTTCTAACAAGACTTTAACAATGTTAAAATTCCTACCATAAATGGCAAAGTGCAAAGCACACCACTTTAGGTCATGTTGGGTTGACTTTATCTGCGCGCGAGAAGAGTACATGTGGACTCCTTTGTCAAGCTGAATGCGTGGGTTCACAAAATAGTCTTCACGATCCTTTAAGACCAGGAGTTTGAAGATGTTCTCATGTCCCCCCTTTGCCGCCAGATGCTTTGCACCTGGAAAAGAAGGGTCATGAGGCATTTCGGCACCTCTATCGAGAAGAATCTTGACAGTTCCCTCATGCCCCCCCTGGGCGGCCTTAATCAAGATACCTGAGAGCTTGCTGCCTATAGACCATAGTATTCGCTTAGACAACATCGCCACAACTTCTTCATATCCAGCTGAAGCGGCAGCGCTCAGCGCCTGTATACCACGTCGAGATGAAGGCCGCGCGCCATGCTTCAACAACAGTGGGATAGCCCACTCGCAGTTCCGCACGGCGGCTGTCTCGAGTAAATTTTCCACCACAGTCGTTTTTGTCATATACCAGATCCTTCGAAGACGGATCTTGTCAAGGAACTCCAAGAACGGTTCGGTGGGTAAACGCACAAGAAGCATCCGCACAACTGACTCCTGGCGACAAACAATGGCAGCAGTCAAGCATTTCTCTAAGCAAGTCAAGCTTATTAAGTGTGAATTTGCGAGTAGTAATTTGTGGACCAATGCGTCATATCCTTCCTCACATGCGATATGGAGTGCTTTTTCTGGGCCCGTATTCATATACCAACATTTCGACGTCAACGGCTCCAGTTGTGCAAGACACGTTTGGAAAGACGCTCGGGGAACGGTAGATATTAAAGCGGCGAGGAAGTGGTTCCCTGCCAGTTTGAGTCGGAAACGATCCAAGACGGTCAGATAGGAGACAATATATTTTATGGTGTCTGCTGGTAAAGAAAGGAACCCCTTTCAAGAAGTGAGAGTCAATGACTATCCTCACAGTGAAAGAAAAGGCCACACGTGTCAGCCTCACGTACCATCGCAACCGGGGCCATAAACGTGTTCTTTGAACCCTTTTTAAACATGTCAGCCTGATGGTCCCTTCATACTAACCTTAGGAGCAATGTACCCTGTCGGTTGAGAGGGTTAGACGTTTTAGTGTCCCGAACAGAGACGCATGCCCTCCCTTCTCTTTTCTGCTGCCGTCTATCGCCCGGCTGGTCATGATGGGCGGGGGGTTAACTCATAGTAGTGTGGTATTCAGTGACGAGAGTTGTTGATAAGTCACTGTCGCTGCAGTATGTAGCGTTAGCGAGAGCCTCCTTTCCCCTCTTTTCCACTTGCCGGTCGCCGCGTAACTCTGATTAGCGCTTCCGAAGGGCGTGCTCGTATTCCTAGTCTCCCAGCAACAAGACCATGCATTTTATACTCACACTAAGTCACGAGCTTTTTGGCAGTTCGACAGGTCAATGCTGGATAATAATATCTTCAATTAATATATATGCAATGTAGACAAGGGTATTGGTTATTCCGGTGGTTTCTCTATCGATATATCAGACAATATCTGTATACAATCTATGCAAGGGCCGACTGAGTGTTGTAAACATCGCTTCATGCAGTGTCTTTGGGAAAGTCATCCTCCCAACCAGAGACATCATTGACGCTGATTTGTTGGTAATCAAATTATTCAAGAGCATGAGACGTCATGGACCTTGGTAACGCTGGCCAAATATATTCCGATGGATACAGCTGATAGAAGGGGGAGAACAACATGTGAGAATAAAGATAAAGTAAGAAGTTTCTATGGAAGGAAATTAGATGGGGCGTCATTCATTGCCCATATACAGTATACCTACAAGTCTTACATTCTTGGCTTGTCAACATTGAGAAGCAATTCGTTCACGGCCGTTGACGCCGAAGAGATCGCCCCAGTAATCCAGGCATGATGTAAGCTTAAATGCTCCCCAGCAAAATAAATGTTGCCCTCGCACCTCCCTATTTCCTTGGAAAAACGAGAAAACTGACCAGGGAGATACATACATCCCCCTGTTGACGAATGGCAGGACCAGCTGATATCGAATGCTTCGATGAACTCCTCATAAACGTCCAATGCTTCATCTTCCCCAGCAAACAATGTTCTGAGGTCGTGCAGAGCTAGTTGGACACGATCTTCAAACGGCATGGCACTCCACCGTACAGCGTCTGCCATCCAGGAGTACAAGAGTAAAACACCAGACCTATTAGCTCCCAGGTCATTGGACGGATAGATCACCCATCGCACTCTAAGATCGGTCATACTTTGGCCTCCAAAGCATGGGGTAGCAAATGTTTCCCAGAAACGAGATCGAAAGTGGATGCCCATCTTATAAAGTGGTTCATAATAAGTAGCACTTATTGCCTGCTCCTTGACGAAACTCCAGCGCGGTCGTTCCAACATATTTTTCAGTGATGAGAGAGGTATTGCCATGATAACCCTGTCAAATACTCTGGTTATAGTAGAAGAGGCCCCCTGAATCACAAGACTAACCTTTTTGCCAGGACTCGTATGAACCTCTCTGACGGCTGCGTTCCTGTGAATATTGTGGGCTCCAACGAGACTGGCGATGGCATCAATCAGCCGGGACATGCCACCTTTGATTGTAACCCATTCTATTTTGAGCTGAATTAGTTGACGTGTTCATCCAGATTGAGATATACTCACCTTTGGTACCAAAGTCTAGGTACTGCATAATGACCTCCGTGAAACTTAAATCATATTGATTGGTTTGACTCGTCATCATCTCCACAAAGTCGATCACTTGGTGTGGCCATTGGACAACCTGGCGTAAATACTGGCGAAAAGACATCTCGTCATATTGGAGCACGCATTTGAAACCTGCCTCGAAGTCATTCGCTAAAAGTGTCATCCACTCTCCAATCGCACCCTTCAAAAGATCCTGCGCGCTCTGATTACAATATTCGTCCGGTAATCCGAGTTCAGCCGCCAAACTGATGTCTTTGGCCTTTCTCTTCTTTCCGCGCACAAATACTATATTGTTCTCATGTGTCATGATGTAAGGGATGAATTCAATCCTCATCTCACGAGACGTGTGCTGATTTAAATGCCTCGTGAGATTGAATACTGGACGGTGTATCGAAGTACAAGGTATGCGCATGGCTCCGGCCTCAAAATATGGATCGTCATTCAATGTGTTTGGTGGGAAGTGGTATGTATATATTCGGCCGCCGAGGCGGTTGGTTGCTTCAAAAAGCGTCACTTGGAACCCTTGTTGAATCAGCAGTAATGCTGAATAGAGACCTGAGATCCCTCCGCCAACAACACCGACATGCATTTGGAGCTTAGGCTGTAGACATAAATCAATACCAATGAAGGAGAACCAGGCCGCATGCTATGGTCTATTGTCAACTCGTCCGGTGTAGGGGGCACCACTACTCGGCATATAACAGAGACTATGCTATCAAGTACGCATGGCCATCCTCCATAATTCCGTCGCATAATAATCATATTGCAATTGATTGCATTTAAGTGCAGCATGCGTCGATCAGATGATTATTGCCCCCTGACATATCACATACCGCCGCCTCCAATGGCTTACCACCTTGACCACACCGCTACAGATGGCCACGATACCCGAGGTTCTCCGGAGATGTAGGCTGCTGAGCTTGTCAGCGCTCATTGGGGCATTCAATGGATAGTCCCGACTTACAATGCATGTCTGCCGCTCAGTCTGTTGAACAAGCTATCCAGGAGCCAACTATGTTGCCAGCCTCTTGTAGAAACCCATTCTCTCCATTTTCTCATTCTGTACGCGGTTGGCAGCTACTCGGTTCGGGTCCGCGCAATGGTACAGGTACTTACCTACCAAAGCTACCGAGGTAGTTGCCTTCACGCAGGCATCCTCAATCCTGCCACCCTTTTTACAAGTCAGTAGAGAGATGGTGGCGGTGAGAAGTGATATTTGACTTTCATCTGCATGTGGATTGCTTCCCTGTGACGCATTCATCTTCTGAGAAGGCCTAATATACTGAGCCGATATCTTATCTGTGCCATATCACTCATCACAACATTACTACTGTTATCAGTGGAAAAAACCAATAGCATGACGGTTACTCCTGAGACTCGTGGAGCATTGCTTCCACATGTTGTCGATAACTTAGCGGAGGCCAGTTCGGCTGCTATTTTTTGCGTGCATCCCATTTCTCCCGACATCTCTGACGGGTGGCAAAGTATCACCTTCAAGGTTCTCGCCCAGGCCGTCAATAACCTGGCATGGTGGATAACAGACAGCATTGGACATGGCAAGGGCCTCGAGGTATTGGCGTATATTGGTGCAAATGATGTACGATATGCCATTTTTTTATTGGCTTGCTTGAAGTCTGGATATGTGGTAAGAACAAGAGTATCCAACATTCTCTCGGGCTTAATGGCTAATAAACTACCTAGGCATTCTTTATATCTCCACGGAACCAGGCAGGGGTTCATTCAAGCCTGTTGCAGTCCACAGCATGTTCCAAGCTGGTTTTTAGCGCCGAGCGCGAAAGAGAAGCGACCGATATCAACACCGAGGAATCTAACATGAAGAAATGGGAGATTCCGTCGCTGTGGGAGCTTCTTCATCGCAAAGGGGGTGCATTTCCCTTCAATAAAACGTTTGAGGCTGTCAAGGATGAGCCGGCAGTCGTTATTCATAGCTCAGGCTCGACAGGTTAGTCCATTCATTCTATCATTAACATCATGAATCACCGGCTCACTAAAGACAGGCACTCCCAAACCTGTGTACTTGACCAATGGTTATCTCTCAGTTCTCAACAATATCACAACACTAGCGACACCTGCAGGAAGAACCAATATAATGCCCAGTTCTATGGAGGGTAGAGGTCCCATCCTATCCATGAGTCCGTTCTTTCACATGATGGGTCTCTACATGTTCACGGAATCAATTTTCCATGCGACCCCTTTCGTACAGTTCCCTGACAGGCCAATGACCATCGATTTATTTAGCCAGGTTGTCAAGGCTACTCGTCCAGCGCACGCAATGCTTCCTCCATCAGTTATAGAGGAGCTAAGCGCTTCCCCAGAAGGGCTGAAATCATTGCAAAGCTTCCACGCAGTGATCTTTAGTGGAGCACCGCTCTCATCTGACGTTGGCAATAGACTGGCGAGCACGGTTCAGCTGTGTTCTTTCCTTGGCTCTAGTGAGGCAGGTGTTATCCCAGTTCTGGTGCCAGAGGACAAAAAGGACTGGGCATATTTTGAATGGAACCCATCATATGGTGTTCATCTGTTGCCTGTTGCGAGAAACCTATACGAACTCATCCTCTGCCGGCCCGGAAATGGCGAGCGAGATTTTCACGGCATCTTTCACGTGCTCCCTGATCAGTACACCTACCATACGAAAGATCTCTTCAGTCCCCACCCCACAAAACCTAACCTCTGGCAGTTCCAGGGGCGTCTCGATGATGTTATCGTGCTCAGTAACGGTGAGAAGTTCAATCCGATCTTGATGGAGAGGAAGATCGAGAGCCACCCTTTGGTCTCAAGAGCAATTGTTACTGGTCAAGGAAGGTTTCAGGCCTCGCTGCTTGTGGAACCTATCTGGGAAAAACTGGGCGATGCTTCTGAAGATTCCCTTATTGATCAGATATGGCCACTTGTGCAGGAAGCCAACCGCCTTGCTCCCGGTTATGGAAGACTGTTTCGGTCGACCATCGGCATGACCTCGAAGACCAAACCATTCAAGGCATTGCCCAAGGGCTCAATCTCACGTCGGCAAGTAGTTGTTGATTATGCCCGGGAGATTGAGGAGATCTACGCCCGCCCAGATAGAGAATTCGTGGGGAAGTTACCCAGTAATGCTTCTCCTCTGGATCTTTACAATTACCTTCCACATGTTGTCTCCTCTGCCCTCAATATACAGGATATTCCGGAGGACTTCGATCTTTTCTCTCGTGGAATGGACTCTTTACAGGTTCTCCGTCTTGTAAAGGCCTTGCAGGGTGTACTTCGTTCTCACTTCCCCGGTAGCAACTTCGAAGCAATTACTAGCCAACACTTGTATTCCATTCGGAATATGGACAGCCTTACAAAGTTCATGTATTCGTTGGCCACGGGGAATAGTGAAGGTGTCAAATCACCTGTGGATCTTGACCAGTCCCGGTCCAAGAAATTTGCAGCTTCCGTCGAGAGGTTCACATCCAGTCTTCCCACAAACCTATCTCAGAAAACAGACAAGAAAATTAGAACAGGGAGCACGGTGCTAGTGACAGGCTCAACAGGATCTCTGGGTACTTATCTCCTGAGCAAGCTTATTGATCAACCAAAGGTCGAACGAATATTCTGCCTGAACAGGGCCGAGGATGCTCTATCCAGACAACATCAAAGCTTCAAAGACAGAGGCTTGGTCTTCCCCCCGTCCGCCCTGTCTAAGGTCACGTTCTTTCAATTCAGTCTGGGCGAGGAAAGGCTTGGTCTGACACAATCACAATATACTACGTTACAGACCTCTGTCAATACTATATTCCACTGTGCGTGGAATGTGAACTTCAACCGGAGTTTTGCCGACTTTGAAGATATTGAGCTCCGAGGGCTTTCTCAACTATTGTCTCTGGGTATGGAATGTGAGCATGAAGCCCACTTCCATTTTCTCTCATCCATCTCAGTTGTTGGGAGGTGGGGAGTGAAGAATGATTATGACACCGGCGTACCAGAAACTATTGTCGAAGATGCAGCAACGGTACCTTTGCAAGGTTACGCGGAGGCGAAACACGTCGGGGAGAGAGTCTGTGCCGCGGCTGCAGCTCGTTATGGCCTTCCCATCACTATCTACAGGGTTGGGCAGCTTGGAGGCCCCACGACGGACAAAGGAATGTGGAATAAACAAGAGTGGCTACCAGCCCTCATCATAACATCCAAGGCGATCGGCGAGGTTCCGCAAACTCTTGGCCAGGTGCCAATAAATTGGATACCTGTAGTAAGTACAACAGAAAGTAAAATATTTTTAAGATTTGGGTTAACAACCATGACAGGATACTTTAACACAAATCGTCCTCGAAATCGCCGATTCGCGTCAACACTACCAAGCAGGGAAAACATTTTCGCTCTTTAACCTTGTTAACCCTACCGTTGTCCCATGGGAATCGCTCATCACGGCGATACAAAAACGATTCTCTACGAATGTTGTCGCTGACGAGACGTGGCTCGCGCGTCTTGACAGCATCGAGAATATAACAGATGCTGATCTTGCAAATAAGCCAGCGTTGAAAATTCTCGATGTTTATAGACGTCTGTTCGCGAAAGACACATATCCCAAGTTCAGCATAATAACGAATAAGGGCCAGCATGCTAGTTATACCATGCGCAACATTCGGCCTGTGGATGCAGACTGGATGGATCTCTGGATGAAACAGTGGGGGCTTTAAGATCTTACATTGAATCAAAGTATAGTTCCATAATTTGGTGATTTCGGACGAGGTTTAGATAGTCTATACCAGTGAAAAAGGCTCTTTATGTTGCTCATTGTTGGAGAGCAAGCACAAGACGACATGGGCCCTGGTAATAGTGCTCTCATCAGAGTTGGCACCGAGATTATAGTACTTAAGCCGCATCTCTCTAGCATCACTTGAGAGATCTATTTATTCCAGGACTCATGTTACACCCGCAGTAAGCTTTGGTGGTTTCTTTTAAGCAAGTGTTATCAGTGTCATAAGTCCTGTAGCCAAACTTCGATCGACAGTAAACAGTATCCTTCAACGCTATGAATTACAGGAAGCTGCATCGCATAGGTATTACCCTCATGTTCGTCGGACAAATGTGGACCGAAAATCAATGCAGATCAGGTCCAGTTTATCGGAAATGAGTTATCCTTGCCCAAGCTGCGGAATGCAACCCTAACCACTGTTCTCTCGTTAAGTCCTGTTTGTATCCTCTGCTCGTATCCAAAGTCTTGAACTCTACCCTACCGTACATCGTCTCAAGTGGACGAATACTTCATCATGGGAAGATCGCCTCGATGGAGTATTTTCGCGTTCCTCCGCGATGGCTTTTCGTCCAGATCACAGACGAAACAGGCGCCTGCGGATGGGGGGAAGCTTCCCTCAAGATTGCTCTTCTTATAGTCCGATTATTACCGTTGCAACCATCCCAAATTTTGCTTGTAGTCAAGTTTGGGACATGCGGCGGACGAAGATACGTAGCAATGCGGCAACCTGTAGGATTTCAAATCCGATCTGATCCACGGAATCTACTTCTACCTAAAGCATCATTGCACAGAGCTAGCTGCAAGAATGACCTCGTCCGGACTCTAATATATTGCGGAGCGTACCACAGTATTTCTTACATAAGTACGATAACTTTATGTCAATTCTCCTTCCATTCGTTTGGGTCGCAAGTTCAACGTTGGCCTCTCTGGACATTCATAGGAGAGTGATTTCATCTAGAGGCCATGAACCGATTGCTTCTTCGCTGCCAGCCTGAAAATATCGCTATGTTCATCGATTCTGTCGGCATGGTACGCGGCTGAACTCCACGGAACCCTGCTCAATAAGAAGCGTTCACCGACATGGTTTTCAACCTTGACGTCAGGAAAACCGGCAGACGCAATACTCGTAGCGAGGAACAGGCTCCGAATATGAGAATGCGCCGTGAGCTCAGCAAAGGAAATGGGATAGGCCGTTTTGTTATCGGAATCAGGCTCGCCGAAGATAGGTTTATAGCAGCTCCAGATCCTCATCAGGGTGAGAGGGCCATATAGTATTGTATTAGCAAAGCATACAGTATACTATTATTACTGAAATAAGATACATGTATCTCATCTTTCCAGGTTCATGGATCCAATACTGAGGATCGGTGTATTCCCTAAGAGGTTAGGCTTCTCTTGGCATACAGCTGGGTGAATGAATTTTAGTCGGGTTCAGGCTGGGTCCAGCGGCAAGTACCTCTCTGACAGTAGTAGTCTGCGATAGAACGGTCGGATTTATTGAGCACATTATAGCTAATAATCAAGATGGTACAAACTAGCAAATATATACGTAGATTAACAATGTAAGAACGTGTGTCTTCCAATACTTAGTGGGTAACCTGGCAAGAACTGCCAATGTGTATCATTATATATTTTCTTACATGATATGCTCCTCTTTGAAATCAGACCAGGTAATACTAGTAGTCGTAATGGGATCCCTGAAAAAGCGTGTTGTTTAGACGAGACAACCAGAACTTCATGCTGCCACAGTGACGACTAAATAAGAATGAAGCAAATTAGAATCACAATCTGTCAATGACTTTGTTGTCGTCAACGCAACAAATGGCCATCCTAGGCCGCTTGCCTATTGAGGCTAGTCTACCATTTTTGGGAACAATGGGAAGGCGGTCTATCATGGATTAGATCACCATTTGCACAAAATCAACACCAAGCCCTATCTGACTTTATATCAGCTTATTTGCAATATAGACTGTGCTAGATTGGGTTATATCACCAACCAGCCCTTGTAGCTCAGTGGGAGAGCGCATCACTCGTAGCCTTAGGCATCCTGCCTTTGATGTTGACATGATGAGGTCCGCGGTTCAATCCCGCGCGGGGGCAATATTTTTGCATTTTTGGCGGAATTTGTGTGGTAATGGGCTAATATTGATGAAGTCACATCATCTTCGAAGTGTGTGTGTGCCACATGGTATCCGCTTGAAATATCCCATACTGCTGGCTCCAACCAAACCTTTGTATGTATGTACAGTTCAAAGTAGTTCTTGAAATCAAGGTCCTCTTCCTCTTGTTATTCTGGTCCCCGACCCATTTTCGACTGGGCCTTTATGAGGCACTTTTAGCGGCCACAGCCTGCTATGTATCACCACGGAAGAACTTAATATAATGAGAGTTTGAGACTTGTTAAACCATAGGTAAAACGTATGAAGTCCTGCTGCAACTTAGGGCTATATTCTGCCGGCATTGCCAGTTTAGGCAGGCGGCTTGCCACGAGGCTTACCATGATTAATCTTCGGTTTCTCATTGCTGCCAAAGCTGTTTCTGATAAAATTGGAAGCTTTAGTAATTTATAGATTGTTTAACATATTGGGCTGGAATTGGAAACATGGCCTGAGACATCAGTGTCTAAATTTAAGGCTTCGCGTACGATGTATTAACTGCTGCATGTTGGTATGGCCACAGACAGACTGCCAGTGGTCATGGATGGATATATTCTCGTGCAGTTTATTATACCTTGGAAGGAGTGTTGAATTGCGTGCAATGCCATTGCTGTTTAATCTGCATTGCCAGGTCTTTTTCAATCAGGTTAGCAGTTCTACTGATGATTGGGTTGTCTTCGAAAGTTGTTGATTGCCATGATAATATTATTCGGTGTTTCCTCGATTTTGTCAGCATTTGTTTTCGTTTTGCTTGCCATAGATGTCTCCATATATGTCGCACGAGTAGTATTGATCACACTGGACTAGACACCTAGCTACGAATAAATATCTCAACGGAGCTTGATAATTGGCGAGCTGTTCTTCACCTCACTGTCACAAGAGCTCTAACACTGCCGTTTGAAACCTAATTATCTTTGTTCTGCAGTGTTAATTTCTATAGATCTGCCATTTTCAATGGCCAACAGCTCGCATACATGCTAACTTTTCCTGGTATCATAATAGCATAGCACATTGACGATCAATCTATGATATCGTTCAGTAAATGATTTTATTCTCAAACATGCGTCGCGCGCCACCATAGGTCTGCTTTCCTATTTTCAAGTCAGTTTCGAATGCGCTTCACATATAAGATATCATGCCTAGACTATGTTGCAACTAGATCTCACATCTCATAATACTGTCAGCATATTCCAGTGTCTGAGCTCTTTTGTTTCGAATCATTGTTTGTGGAGGCATATCCTATGAGTAGTATCGTCCTCGAGAAGTCAAATGGGTACTTCAAGAAGTGCGGTTGTTAGAGGAACTTCGGAAATGCTTAGATTGGTTGCATGCGCAGACTCTGAGACTTCTAATATGGACTACTAATGGTGTATATAGATCCTGGTATTACTATAAGCCTTCGATGATCTGATAGATAGTTGACAGCTACCTTATCGTACAGATCGGAATGAGTAAGATGTCTTGACATCCTGGAACTCTCAGAACTGCTTGTCGCGCTGAATGTTCAGTACCATCACTGACACTATTTGGAGTCAACGGAAATGCCTACGGTGGATACCTTGACAATCGAGATTCAACCCTTCTTCTCGATTTTCTGTTTCTCTTCACCAAAACTAGCTAGTTACTATCATCCTATCTGCTTACCATATCCTTCCCAAATTCTCCTCCACCAATTCTCTTCTTTCCATATATTGTTCTCTCACCATTCATTCAATTGCTCTCTCGGGCTTATTCGTGGAATCCGAACAGGTCAAGCATGCAAAAAATGAGCGACATTGAAAACAACTGCCGGAAAAATCGCCGGTGCGGATCAGATATGAGCGTCATCATTCATGAACTGAGATAGTCGTTGTTCACTGTAAGTTTAAGGTGCTGGTGATCACAAATGGTATCCAAACATGCTGTGATAATACACGCTTCTCATACACCTTACATTGCAGACCAACTTATTCTTACAATGAAGTTGCCATTTTCTATTTCTCCCAAATTTATACTAATCTGATTAGGCTGAAAGATACGCATTAGGGTACCAGCAGGTCATTTGCACTTGATAACGTGACCCCTCAATCCCAAAAGAGTCGACGGTGCAACTCCTCACTCCCACTTCAACAGTTCAACTTTCTCTAATCAAGCAACGTTGAACTGTTTATAGTGACACAACTCTTATCACACCTATCTCACAGTCTAATAAACATTACCCTGCTCCCCCAACTACATTTTATCTTTTACGAGAATGAAGAGACCCGAACTTGTGTTGTTCGTTGCGCGGGCCGACTGTGAAGAAGAAGGGTGGCAGGAATTTCTAAACCATAGCTTGTCATACACACGTGCCGCGTACGTGAACCACTATGGCCCTCTTTCTGAGGAACTGCCTTTCCTCGTCTTCGCCCAATCATCCACCAGGAAATTCACTTCTGATACCGTACCAAGCACCATAACCGAACTCCTTACCCGAGGTAAGGAGACCGGGCTGCCCGTTGTCATCGTGATGAATGGATGGGATAGCCTTACTACGAATTCAGTTGTGATGGTCAATCTCTTTGGCCCATGGATAAGCGATGTCGCCATATCTCTTCGTGTATTCGCGGACGAACCGCGCAGATTCTTTGAGGTTTCGGTGGTGCACGCGATAGAGGCCTTGCGAGGGGATCATGATGATGAAGATGATGAGGCTCCCGATCTTCCTTACGACACACAACTCTTCCTGGACAAATTTCATGCACTTCACTACATGGGAATCACCGGAAATCTAAGCCCACCAAGTGCCGCGGCGTTTAGACAGTAGCTCTTCGTTTAGTCTGGGCGATATCGAGTACGAGACGTCAATGGAAGACATGCTTCAGCTTAGAGCCGGGATGAGATCACAACCATAAGAGATCAGGCTTGCGGAATCATGCTGGTCGATGTGTCATACATCCAGGTAAGAATCATGTTTTTATCAAACTTTGAGTACCTATGGTTTTTCAGGTATCTGATGAGATAATATTAGATGGTGTATCCTCAAAATTAAACATGCCATTTCATGTTGAACGTTTGCACATACGGGCTTCCCCGTATTGATCGGAAAGGACGTGTTACTATTCGGGTCGGTGAAATCGAGACCCGCAAGGTTGATCGGATAAAGCTTGCTCATCTGGATATTGTACTTAAGATAGCCGGGGTATTACTCAACCAATATGATTCTGCAAGATAGCCAGTATTTGTTAGTAGATAAATCAATACCAGCTATTATATTATAGAAAGCTAGACTTACTCTAAGACATACACAAGCTAGGTTCAGATACTTTGAGCTGGCGATTGATAACTTCATCTTGATCTCATCAATATTCTCGCCGGAAGGAAGTTGTATGACAAAGTCGATATAAACAGCAGGGAAGCCATCCACTCTTCTTGGTATTGAAGTTCGAAAGTACAGTGTGCGTAAAGAATCAAGATCAATCTCGCATGTGTGTTGATGTAGGAGTATCCATTGAAGGATGAATCCCAGAAAGATCTCCGCTTAGACCCCGTGAGGGCCACAAAAGATAAACAATTAGATAGCGGAATATGATGGCCTCTCTCCTTCTCCTGCTGGAGCATCTGATAATTGGTCAAGCAATGTATCAGGAAAGGGGCCATAGCTGAGTGTTGAGTCAGGCGCTGAAAGATTCAGTCGCAATTGTGGATCAAGATTTGATCCCATGAGTGCCGACCGCGTCTCGGGACTCAGACCATCCTGCACATCGAGCATCACCTCTGGCCCGTATGAAATGTCCTGGGCGAGAAATGCAGGAAGCCAGATATCCTCATCCACCACAGCGCTCATATGAGGCCCCCACTCATAGGCCGTGCCCGACGAGGAGTGTTCAGGTGAAGTATTTGAGACATTGTCGTTCCCCCCTGCATGGGCCATTTGGAGCGTTTCGTTCGCAGGGCGGACGTTATCAGATTCCTTCGACTCTCGCTCGGGGAAGAGTGCGTTGAGCTGTCTAGAAACCTGGCGGTCAAGAATCTTTTTTATTCGCGTCTTAATGATCTCAATACTCCGGCTCAGACCGGGCATGGCCGTGGCAGTACGTTGAAGTATGTCGAGTAGAAACTTCAGCTCTGCCCACGCGGCTTGGTGGGATTGTGCAGGCTGTGATCCATCCTCTAAGGCCTCCAGTTGGTATACAGCTGTTGTGGCAGCTGTATAGGTACAATAGCTGTTCATGTATGTGATATGATGGAACCCGAAGGTATGGATATACATTTTGAGAAGGCCATAAATTGCCGTTGTTGCCGATCGACAGATTTTCCAGCTTTGTCGAATAGTAGCCGAGCGAGGTACCTCTCCACTCGCAACGTGTGGTCGATGAAGGAGGATCAGCGCGTTGTGATACATTAAATTCAGCGATGTGATATGGGGCGGCGGACTCAACTCAGGCATGTCATTTGGTGGTATATGCAAGTACGATGGCAGAGACGAGTACCAGTTGTGGAGTTCCTGTTTTATCGACATAAAAGCAGCTGCTCGGGGATCGGACGGATGTTCCGTGTGACTGGCGTGCTGTGAGCTATAAAGCTCCAGCATCACCCGCGTGAGAATTTTGCAGAGCTTACATAGCTCGGTGAAGCAAGACATGACGCGGCCCGGAGTTGGGGGATATGGAGGGAGCTCTGCGCCTTTTGGATCTGGGCCATAGAATGGTAGCCAGGGATCATGGTCGCTGAAGTCGTCTAAGAACTCCAATGAGACGTTTTCCGCACCCATGACAAAATTCGGCATTCTCCCCAGGTACAAGCTGATGTGCTTGTCCCACGCATATAAACTCCAAAACAGGCGCTTTCTTATCTCGATATCCTCTACTGAAAGTGACTTGGAATACTGTTGCAGTTTATCGGGGCAGACATGTAGACCGAGGTCAATAGCCATGCGAAAGGCCATGCCAGAATAAAGCCAAGCAGAAGAGGACCGACCAGAGGCAATGTCACGAGCTGACTGTTGCAGTAATGCTTGAATCGTAGGAATCGCTGGAGGGTTGAGGGTCTCCATCGCTAGCAAGACCTTTGCCTCTGACATTAGGCGGTCCGAAAGTTCCTGAAATGGCTCAGAGTGATTCTCTGAGCTCCACCATTTGTCTGGAGACCGTATAAACCGGCAACTATGGGCATAGAGCACCTTGACAAGGGTGGAAGTGCAATACGTGGAGGATCGATCTCCGCTGGCAAGAAGAGGCATGTCTCTCGTGAAAGCTGGGCGATATACAAAAAGAAAGCTCGGGTGCAGCCAACACCAGTGCAACTGTAGTAAAGTACTGGCGAGATCCTTGGATATATTTGCCAGTGCAAGAGATGCATCCAAGTTTATGAGTTCGATATCTTTCTGAGCGGCAGCATTGGCAACTAGGCTTTGTCTGATATCTGCCGCGCGAGCGTCCATCGCTGGTGACGGAAGGCTCCCAGCATGCGATGATCGAGAAGGTGTGTGTGGTAGATCTTCATGAATGGCAGAGGTTGGGTTGTGGTAGCTAACATCCCCCAGGGCATCCAGACTGATAGAGTCATAACCCTGATTACCCAAAGCCGGACTAACAAATGACTCTTGAGAGGTGGAGGTTGCATCGGCACTACCTTTGCGCTCCAGTTCACGGATCCGAGCCTGTAAGGAGCGCACGTAGGCAAGCGAGGGCGATTTATCATAGTGGCAATGCGAAGCATTGGCCAGACAAGCGGAGCAGCTTGGGGATGCGCCATCGCACTTGCTTTTCCGACGCCGACAGTTGGCGCAGACAATTTTGTGATGCCGTACCATCACGTCATAATAGAAACTGGGTTATCGTAGAGAGCACATCGAGTTCTTCCGTGCTATGAGGCTAAAGGTAGGGAAAAAGAGAAACGCGGAGAAAAGTGAGTTGTGGAGAAGCCCCAGATCTCTACGTACTCTACCCCATACTAGTACGGAAGTCGGTAATTTTCACTCGCACCTGTATTGCGCAATCAAACCCGATTCGTCAGGCGAGAAAAAAAAAAAAAAACATTTTTTAGCGTGATTTTGATTAGCCTTCGCTTCACTATAAGATATTCATCCAATTAAGGTGCCGCTCGGAAAATTAGACTGTAATTTTGAATTCGTTCGGAAAACCGAGCGCATCCCACAATCCAAGGATACCCGGATTCTGATTGATATCTCTCCTTAAATTTCAAGCCAAAATCCTTTCTTGAGTCGAAAGCATCTTGATGTTGTCTTCCCGAGGAACTTCTACCAAGTTGACTACAGTACATATCGGAAATCCTTATTCTCAAACTCCGTCTGATCCTGCATGCCAGCTTCGTTACTGCGAGCCTTGTCGGCCGGACCGTAGTGGGAGTCACGGCGCCGATTGACAATCAGCATATAAACTAAAGTCATTAGCTAATTGGTCCCTTGAGGAACTGGTTCCCTTTACACAGGAAAGGACGTCATACAGAAGAGTGAGAGATGACAAAATGCTTTGATCGCATACCCAACAAGAAGACCTATTGTGGCCCCCTTATATTCAGGCGCTTCAGATGGCTTCACCACGAAGGGTCCTGCAAAGTTGCCCCAGCAGTAGGCAGTGCTACTTCAAATTAGCCGAGTCGAACATTCGTGAGCTTATCAGCCATTGAGGATACTCACAATACCAGGGCATTAGCCATGGCTCGATGCGTATATCCAGCCATATTTGACGAAATCGTGACTAGAGATACGGTGAAGCCCACCGACTGTGCATTTACCAGCCAAAAGCAGACCAACCGTGACCACTTCATTGATCGAGGGAGGTACGCCATGCAAGCAGCAGCAACCGTACACAGGATGTTAGCAGCTGTCGAGGTTAACAACCGAGAATTCGGCACATTCAAGGTGATCGTTCCTCCAATGAATAACGCGATAATAACAACTGCATCACCAACCGATTTCAGCTCTGTTGTTTTAGTTTGGGTGAAACCCATGTCTTGAATGATAATGGTCGAGAAAGAGTTGACGACACCATTTGGGATCGCTGCCGCAAACACCGAGATGAACAGCATAATCGCCTTGGGATCATAGAATGCGACCATGCCTTGTTTCTTGTTAAATGCCTTGTTCTTGATCCCAGTTTCATTGCCGGCAACTCGCTTGACCGCAATGATGCGCTCGGGTCTTGTTAAAAAGAAGGCACTTGAGGGCGAATCAGGCAAGATGAAGAAAATTACGAACGCCCAGAGACATGTGGCCGCTCCAAGGATGTAGAAGAGTAACTCCCAGCGCACCGGCTTGAAGTCCTCTGGAAGCTTGGAAATCCCAAAGGATATGTAGGACCCTATAATGCCACCAAACCCAAGAGCGGAATACCAGATGCATTGGCGAAGTGGGATTTCCTGTCGAGTATACCAAAAGCCAGTCATTAGGGTTAAACCAGGCGTCACAGCAGCTTCAAAAACGCCCATAATGAAGCGAACTCCTAGAGCACTGGAAAATGTATGGCACTGGGTCATAATAATGACCATCAAGCCCCACATGAGGCAGCTTACTCCGAGAACGCGTTGAGCGGGATACCTCCCAACCAGCCATCCACACGGATATTGGCCAAAGAAGTAGCCAGCGTACACCACTAAAGTAGAACGATATTAACTTCCCCTTACCAGCTCAGAGAGATTCAGGAGCACCGTACTTGCAGAAAGGTAGTTGAACTGTTGACCCTTCAACCCAAGAGTCTCCTGGTACCCAAACAGATTGGCATAGTTCAGGGCCGTCTTGTCCATGAACTGCAACGCCTGCGTCACCAGAAAGATTGGCAGCACGACCATGTCAATTTTCCAACGGACCTTGGAGTTCTAGCATTGTCTCAGACGCCACTTCTTAAATCGTTTGGTGAAAAGCTCAGTCGACTCACCTCCTTTGCTGTTATCTCTATATGTAACCCCTCGCGGTATTCTTTGTACCCGACGGCATTTTCCTGAGAAGTATGAACATTAATGCATGGTACAGAATCTTGGGACGAATACCCTACCTCGTAAATCGAGCTTGCCTTCGCCTTTGCCTCTTCGATATCATCATATAGAGGACTCTGATGGGTAGCTTCTTCGATGTGCATGATGTCGGGTCTCTCCTTGGGCGGCATTTTCCAAGGTAAGAAGCCAAGCAGTTAACTGCCGTGATCGTCCGGGTGTTAGTTGGACTTAAAAACCCCCATTGCTCTCGGCATAGTCCACTCTCGCTAGTAGCCTTCCCCCGCAAATCCCCACAACAGGCCAAACTCCGACGCTCCACATGAGCTTCACATTCGGCATATGGCCGGCAAGTATCGCTGTTTACCAACTTAGCCAAGAGCCAAATAGAACATATTTGGCCATTCCTAGCATCCATCGCAAACAAAAGCTCAATACAACCGCTTTCTCACATCCGCCATACCGACGTTAGGGCTCCAGAATGCCGATTTCTACGGACATAGACAGCACCGTCTGGCTTGCTCAGCCATCAGGGCCTTGTTGTCTCAAGGGGACTCTTCACGAAGGGTCTGCACGCGGATGCTTCATCACCGTTGCGGGAGTAGAAACATACATCTCGAAGCCTTTAGGCAATGCAAATGGCCGAATCCTGCTGTACTTCCCAGATGTGTGGGGAATGTTTCCGAATGGTCTTTTGGTGATGGACGCGTTTGCCGATGCCGGATATCTCGTCCTGGGACTGGACTACTTCAGAGGTGTATGTTTCTTCCAAACATTTCCTTCTACAGCACTAAATGAGCAAAGGATCCGGTTTGGAAACATCGTCGTGATCGTCTCGATCGCTCAAATCCAGACTTCGACTACGAGGCATGGAAGCGAAAGCACATGGCATTTGCAGATGAAGCGGTTCCGCGGTGGGTTGACGAAGTCAAAAGAACCTATGGTCAGCCGTCGACTAGGTACGCGTGTGTTGGGTAGGTCTATGCTTCCATGATTCGCCTGTTGAAGTGTCCAACTAAGATGATTTTTCAAGGTATTGCTTTGGTGCACCGTATGTCTGTGATGAACTGGCGAAGGACACCGTATCTGCCGGGGCATTCGCTCACCCAGCATTCCTGAAAGATTCTCACTTTGAGAAGATTACAAGTCAGTAATCCTTGCCCCCCTCATATACCAACCTAAGATGACGAGCTAAAACCCCCTACAGAGCCTCTAATGATGTCATGTTCTGAGGTAGACCATACATTCCCTCGGGAGGCACGACAGGTCGCTCTGGATATTCTCGAGTCTGGTAAAAAGACATACCAATTGCAGCTATTCTCCAGCGTCTCGCACGGGTTCGCCTTGCGAGGGAACATGAAAGATCCTTATGAACGTATGTGATTGCCAGCACAACCCAAGTCGTACTTGAAAGCTAACGTAGCCTAGGATACGTCAAGGAGCAGAGCCTGAGGGGAATCATAGAGTGGTTCGACTTTTGGCTTTCGCAGTAGTTAAGGCGATGATACTAGAATGAAATATGGGTATCAATAGAATATTTTATATAACAATATCTGTAACTGAACATGTGAAGAGCCATTTCCTTTGAATACACAAAGAACAGTCTCCCTCTACACAATTGTTTTTGGAAATATGAGATTGTCCAACATTCGTATATTTGCAACCATATCATCCACCTGACTCATGTAAGACTGCAGGCTCTGCCATTTGGGATATTCAATAAATTTGCTAGGTACACTTAACCTTTCAAATTCTTCCCTTGCTCATTGTATTCGCCCTTTCGAGTCTGAGGTGGTTCCATTCCACAATTTGTGGAGAGAGCCGGCGGATGGCCGTGAGTTGGCGTGGAGGTGTATAGCGGCCGGAATATGGCCGGATACTGTGAATGGCTGTCTCGCGAAAGGGCTTGACTGGGCCTCTATAAAGATATGTCTCCATGATCCTTCCTTGAAACTTTCGAGTTCGGTCCAGTCTTCCAACACTACTTCAAGCATCATGGCATCTACTAGAGCTTTCGACTTTACTGGTGAGGTGGCAATTGTCACTGGTGCTGGGTCACGCATGCCTGGTAAGCTTGGCTTTAACCTTTCATTTTACTCCTTCCCAGTGATCTAGGGATTACTAACTGATATAAGGCGAGATCGGCAATGGCCGAGCAACGGCTATCCTTCTCTCTAGGCAAGGTGCCAAGGTGGCCCTTGTGGACTATAATGTAGAATGGGCCCAGGAAACAAAGCGCATGATTGAACTTGAAGGTGGCATATCAGAGGTTGTGCAAACCGATGTGACCGATGAAGAAAGCTGCAAGAATGCCGTTTCGAAGACCGTGGAACTTTTTGGGACGGTCAACATACTTGTCAATATCGGTAGGCTTCTCTTCCAATGCGATACAATGTGTATTGAAATTAATGTGTGTGCCGTGCAGTCGGGGTTGGTGGTGCCATGGGAGATGCTACCAAAGTTGATCTCGGTGCATGGGAGCGCGACTTCAAAATCAATGTCACCAGCATCGTATTAATGAGCAGACATGCCATTCCAGAAATGAGAAGAAATGGGCGCGGTGCCATAGTCAACATGTCCTCTGTCAGCGGTCGTAAGTCTTCCTCCTTATCCGTTCTCATGGATCCTCCTGACATGGACCACAGTTCTCGGTGGAAATCCCAGCCTCTTATATCCTACAACTAAAGGGGCAATCATTCAGATGACTCGAGCCATGGCCGCCCAGCATGGCCCGGAAAATATTCGCGTAAACTGTGTTTGCCCTGGCATGGTCTTCACCCCAATGGTACGAGGCAGAGGAATGACCGATAAAATGAGACAAGACCGGATCAACCAAAACCTGTTAAAGCAGGAGGGAACAGGTTGGGATGTTGGTTATGGTGCGAATCCTGTTGGTTGCAATCTGGAGACCGAGATTTGCTGACTTGTTGTTCTAGCGATCCTTTTTCTCTGTAGCAAAGAAGCGAAATGGATCACTGGCTTGATTATGCCTGTTGATGGGGGCGTAAGTTATCCTTTCTCCTCTTCTACTAAACTCGGTGAATCAAGCTAACGTTTTGGATATAGACAACCGCAGGAAAAGCAGACAGACCAGCCTTGAAGGCCGATACACTCGCAGAGGAGAACACAAAGATTCCCAACAACTTAGCAGGATAGATTGTAGATAAATGATGGAGGGTATAGTATTGTAGTGTGATAGGAGCTGGAGGATGTGCTTTATAATCTATGTTTACATCTCACACATTCCAAACATGTTAGGTTACAATTCCTTTGCCTCTACAACCATCGTCTGCGCAGAACCTTTGGTCAATATCTATAATAATATCAAGTACGAAGGTACGTAAGGAACGATTATCATGATTGTAGGATGTCGCGATCGGGAAACAGAATAGACGAAAAGATGCCACAGTGTATTGCCCTTATCATAGACCATTATCTGATTGATTTCGATTCATACCTCCTTACACTTGAATCAATAATCATAGTCCTTAGTATCAAGCAAATTCTTATGGTCTGGTATGGTATTATCAGGTGAGCCTATTGGCATATTCTGGACGCGAGGAACCCTATTCACAAACTGCCCAGGTCTAGATACATAGCACTTGTTGATATTAATGCAATACAAGCATAACATTCACACTCACAGTTCAAAACTAGTCGGACGTTAGGTATTAAGGCAAATCCCAACCAACTTTCAGGTATGATTCCCAACAAGCTCCGCTACGCTTTTCATTTCACGGGCGTTGTTTTCCCCGACATCCAATGCAACAAGGATCCTACTAACACAGTTGTATCCTGCAACTGTTGTAGTAAGCTCGACAATCTCTCGATTCGATAGACCCGCACTGACTAGATCTTGAAACACCTCGTCAGAGACAGAGACAGAGTCAGTCATCGCATCAGTGTAAGCAACAATGGCTTGTTGCCGAGCTGTGAGGCAAGTCTGTCTCCACGCATCGGCACTTCTTTCGGTGGCTTCGGTGAATGATGGTAATGAGAGAAGCTCTTGCAGCTCCAATGCTGTGACCCCGGCTTTCAACGCGAGTGGTGCATGGATATTCCACTCATAGACAGCTTTGTTCAGAACGGCGATGCGAGATATTGACAGTTCCAGGAAAGCGGCGTGCAGGATGGTTTTCGACCGAAGAGCTCCCACGAAGCTGTTGTATCCATCCGCAACCTGGGGAGCATGCAGAAGGGCGAGGTCGAGAGGAATCAGCGGTCGCGGACTACGTCGGGTTGCAATGCGCGAGTATATTTCGTGTGTATCAGTACTCAAGCCCTCTGCAGACTGGGGGGCGTAAGGGAGACGCATTATAATGTTGTGGAAAGGAGCATATCAGGATTCCTGAGAAGGTAAACAGGAAAAGGAAATTGCATATAGTTAAGGATTGGAGACGATGGTCTTTTTCTTGCATCACTGTAACTCTACGTATATACTTCTACTGGTACTGAGACTATTGGCGTGATTAGTGGCGGCGAACCTCCGATCACCAAGTGTAAATCCCGAGGCGGAAAACGGCCGGTAACAACGGCGAATGTGCAAGAACCATGACTCTGCAACGCCCTAAGCCCATTAAGCGACCTAAATTGGTGTTTTGTTAAAGTTAAGATCTTTCATTACAAATGAATATGTTTCTTTCATGGCAGTTTGAATGGTGATTTACCAATGACTCATGTAATCCAGACCAAATAGGGCTTGCAACGCCTGTCAAAGCCCCAAAGGTGAACAAAATGGCAAGGCTTTATAGGAGACATCAAACCTGTTCAGTGCCTTAATTAGTAATTATTGCTGGATGATAGTATATTGCTACCTCTATTGATGAGAGATATACTGGCTTTTACAATATAGTCCTTGATATCAATAGTCAAAAGCTTAATGGTTTGTAGACTACTGTGCCTTATGTTTAAGAGGAAAACTTGAGATGACAGGAACAAACGTAATTATATTTGATCTGCTATTGAGCCAGTGAGATCGATGTACTAGCAGTTATGGCATGGTCATGGGATTTATCATTCAAGGTAGGCTGGATGCCTCTACAAAGTCTGGCCAAGATGAAATGTAAAAATGAGCCGGACGTTAATTATCAACTTGAACACCAGGCTCTCTCTTTGAATGCCCAGAATATAGGTTGTATCGCAAGCTTTGAATATGAGGAGAATATTCTCCACTATGACCATGTTAGACCTTGAAACTGTGCGATATACGTCCAACATCTGTGGCATTCAAAATTTGGGAGAAACCGTCGAAAGCCTGTTGGGCCCGTGTCTCGCCAATATGATTACCAACATGTTCAAGGAACTTGGTCTTCAGCTGGGCTGCTGACAATGGCTTTCCGATACTGCCAAGTGCCTCCTCAACATGGACTTTCACTATAGTGCCATCCTCGAATTCGGTGGTGACAAACGCTTCATGCTCAGCTATTGCATCGTCCGAAGCGACATGCACCTTTTTGCGTAGATCAGCAACAGTGGAGTTCTGGACGACTTTATCGGTGAACTGAATCGGCGTGGCTTCTCCAAAGAGCAATGCAACAGCAGCGGCATGGTAAACACTGAACTTTCCATCGAGTCCGGTCTGCGGCTCAGGATTGTCGGTCAAAAACAGCACGCGAGGGTGTGTGCGTGCCGTAATATTGACAATCGTAGTGAGGTCGAGATCCTTTTCTTCTGCCTGATCATGGATCTGGATCCATCCATCAATAGCAGCGTGCAAAATCCGATCGCACGGAAACGGCTTAAATGTGTTCTTGGTAATCTCCCAGATATCTCCCAGTGTGGACAGCTCCTCAGTGAGGTTCTGGCTTGTGCTCACTACATTCGCCCAACCTCGTTCTGCTTCTAATCCCTGTAGTGAGCCACCAAGACCATTTTGCGCGAGTACTGCAGCCAGAAGGCCGGATTGTGCAGCACGACCGACGTGGAATGCTTTGGTGTCGGTCCCAAAAGACTCATGCATCCCAATAACCTGGACGGAGGCAATACTGATCGCATGCTGGAGCTGCTCCAGGTCGAGTCCGAGCAGCTTGCCAACAGCCACTGCCGCTCCTATGGAGCCGGTGGTACTGGTAATGTCTGCATGGGAATTAGTCTTCCAAGGTTGTCTTCGGGGGCTTAGAGGAACCGCATACGCCAACCAACGTCATAATGCTCGGGGTATACGGAAATTCCGAGCTTGCACTCGGCCTCCACACCGGCCACAAAGGCTGTAATAAAGTCTTCACCGGAGACAGGAGCCTTCCATTCAGAAACTGCCAATAAAGCAGACGCCACAGGGCCCGAGGGATGGACCGGCGTGTCAGCATGTGTGTCGTCGTAGTCATCCACGTGCGATGCTATGCCGTTCACGAGAGCTGCCGTTTGCATATCGACGAAGGCATTCGAGCCAAGAATGGACGAGTTCCCGGCATTTTCTGGCAGTAAGGGAAACAGGGCATCGTAGGCAACGCCAGCTGGTGGAAGATCGTATCCACCAATAGTACATCCTGCCCAGTTATAGATGCTTTTGACTGCCATGTCGGTCACGGGCTGGGTAAGGTTGGTAAAGTGAAGGGCCAGAGCCCATGAGGCTAAAGTCTTGGTAGCCATGCTGACAGCTCTTTTTAACGATGTATGGATTGTTTTTTTCTCTTCAGCTGCAATGATCTGGGGAGGTACAGCTCGTAATTGGCCGTGCTTCTGCCATTTATATCTCGTTACCTTTCCACACAACGTGCAGATCTTTGAACCCCGCGTCCCAACCGACTCGGCGGACATCACTGGAAGCTAATGCTCTTCGGTTATCAGATGATTCTATTTCTGGAGTAACCTCCTCTAATAGATTTGGACCATTAGAGAAGCCTGTTCGGGCAGATGCCGGGGTAATAAGCAGCGTCGATGTAAGACTGGCGGGAAAACTCCGGAAAGGCCATATCCCGCAATAGGGCAAGTATTCTTTGGTATAATCCATACATTGATATCTTGTCTACAACAGACTCTTCGGCGCAGGAAGTGTTTGAGATAGTCGACATGTGCTAGGATCGTAAGTGGTTTGTAGATGTACAAGGACCCTGGCCAGAATATCCTTTTTCTGACTTCATGCGGCATTTACCTGGGCCAGCAGAGGAGTTCTTTACGCACGTTCATATCCCAAGTAACAGGCATTTCTAATCTGTGGAGCAGGCTACCGAAGGACTTGATGGGTCATCTCGAATCAAATACGGAACAATTAACAAATAAGCGTCAAGTATTACGGGTAATGGCCGGCATTATGCCGAGCTCGTTGGGATCGCAACCATATGCACGGGCAGTTGCCGCGCACAGGCTCTTCTAAGGCGTAAGAGCCCTAAGAGATCATCGCCCCATGGGGGTCCACCGGGGATGTGTGGGGTGTAGAACCAGGACTATATATGGTAGCGGATGGATAATAATTGCTACCATGTAGCTTCGCATACATCCAATTGATTTTCGACATCGTGAGTGCATCCATACTTCGGATACCTACACTTTCTGTATCAGGATGCAGCTTCACCACCTGCTTACTGGTTCTTATACCAACAACACGCTCTTTTTGCTCGCCTTTGATACTATTTCTAGGACTCTTTCTCTAAATTCGACCATGCCAGGGTTTGGCTTGCACCAATTCGTGACCAGCAATGCGGCCAAAGACCGTGTTTATGCAACCTCTATGAGCGAGCCTCCCCGGCTATTTTCATGGGCCGTCGATAAGGACTACAAGTTCACCCACCTTGACACGGTCAACATAAGTAGGTGTATAGCCTTAATGGTTCAGTTCGGTGCATTGCCTAATTACTATAGCTTCATCGGCATGCTACATCTCCGACGATGGCCGATATGCTTTCAGCGCTGGTGGTCCAACTGCGCACATTCATTCACTCGATGATGGCGCCATTGGAGATGAGATTCAAGAGCTCTATCTTATCCCGGAGGAGGACATTGATAGTGTGGACAAAACCAGGCAAGCCGTTGTAAGTGAACCGTTGTCAATCTCTCTGGCTCCGTATATGAATTTTGACCTCTTTTCCTGTGAACCAGCTGCATGGTGCCCATGCCTTCGATGTCAATATAAATAACAAGGGCTTTGTTCCCCATCTGTTAGTCAACCACAAACCTACCATATCATTGTGGGTCTGTGTTGACCTTGATTAGGGGTATGAACTCGATCTTTATGTACGAAATCGCAGACAATGGCTCTGCTCAGCTTCTGTCCATCAATCTGAGCCCAACGGAAGGCGACGGCCCTCGAAACTCCTATGCTAATAAGAATGGGAAGCTCCTCTACGTGGTATGTGCGATTCAAGTAGGGAACTGTTGCCGGCGAAACTAACTAACGCCTACAGGTAACCGAGCATAGTGAGTAACGACTTTGAATTTTTGTGGTTTGAACTACTGCATTAACAACAATATCTCTAGCTCAGTGGCTTGATGTTTACGAAATTGGCGAGACTCAGCTCCGGCATGTCCAACGCGGCAGCGTTATTCCCGATGGTAAACAGACCCTGTGCAATATATAAACGTCACTACGGATAATTGATGCAAAAAACAACAGATGTACGAGGTCAGTTCACGTTCCGAAGCAATACCGTCCAACCATCTCGAGATGGCAAGTATCTCTTTGCTTCGACCCGCAGTTGGGAGAGCCCCGGTGCAAATGGATATGTTGCCGCATTCGAGTTGGACGATGCTGGGTACCTCGAAAGCGAAACGGCAGTGACTTTTTATGAAGCTCCCGTGACTCTTGGTTCTGCGGGTGGCCTTCGCGTTGCACTTTGGGAGGACAAGACCAACGGTGATCCCAGCGGCTTGACAGATTATATGTACCTCAGTGATACATCCGAGGGCTGGATGTTTATTCTGGGTTGGACTCCATCGAACAAAACGTTAGACCTCGTTGCCTCACTCCATTACCCAGAAAACGCGACGCCGTACGAGGCTACCTGGTTGGATTAGGGTCGTAGCTACACCGGAGGAGACATTGTTAACTAGTGTGGTCTATTATAGTGATGCAGTGGTTACTGAGTTCAGATGTTTCCATCTGCCCTTATGTAGATTCAATCTCATGTACGGAGCTTCCCCTCAGCGACTATCCTGGGACTACAAGTTTCTGAGAGGGATTTTCCTTGACCTATGTGATGCCTTATAAGCCGGGGATATCTTCATTCCAGATACAGTTACATATAGGGTGCGGACAAGGTGCCACAACATGATTGTTATCAATTGATTCTCTTTTATTTTGAGAGTCTGTAATGGAGGGGAGAGGAGCTGAGCAAGGGGATTTGACTGTGCCAGCATTAATTCCCACTGCTTGTGGAAGCTGGAGTTGTGCCATTTTTCGATAAAACCAATGTATTTTGAAATGTCCGTAGTCATTTATTCAATTTTGCAGCCCGCCTCACTTTAAGGCTAATGACAGATAAAATTAAATACTCATTGCTGGTCAGTGGTCGCATTTATGATCCTGCAAGTAGCCCGAAACAAGACAGGCTGGGCTCCAAATGCAAAGTGGGCATGAAAGCAGGTTAAAGTCTGAACCATAAGACCAAATGCATTCAGATCAACTGTAACCGCTAGTATTGTAGATGAACGCCGGCCCAGTCATGCTTAGTCGCGATTCCACGGACCGAACTAGCACATACAGCAGTTTAATGGCGCTTCATCCTCACTCTGCGCGTTCTAAGGGTAGTGTGGTATCCGCGAATAGTCTGGGTAGAGGTGCAAGATTTCCAGAGCACCACAGCTTACCCGCTTCGAACCGTGTCATGCCATAATAGCTTCCTTTTGTTATCTGAAGCGCTAAGAGCTGTTGCCAAAAGATATTCTCTCGGTAGAATATTATTCGCAGATAGGTATGCCGTTATGCTTATTGATAGGGACGTAACGAAGTAAGTGTTGTAAATCCGCTAGGCAAACCAGGTATACTCATAGATTGTAAACAATCTATAGCCTTGCTTGACATCCAACAAGTGCCATTAACTTTAGTATGTCAATGTTTGAGTTCTCCAAAACGTCTGGGCAGAAGTCCTCTGAGACTGGGGGTTCTTGTATATCTTGATTGACCACATGTGTGGTGAGTTTGGACTTCATCCATAGGCTCTGGGTCTGGTAGGTAGTAGGTACTTGTTGGTTTGAGATATTAATGGTCGTCCATATACCTTGCGAGCTGACCTATAGTTATCAAAACTACAGTTAGTATATTGAATCTAGATACGTATAAACACATGGATACTCACCATGCTCAATGCCTGTGAGTACTTTGACAACTCTGCGTGAGATACCTGGCGCGTGAGTTGCTATATGGACCCAGTGGCAATCAAGAATAAGCAATACATCTGTATGGCTTGAACCGGAGATGGCCTATGGGTCTTCGAGCCCTTGGGTGAGATAGAGGTCTGCATTGAAGGTTTTCTTGGCTGCTCTGTTATACTGAACATACCTAGGACCTCACGAAATGTGGACCATCCGGAACATTGAGCCTCGAAGACATTATGTTCTTCGACTCAAAGATTTTGATCTCTCCAACAACCCTTTCGGCCCTTACGCGTGTCATAGTAACTACATCCGGGTCTTTGTGCATAGGTAAGCGATTAATTGAAGTTGTATAATCGGCAAAGACTAAGTAAACTCCAGTCACTGGGCAAATGGGCCTCGTTCTCCACCTTTCGCTCCAGCGGTTTTCAACTCCCAGTGCAGTACGGATGGGATCTTTCATCGGCTGAGGCATCGATTCTGACACGCCCGCTTCACCAAGCATATTCAGCAGAGAAAGAATATTATCATCCTGTATGAGTTATGAAGAGCAGATGCGACAAGGCCTTGTGCCAGTCAAAAGCGGATTCCATCGACGCTGTTGCATAGCAGAGGAATATCCCGATGATCTGCTTCATTATCTCAGAGGGCCCGTCCGTCTGGGAGACATGACGTGGAATATATTGGAGTCCAGTTAGGCTCTATCAGGTTAATAGAATCTTGATTTATGGCTGAGGTACTTGAGTCGTAATCACTCGCCCGGCGATTTGCCCTGGATCGTGCAGTGGTAACGAAAAGATACGCTGCCATACATTAGCAAGGAACTTGGGATCTCAATTGAAGATGGTATCAACTGGAGAACCCCAGTCTCTGGGCTGGAGAGAGAAAGCAACAGAGATCGTAAGTGCTTTTATGCTTGATCCTTGACTCTGCGCTACTGAATTATTCCCTAGATTTGTTATTTCAATTCATCAGGGACTGCTTGTGAAAGCGATACCGTTTTAGTATTGAATATAGACAGTGAAATACGATGCTTCTAAGGTATCTCTTATATTGAGTATTGGTGCCGCGATAGGAGCTTTTCTAAGTAGCCGTCTAGCATAGCCCATTACAGATATCAACATGAGAATTTAAGCAGCTAATTTAGATTAATAGACGTCTTTCATAAATGCCAAAATAGGGATCCACAATGTAGAATGTTTTTCAAACATCTGATGTTCTATGTGAATAGTGGTGTGTATTCTCGGCACGAGTCATCTCCTCTCACGCCATCACAAGGAATGCTTTCACCATCGTCAACTTAGTTCCAACAGACCTATGACCTCCTCTCATATCTGCCGGACTCCACCATTCCAGAACAAGCTGCAGATGTCAAGTGAGGGGTTATGCAGATTGTTTGTATAAATCCCCGTTTTCTTTCGTGTCTGTCCGGACCAGATTTACGCCTGCAGTCCTCAAGTTAATTCAATAACTTGACCATCGTATTTATAGCTAAACTAACCATGGCTGAAGTAGCCCGCCAGCCGAGTGTCCCAGACGGAGCCAGTTCCTCCACCCTAAGACGGTACGTCCATGTACCTGAAACGAAGCATGAGCGTATGTTTAAGCCGCCCACGGATAATTCTATAATGCTAATTGCGCAGTCGACTGGGCTGACCTCGTCACACTTGACCTCTCTCAATTTGACGTCCCAGGAGGTAAAGAGAAACTGGCAGCTCAATTGAAAGACGCGGTCCACAACATCGGTAAGTAACCCCCAGTGTACATCCAATACAACACACCAACACAGACCAGGGTTCTTCTACATCACCAACTTCGGACTCTCGCCGGAAGAAATTGACCGCCAATTCGCCATCGGCCAAGAACTCTTCGAGCTTCCCGAGTCCGAGAAACTGAAACACCGCGCCGACCTCGAAGCCGGCAACTACAACGGCTACCGACCACTGGGAGCAATCGAGATCCTGCCAGGCCTACGCGACAACATCGAACTGTACAATGTATTCAAGTTCATCCCGAGGTACGCACGGTCACACCCGGAAGTGATCCTGCGACATCACGAGGAGATCGAGCGGTTCCACCGGTTCATCTACGACCACATCGTCACGAAGCTCTTCCGGCTGATCGCCATCCTCCTCGAGTTGCCGGAGGATTATCTGGTGCGTGGCCATCCGTATGACGGGCCCAGTGACTGCCACCTCCGGTACATGATCTACCGGGCACGCAGCGCTGAGGAGAACGCGCGGCATCAGAATCTCTGGTCGCGCGGACATACGGATTTCGGGAGCTTGACGTTGTTGTTCCGACAGCCTGTTGCGGCCTTGCAGGTGAAGACGCCTGAGGGCGCTTGGAAATATGTGAAGCCGTATCCGAATAGTATCACCGTGAATATCGCGGATGCGTTGCAGTTCTGGACCAATGGGTATCTGAAGAGCAGCGTCCATCGGGTGATCGCGCCACCCCCTGACCAGGCCCATATCGATCGACTGGGTGTCTTGTATTTTGTTAGGCCAGGTGATGGGCTGGATCTGAAGACGGTCGATAGTCCTTTGCTGAGACGTTTGGGGTTCAAAACGGATGGAGATGATGAGGCGCAGGTATCCGCTGGGGAGTGGGTGAGGGCGAGAGTGAAGAGGAACTGGGATAAACCTCCAAAGGCGAATGATGAGAATATTGAGCTTGGTGGTGTGAAGACCACGGTCTTTCATGAATGATTGGGATATGGCGTACTATTCATTCCATATAAGTATACTAGGGGTAGGATTACTGAGGTTTGTTTCACAATTGACCATGGAGGCGGTTGAAGAGCCTGATGGCTAAATTTATGTATATATGACCATTGATGAAAGCTCTATTGTTAAGATTAAATCGCTGTGAGACATGTTAGTCCAACTACCCTTCTTCTGTCACCGTGAGTTATTATAGTATAAGTTCTAGAAAATGATTCTATTTCGTGGATCATGTATAGGATATCATGAGCTCGCGTGAGAAACCCGATCAGTCTTCTTCCAAAAGTTCAGCCAGCTCACGCTCTTCCTCCTCCGTAAGCATTGACCCAGGATTTGGCTCTGGTACCTCCTCAGTCGATGTGTTCTTGGCCTTTTCTACGGCGATCTGGAGATCTTCGGGCTTCAAGGACCACTGACGGATGGTGGCATCGATACCGACACTGACTAGCGTTGAGCCCAGGAGTACTAGTCCTGTGACTTCCTCGAAATGGCCAGAGAAGGTATGGTAAAGTTGACCGGTCTGTTCATTACATTAATAAAGACATAGCATACAGGTTAGAAGAACACTCACCGAGCGATTCCATACGCGAACCTCTTCATCTCTGCAAGCAGTCACAACCCAGCCACCCTGCTCGTAGACAACCACGTCGCGGACAAACTCTGGGTGAGTTAATGTCAAGTTTGGCTTCCAGCCTTCCTCTCGCACGAGGCATTTTGCAGTTTTGTCTGCAGAGGCAGTCCACAAGTCGGCATCCCGGTCAAAGAAGAGCTTGAACACATTTGTATCATGGGCTAGGATGGCGTCCGTGCCAGTCAGATCTTTACTGCCACTTGCGATATCGAAATGGCGAATTTCCCGATCACTACCAGCGCTGAAAACAACCAACTCTTGGCTGTCAGAATCTAAAGAGACTGGATCTACGGCAAGTCCTTGGATACCCTTGGCATGTCCCTTCATGACGGAGAGCCGCTCGCCACTGGCAATGTCGAACACCAAGATCTGCGCGTCAGCCCCGCCGGAGACAAGGACATCCTTGCCCTGGAGTCTGGTGGTGACTACCGCTCTTACAAAGTCGGTATGACCTTCATATTTCTGTTTCACTTCCTTCGAAGCCACATCCCAGCACCAGACGTATTTATCCCAGCAACCGGCGAATAGTAATCGACCGTCGGGGCTAAAGCAGACGCTTGTGATGGGGGCCGTTGGTCCTTTATAAAGAGCAGCAGTTTCACCTGTCTACAAGTGAACCGAGGCAGATGACGATTGGCTTAGTTACGTATCCCAGCGAGGCATCCAACAAGAAGGACACCGTGCACCTACTTCGAGTATAATCTTTCTGACCGTGCCACCACTCTGTGCCACGAATACGGCGCCAGGGTTCAGAGGGTCTGCCTCGACTGCCAAGATCTTACTTTGTAGCCTGATGGGGTCTCCATTTGTATTTTTAGATTTAGCGTCCTTTCGCTTCTGCTCGTCAAGCGCAGCACTGCAAATACGGGAAAGAAGATCAGCGACTGGAAAGCGCGAGTGAAGAAGAAGGTAACGAAGTTCTATGGACGGATAGTAGGACTGACGTAGTTTGAAAGAAATCATCCCGATGAGAAGAACGAGACATGTTGAGTAAAAGTGATCAAACAATCACCAGGGAATCAATAATACGTAGACTACCTGAGAATGAATGTCGCATGCAGGGGAAGTGGAGGGGAACTGCAGATGGAGAATGCGGAGTGGAGTTAGTTATCTTCTACTGATTGAATTGTTTCCGGCAAACGAAACGAACGAACTGCGCACTGAGCTTCTCTTGCCCACCGTATCCCGAAAAGCTTTTCCCACCACAAAACCAGAAGTTCCACCTTTTCTTCTTCTTCTCTCTTCCTTCACTTTCCCTCTTTCTCCTCCTTCTCTCAATTCTTTCCTTTATAAACCACCGTCTTTCCCCCTTTTCCCTTCCCTCTCATCGTTTCTTTCTTTTTTCTCTTGCGCGATTGACGCGCATCTCTCCCTTCAACATGGATATGAACCATCTTATAGGGTCAGTCTTCAATGCCTACTGGTCTGAACCAGGGTTTGTGCGGCTAGGCTGGAGTTAACACCTGGCAGTCAGCGGTTCAACCTGATTTCCAAGAGTGACATTCGGTATGTAACCATCGCTCCCTTGTCAATTCTAATCCTCGTCCACGATGGCCGTGCATCTTACTGACCCCCCGGCGCAGCTATGTGGGTACTTTACATGAGATCAACCCTGAAGCGTCCACAATAGCCCTCGAGAATGTCGTGTCCTTCGGTACCGAGGGCCGGCGAGGCAACCCCGCAGATGAGCTTCCACCTGCTTCCAATATCTATGAATATATCGTCTTCCGTGGCAGCGATGTAAAGGACATCAGTGTAGCCGAGGACAAGAAGGAAGATGCAGCCCCAGAGCCTCCACAGATGCCAGATGATCCGGCCATTCTAGGGGTAAGTCGAACCACAATATCAGAGATACTTCCCATAGTCGTAGCTGGTGTCTCGAGTCCACCGACGTTCGTCGTCGGTAAAAATGATCTTATGATGAACTATTTCGGATGTAAACACAGACCTGTTCCGAACAGCGCAAAAACCGTGTGGAGATTTCCGTTGCCTTCCTTCTGATCAGATCATGGACTTCGTACCTTGCTTGCCGCTTCATCTTTAGACTCTACAAGGGATTTGGCTAACCTTGTAACAAATAGAACATGTCTCGTCCAGGACCCGCCCCTCAAGGAATCCCCCCTCAGTCCCAGACGCCACAACAATCTCAGATGCCCCGTCCGCCGCCTCCCGGATATCCCCAACCACAATTCCAAGGAGGCTTCTACCCACCCTATGGACAACGCTTTGGTGGACCTGGGTTCCCCCCTGGTCCCGGGTTTCCAAATATGCCTTATGGAGCTCCACCAGGATGGTTCCCCCCTCCCGGACAAGGGTTCCCTCAGCCAGGCCAATTTCCTCCCCAGATGCCAATGGGTCCTGGCGGCCAGCATCAGACCCCCCCTCCGCCGCGGCCAATGCCCGGTGCGGGTCCCATGAACTTGCCTAAGAACACATCCGAACTGCCCGTCTCTGATAAGCCCTCCAGTAAGCCTGGTAGCCGTAATGGCACGCCCGCACCTAGTAATGCGGCCCAAAATGCCCCCACTCCGCCCGTTGAGTCTAAGCCGCCTGTTTCGGAGGCTCTTCAAGCGGCTACTGGTCCTACTCAAGTCACGGCTGGAACTGCTAAGGCGCCACCCACCGGACCACGCAGTGGACGTGTGCAGCCTGCCATACCTATTGCCGCCCCCGGTAAGCCGCCAGTTGCTCAGGTTCCTGGCCCCGCTGGTGTCCCACAAGGTCAAGCCCAGGCAGCGATTACTGAAGCTACTCGTGCTGCCACTGCTGCTGTAGCAGCTGCTATGGCTAAGTTGCCCCAACCCGGTGCTCAGAAAAAGCCCGGCGATGCCTCTGTTGAGGGTGTCACGAAGCAGATGGCTGAAATGAAGCCTTATGAGCACCGTGCACCCCGGGGTGGTCATCATCCTCGCGGCGGCCGTGGTGGTGGTCACCGTGGCCAGCACCAGGGAAAGAAGATCGAGGTTCCAGAAACGGACTACGACTTCGAGACCGCAAATGCCAAGTTTAACAAGCAGGACTTGGTCAAGGAAGCCATTGCCACCGGCTCTCCTGTTCACGAGGTCGAGCCTCACATCCCCAATGGCGAACCGGAACCATCCGATAGCTATGCTGCTGCGTATAACAAGTCCAGCTCGTTCTTTGACAATATTTCGAGTGAAGCTCGGGATCGCGAAGAAGGTAGTGCTGCTCGTGCCGGTGGCCGAGAGTGGCGTGGTGAAGAAGAGAAGCGTAACATCGAAACCTTCGGTCAAGGTAGTGTCGACGGCTATCGTGGCGGTTACCGCGGCCGTGGCAGAGGCAGAGGATATGGCCGTGGTCGCGGTGGCGGCTATGGTCGAGGCTACGGTGGCCGTGGCCGTGGTGGTATGCGTGGAGGCCGTAATATGTCTCAGTCCACTGGCGTCCCTGCCCAGAACTAGTGTTGCCTTTTGGCATCCCCGACTTGATTCCGATCTCCAGTCGTATTTCTTGAAGCGCTTAGCGTTGAATATTTTCCTTTATTTTGCCTTTTCTGGAAGTGATGCGTCCTTCCCTGGCTTGTTTCTGATATTACCCGGCGTCTGATGGTACCTTCTCACGAATACTTGGCATACAGTCAAGATCTCCTCATGTTTGATATGTTTTATGGTTACGGTGGGGATTGGTGAATTACCTGCTGGGATGGTTTTTCGTTACGCGGCGTCGAATTATGGCGTTTTACATATGTTGCATGGGCTGGGCATCGCCTCCATTGCATTGATCACATATTTTGATGATAATCATGTTTTGTCTTCCCGGCATACTCGCGCAGTCCCGGGCATGGCGGCATAGGTTGGCTTGTTTCCCACATCCTATGTCTGCATATTTGATTCATGGAGGTTTCTGGTCCCTGTCGACCCTCGGCGCCTGTTGAAGGAGTGCCACTGGAAGTATCTCTGGGGATACTCGCCGGGAAACTGGATACGACTGGGACCTTGATTTCTCCTGTACCATAATCCAAGTGATCCCATGGATCTAACATGAATGAAAACAAGAAAAACGGAGGCCGTTTGGTCTACCATTATTGTGTACTCTGCTCGTAGTTTGTAATTGCTTTTGTGGTTCTAGCGACACGCATAACTACCCCAAAGTGGTGCATTGATAAACTTTGGCTATAGATGGAGAAGCTTTGCCAGTGCTGTGCTCATTTGCCGTCGGTTACCTTCACCCCTCCCTCGGTATGGACCTCAACTGACAACCGACTGCAGAGCTCCATGACAGACCAGACACTGTAGTCTCTGATTTGTCAATCTACGTCTCCCTTGGGTTTTGCGGAGCTGATCTGCACTGGGATTACTTAACCTGCTGTTCCTCCCCGCATCCACAACATGACGTTCAAGGTTTACTGCCTCGGTGAAGTAGCTGATTGCGGATATACATGGAGACTTTAAACTAGAACCACGGCACGCGCTTCGCAGAAATGCTATTTTCTCAACATGGGCTCCATTCGTCTTCCTCCAAAGCCATCTCCAGACCCGCCTTGATCCACTGTCCTACCGAGATCCCCAGAAATTTGACCCGAGACAGCTCGCAATATTATCTTATATAGCGGGGCCAGACCTCCAAAATGGCCAGTACCTCAAAAAGACTCAGCAAGATAGCTGACCATCTGTCTACTTCGCTTCCTTCTTCTATAACTTCCAGTCCAAACGCCAACATGACTACCCAAATCGCCGACAACCTCCCCTGGGACCCCAACAGTACACATTTCCCCTCTCGAAAGGAACTCCCCAAGATCCCGGGAGCGCCGGAAGGTGCAGCCTGGGTGTGGGGGAAGGATGACGAGGTCTGTTTCTTCGCTCTAGACCTAGCCTTTAACCCTATTATGTCATACTAAGTATTCGTAGATAGGACGTCTGAACCTGCTCACCCCGGCTAGAGTCAAAGCCGCCGCCGCGGAGATTCAGACCGGCGAGATGTTTCGCCTGGAGTGAGTTTATTTGCTCATTTCATATACCAGAGTCCGGAAGTCTAATGCGCTATATTAAGTCTTCCGGTGCACGTCCCCGAGACACCGGCTTTCGGACGCGAAACCTTCCAGCACAGTATCAAAACGCTGGTTAAGGACGTCGCGTACGACGATATCTATACTATGAACACGCAGAGCGGGACTCAATGGGATGGATTTCGCCATGTACGTCTCTCACCTACCTTTCTCTATAAGAATAGAAAGAAAACTAACAGAAAACCTACCAGTTCTCCCACATTGACACCAAATTGTTCTACAACGGAGTACGTACATACATATACACACACATACATAGAAAACACCACACCCAAGCACCGTTCCCTGATACTAATAATAAAAATAAAAAAAAAAACAGACAACCTCCACCGACATCGAACCCGGCCCCAACTGCACCACTCGAGGCAGTATCCACCACTGGGCCGCCCACGGCATCGCCGCGCGCGCCATCCTGCTCGACTACCGCCACTACGCCCACACCCAGAACATCCAGTACGACCCGAACACGCGGCACCCGATCAGCATGGCCGACCTGCACGCCTGCGCCAAATCACAAGGCCTCGATCTCCGGCCCGCCGCGCAAGGTGGCGACGTGCGCATCGGTGACATCCTCCTCGTCCGCTCCGGCTTCGTCGAGCACTACCACCAGCTCTCCTCCGCGGAGCGTCATGCGGCTGCCACCCGCGCCCACGAAGACCTGGCCTGGGCCGGCCTGAACCAGGAAGAGGAGGTCTTGGACTGGTTGCATGACTGCTATTTTGCGGCTGTGGCGGGCGATTCGCCAACGTTTGAGGCTTGGCCGCCGGTCAAGGAGAACGAGTTTATTCATCAGAATATTTTGGCGCTTTGGGGTATGCCGCTGGGTGAGATGTGGGATTTGGAGAGTCTTGCGAAAAGGTGTAGGGAGGTGGGCAGGTGGACGGTGTTTTTGACCAGTGCGCCGGCTAATGTTGTTGGGGGCATTGGGTCGCATGCTAATGCTACGGCTATTTTGTAGTTTTTCTTGGTGATGTTGAGGTTGGATTCTGGTCCTAAGGGGCATTATGGGGATAGATATGTGGGTGGCTTATGTAGTTCTGGTTGACTATGTGGAATGGTCGTAACTTCGTTAGATTCGTGAGTATTAACATAGGAAACTTCAACTACTCTTCTCCCTGGCGTAAGTGTGTCAATACAACACTTCGCCGTTCTTCCTGTTCCTCTTCTCTCCTTGTAGGCTTCAGATGTATCCAGCATCTCGTCCTGTCCTGTTATCCAGATGACGTCCTCTCATACCAAAAGACCTGACGCATCAGAAGATATCGTCAGGCCACCGGAACGCATCCTCAGCCTTGCCGTTCATCTTTCCCTGAGCCATTGATTTCCGGTTCCGCTCGCGCCGCCCAATCTCCTTTGCTAGCCTTCGGTCTACTTTCGCGGCTGTCGCGGCTATATCTTTGGGCAACGGGGGCACGGGCGGTATGTAGTTGTATGTGTACCGTTGGTCCTTTCGCTTGCTTGGGGATGAATTTGGGCTTGCATCCGGTTGATCTAAATCAATCGGGTCTGAGTGCGGGTGGTTCTGTCGGGATTGGATTGCGTGCTGGTTCTCTTTATCGCGATTGTCGATCATAGTCTGCGCACTGGCGGATCTCAGATCGGCACGTCCCTTCTTCATGCGCAGCGACGGAGTGATGCCTCTGTTCCGAGAATTCGACGCCCTTCGCTTCGCTGAGGGCGACCGCTTGCTATGCGACCGCAGCGGTTGCGAAGATCTTCTCCTTCGGCCGCGCTCTTCGCTCGGGGAATGTGGGGTGTTGCTTTCGTCCCGCTGTCGTGGGGTTTGTTTGCGCTCGACGGAGCCGGGACTGTCGCCTCGGAACGTCTTGGGGAATTTGGATCGGCGAGACGAGTCTGATTGGTTGCCTTCCTCGGTGTGGTTTGTTGTGCATTCTTTCGGGGATTTGGGGGTGTTTGCCGCGCTGGCGGATTCGGGATCGGGCGATTTGCGCTTGAGTGATGGGCTGTCGATGGTCAACGACTGTGTTGTTCGCTGGCTGGGGGATTTGGCTGGGGATTTGGCTGGGGTTTTGATTGTAGACTCGGGCTCGATGGTTGTCGTCGTTGGTTCGGGGTCCTGGCTCTGCATGGTACGTTGGATTGTCTCTGATAGTGACAGCGGGGTAGCTGAGTCGGATGCAGGCGAGATTGGGGATACTGGGTCATGGCTGTTGAGGAGTCGCTCGGAGGGGAGTGTAGGAAGTGCACCGGGCACGAATTTCCTCTGGTGAGATGAATCATGACAGTGCGATCGCTCCGGGACCGGGGGTGCATCGTCGCCCATGAGCTCCTGCAGCTCTCGTCGCGCCTTCTCAAGCTTCTCCTCCAGCGTGCTCACCCGTCTCAGCAGCTTCTCTCTCTTTGACTTTTGCTTGCGCAGTTGCGGCTGGTCGGTGTCTTCGGATCGACGACCAAGGGGGATAAAACTTGACGTGATGCCCAGTGACGACCTGGCACGGCGGATCTCCTGGAACGAATTGCGCAGCGAGCCACTGGACTCATGACCCTCGCCTGAATTCTGCCTTGAGTGACGTCCCGTCGGCGGCTTGTAGTCCATCTTCTCCTGGATTGACTTCCACGTCTGGTCCGCGAGGTTGTTACTCGACTGCGACCCCGCATCAGCCATGTACTTGCCCTTGACGGCGCCCCGATAGCCCGCCTTCTTCAACTCCGCATACGCCTTCTCGACACGCGCGATATCATCGTCCGCCGACTGCTTATTCGCCTCAGCAGACGGCGACCCCTTCCACCCGGCGACATTCCCCCACCCACCAAACGGATTAAACGCGGACGCGATGGCTTTCCCGAAGCGAAAAATCCCCGACGACCGATGCGTCGGGCCATTCTGTCCATTGGCCGACTTGCCGTCGCGCAGAAAGATGCTGGGCGGTTTCTCACTGACGCTGTCGTTCATCATGCCCTCCACGAACCGCGACCGGCGGCCGCGCCCGCTGGGACCCGCCTGACGTCCGTGCCGGCCCGAAGCGTTGCGCGGCGACCCATGGTCGGTCCGGGAATTGTTCCTACTATGAAAGGGCGAGCGCCAGCGCGAGCCAGTCGACCCGGTGTCTTTCAGCGGGGGCGGCGGTTGCAGTTCCTCCACGGGCCAGTCGTTGGAGCGACGGCGCTTAGCGGAGTGCGTCGATCGGGGTGAGCTGGCCGGGTGTGCGGAGAGGGCGTAGTCTTCGTCCGCGTCGTCAAAGCGACCGGAGACGTCAGAGGAATAGTCGGAGGAATACTCCTCGTCGTCGTAGTCATCGTAGTCGTCGGTGCGCGAGTGCTTGCGGGACCGGTCATCGCGACGACGACAGGCGGATTCGAGCGTTTGGTGTAATTGGCGGTCTGCTTGGGTGTCGTCTGTCGACATCTGTGCTCGGAGCTGATGCGAAATCGTCAGCAAGGGTTGGCCTGGTCGGAGTACAGAGCGCAAGGGAGGAAGAAAACGGGGCCTCAGAGCTGTCAGATTTAATTGTCAAGGATGGACCAACCTCGGCACCCAGCGTCATCCCTACACTCTTTTTTGTTTTTTTCCCGTTTTCTCACCTTGTCCCCACTCGTTTCTCCGACAATGACGGCGCCAGTCACTACTAGTATTTGATCGGGTGATCCAAGGACAAGACAGAACGAAAGAGTTGACACCGTGAGAAATATAGCAGACGAGGGGAGAAAGAGGAGAAAGAAAAGAAGAAACGAGGAAATATTCTTGTTTTGATTGGGGGGGTTGAAATGAGGTCACTGTTTACCTTTTCGTGTGGATTGTTGTTGTTGTTGTTTTCTTGTTTGGAGAACTAAATATGCGCCAAGAAGGCCTTAGGCTGTCCCATCTTGATTAAGGCCATCCAGCCGATAGTTATACTCCCTCATTCACCGTCAATGCATATTGTTTTGTTGTCCCGGTATGTTTCGCCGGGGAATCTATGCAGTATGTATGTTTCTGTATGGAATGAACGACGATCAGTTGTGAAGCTAAGTAACTCCGTCGATTCGATCGAATGTTATCTTGCGGAGATATGTGATAGAGACCAGAATCTGTGCGCCAAATATTTATCTTAAATTCCAAAGCTCCCAGTACAAGGGCTCTGTCTAATACGTATGCCGTGGTGGCTGCCATGTTCTGAAGGCATGCACCTGTCACACTGCCTTGGGCGTTGCATCTCTGCCACGTGATATCGTTGCTCATAGTGTCACGTGGTGTGAAAACTATGTCTGAGGCACTAGATATACTTGAAATGACGTCAGAGTCCCTTGAATAGGCAAGAAGAACCCAGATCATATCACTCTCGCGCAATCCTACAGTCCTACTAGTAGTACTCCTGTCACACTGCAGCCAGAAGATGGTGCATAAAGCAACGTACCAGGGGAAACACTGTAGGGGCCGCGCGGTCTAGTGCTTACTAAGTGGTACCATTGGTATTTAATTTAACGGTCAGAGTGCTTACAAGTTATGCGTATACCAGTGCGCTCCAATGGCAAGAGAAAAGACTAAAAGATCATCGATAATCAGATTGGTTGACTAATGAATGAACCCATATACAACTATGTCATTCCACCAACATCAGTCGTGGCACAGAACAGTGTCCAACCGCCCATCATTCCTCATAGCATCACCCCAAGGGCTTTCCAAGTGACTTCCCCTCAGTTCAACCCCGGACCAGTACCGTGCCTCTCGTCCCCAATACACAGTTCTGGTGACATGACACAATCTTAGGGCTTGCCGTCTTCTCTAACCTTCTCCATGACAGCCCTAGCCAAGCTGTCCATGCTGTCGTGAGTTGAAAGTCCGTCCAGAAGAAGATTCCCGTTCCAGTCCTTGACACTGATTTTGCGCACATGTCCTTCGACCGATTTGTCCCGGTGCTCAAATGTCATGGCAAAGCGCCAGTCAGCGTCGGTGAGGGCCTTTCCCAGCTGTGTGGTGTTGGGATGGCAGGCTCTGGGTCCCCAGATCGTTTGGCCTTTATATTTAAGTTCGCCGATGAGGGTGTGGCCTTCCACGGAGTGGCTTTTGTGCTCGGTCCAGACTTCCATGGTTCTTGTGGATGAAGTTAGCCTTGGGAAAGACTCTTGGGTACAGTAGCTTTTCATACCTGTTTGGTACTGTAGGGATAACGTGTGAAGATGTCTGGTAGCTAGGGAGCTTCGTGCAAGGGAAGGGAAAGAAAAGTGATGGTGCTGATTGATACTCGACAGCTTGGGATAGGAGTCCCTTTATATATTCGATAGAGCCTAGTAGCCAACCTGTACTTGAACTTTGCATGTGGACAGAAGTCCGAGACCCGGGCCTGAGCGTCTACACCCCTTCGCCTGTCATGTCTCGGTCGCGGGGGTTGGCAGCCCAGTGAGCAGGTGGCTAGCTGAATCCATGATCATTTCCTCGTTCTGCTATGCAGAATACAGCTACTGAGATGGACCAAACTCTTGATGGCGTGGGGCTGAGCTGCTGGTCTTGACAGGGCTCGGTCATATCCATGAATCATGTTATCTGATCTCCATCTATCGTTTCTTGGTGGCGGGGTGGTTGCCAGTCGAGTGAACAGGGGGCGAGCTGAATCTATAACTATTTCCTGTTTTGGCCATACAGACTACAGATACTGGGCTGGAGTGGCGCCCTGTTAATAGAGCTGAGCTGCTAATCTTGGCAGGATTCGGCCGTTGTATCTGTGAGTCCTGCTGTCAGATCCCAAAGTGTCTAGCGCGGGGCAGCTTTATGGTTGTTTGCAGACACGAAGTAGCAGACCTAAGCATCTCTTGCCCCTGTCATTCCTCGGTACTGGGGTACTCTTCAAGGTGGTAAGAACGTGGCGAGCTGAATCTATGATTGTTTTCTCGTTTTGTTATTCAGCCTGGGAATACTGAGACAGATGTCTCAGTTGAACTATTCCCTGCCACGTTGTCCTGCTCATTGTTCAATGCACCTATGGAAGGTGACCACAGTCTTTCCCTTGTGGCTATACTAATGGCCAGCAAAGGCTAGAAACAGACCTTTCTTGGTAGCCTTACGTTTCTGCAAGTCCTCGGAAGCCCATGGACGCTAGAGAGTGGAGAATCATGCAGATGGATACTACTGCCGAAGAGTTCTGGACCTGTCGGCTAAACTGTCCAGGCAAAGATCAGGGCATTAAGCTTCCTGTCAAATACATTTCCACCACATATACGTATCGTAAGAATATTGTACCCGCTCAAGTTGCGATTCTGCCTGTCTCGCAAGGCTGATATGATGAATAGGTTGCTAGAGCTTTGTCGCTGTCTGCTTACAAAGGGAGGTCCGATTTTGGTTTTGATTATTAGATAGCTCTGGTGACAGAATAGCATAGCATCCCATCCATATCGTCGTAAGACATCCGATTATGCGTAAAATACCATGCATATTGATGTTTGGTCAGGAACTCATAAGGTGGGGTGCAAGACCCCCGCGTACTTTGGCACCTCACCTCTGCCACTAGAAAGGCACGACCCGAGGACTACCAAGTCTGCCAGCACGCGTACTACATAGCTATTAGGATAGAGGCGTGACACTACTCCCTTCCTAAAGACCTGATTGGCAGCTAGCCTCCCCCAGAGGGAACCTTCGAAGATACTAGTAGGTCACGGTACGGACCGTGCGTGTGCAGCGGTAGTCTCGACCACGGAGAATCAGTAGACTGCGGCAACATCCTCAATATCCATGGATATCCGCAGCTCTCTATCTTCTGATTATGTGGCTACCAGGGAAATAGGTAAATGTCGAGAGAGAGAGAAGGGGTTCGAAATTATGCATGTCAGATGTGGAGGTGGGTTTTCATTACGTATTAATGTCAAGACTGCGGCCGGCTTTCGGATCGCACCGCGACTCTAAATACACGCAAGCGAAGACCTGCAGGTTGCGCTTGGATGTCACATTGCAGCAGATGGGGATGATACTGGAATGCTCTTGTGCTGCCTTTTCAAGCATCTCCAGCTGGCAGTGTAGGATGTAGACCTTATACATGCTATGAAGATATGTGATTAAAATATCTTTCACAAGGACTGTGGAACTTTCATCCTCCTCGTGTCGTCCTGTATTTGTGGAGAGTGGTGAGTCCTTTGCTTGCCATTTGCTAAGGATCTTAGAGGAAGATAAATTCTCTGGATGATCAATTTCTTAGTTTTTCGAATCAGATATATCATATCCTCAAGTATTGACTTTCAATCACTCGAAGCTACTTCTATAAAATTTGACCTCATTCTGCTAGCAACACATAATATCCAGGCTCTATATTGTACAGCTCGCCGAAGTCATCAACCAAGAGGCATATCTGTTGTAATGCAGAGGAGCATTGAGTTATAGTACTTTCTTTTGTAGACCTAAGGGTTTAGATATAGGAAGGATATTAGACCAATTGGAAATTGCTCTAACTGAACATGGACTTAGTATAAGGATGAGAATAGTACTACCCCCAGACTTGTTCGACTTCAGAATCTAGGGACCCCGTCTGGGCCCGCCTCCCACCTGGCGCAAGGCTGAGTTTTCGGTGTGCTGATCCTTGTCCATAGAAAGCAACATCCCCCGAATCGACTGCAAGATGACAATTCCTGGTACAGACCAGCGTAAGACTATTGGGAACACCTTTGATGTGACCAGACTCTCCACAATCGAAACATAGACCGCTCTGCCATCGCTCCTGCTCAAACTCAATCAGCTACTTTTCCTAGGGACGAATTTTGTCTTGCAATTCTCTTTCGAGTCTAATAAATTAAGGTGATGCAATGCATAGTCTTCTGTGTGATGGGGTTGGCCCTATTTCTACATCAGGTGGGAAACAATAACAAATCGACCAAGGGGATCTGTATTGAAGGGGTACCCAAAGGAAATCAATGGTTAATTTGATGTTCGCTGCATACTGCTCCAGTTACGACACAGCCCCTATTGTTGGCTATCTGTTCTGTGGCTCATGGCATACAGGACTTCATCTGTCTCTTAGCTCGTGGAAGTGCTTGTTGTAAGGGATGTCAACAGCTCTGGACGAACAGTTCCTGTCGAAGGGCATATGTAACAGTCAGAGAATTCTATCCCTTCTTTACTAGGTTTTACTCCTCTAAGACTGGCACCCGCACCCTCGGCGGGTGGTAGTGATGGCAGGCCTGATATAAAACTCGCGTAGGCCAGAGGCCAGATAGTTGTAATCTCTGAGTAAGTTGCAGTCTCATTGATAGCGATGAAAAGGGAGTCGGGAAGTTATCGCAGTTCCATAAAAGGCTGCGCATTCCTAGTCTCCATCTCAAGACTCTTGTATCACATCTTTGGAGGCAGACACATTTCCTTTGACGATGGACCGTATTTTATACCAAATGCATACTACTAAATTAGAAAACCCTGTATCTCATTCTACCCAGAAAAGAAATAAACATAGAATGGATCCACACATAATAAACCCCTTGTCCGCACCTTTCTTTGAAGTAGCCCGTGAAAGGATATACAATGGCCATGAAAGACACCACTATAGTAACACAGAGAACTAGTAACTATGCCCCAATAAAGAAGATAGCTATCAAACCAACAAAGAAAGTGGAACCGATTAAAACTGGCAGATATAATATCTTAACAAGTGGGCGTTATAGCCCAGGGGTTGAAAGCTTATACGAAGTAAGAAATCCATTGTATTAGCTATAACCATGTAAAGCATTCGTCGATGATAAGAGGTACTGCTATGCCCAAGTGTATAAAGAGGATGAGTGAGAATGTACATGGTTATGCAGGATCGACTTGTTTTACTTCCTGAGCTATGTCGGCTCATTTGCGGTGTCTCTTCCTGGAATGTTCCTCCCCTTCGATATTTCTTGTGGAATGACAATGACATGTGCGAGGAATGTTAATATTTACTCTGGGTACATGCTCTTTCTACTCCGTATGGCTTCTGAATTGAGAAAGACACTACATGCCCTACAGAACATATATATCGATACATCATTGGGTGATAGTCATGTCATATACAGGTTAAATAAATCCAATATATTTCTGATATAGAATGAAGGTCGTCGATCTGATCTGTCGCCTACGTCATTGATGGCATGCCAATGGATGGAGCATGGTCATGGGTAAACAAGGAAATGGTCGAAGGAGTGGAATCAGGCATGTCGCATGTCTAAGGCCCCGGGATTGTCTCGGATCAATGCATCCACGTTGCGCAAATGTATCACCAAACTTTGCGAAAAAATGATACGTTTTTGATTGCTCACTCGCTTCTATTCGCGGGAAGGGAGAGGCCCCAGGCTCTTTAGCATGCCTGGAAACACATCGGATAATAAACATGAAAGCTGTCGTATATAAAACGAAGACAAGAACAATCCGGGGAATATCTTGGAAACCACATGCAGAGCATCATATACAATAATGGCAAAGATTGAGAAAAGAAAAAGAAAAAAAGAACGGTGGTATAAACATCAAAAGTCTGGTTCGTTAAAAGTATCCACCTGAAGCCCGCCACACCAGAGAACGTGAGAAAAAAGGGGCAGATTACGTTAAAGAAATCAATCGGCGACCGTTCGCCAAGACGCCGTCCTATATGAGCGGGAGTAAAGCACAAATCAACTGGTTTTTATGGGAGTGCAGGAGAAATCTTCGTGGCCATTCTCCCGTTGGCTCGTTTGTACGCCATTTCATCGCGCGTATCGGTGTAGAAGTTCCGACCGGCATCCGACAGCCTGCGAGGATACCCATCCGTATCAGGGCGCATGCCGTTGTAGAGGGGACGGTCATCATGGCCAAACGAATCTTCGTATGACCGCTTGGACAAGCTGGCACCCGTATCCCACAAGAACTTCTTGCCCGCGCCGATGTCGTGACTGGGGCTCTGAGAGATACTGCTGGATGGTTGAGAGAGATTGTTGGGGTACTCTCCTGATAAGGCCTTGAGGGGCGGAAGGGAAGGCACCAGACTCGATGACGGTGTCTGAGACCGGGGTGCCGCCGATTGAGCCATGGAATGATATGCGTTCGGATCAGACGAGCGTGGCTCGCCGGATGGCATATTTAGTGGCTTAGGCGGTTCCAGACGGAGCGGAGGCAACCCACTCTTGGGATAGCTGGACCGCTCCGTGGACATCCGTGACGACGGATAGGGGTAACTGGTCGTGTCATATTCGGCGCTCGTCGAGGCATTCCGAGCATGAGAATATGATGGATGGGGAGAGAACGGGGCTGACAACGTAGACGCGGACTGGGGAGTTGGAGGCAGTTGGGGAGCTGAATATTGAGTTTGAGTTGAGCCAAAGGAGAGGTGCGACTGATATCCAGTAGTATGGGATGGTGCCGCGGGAGGAGCGGGAGGAGCGGGCGTAGAAGCCGCGGCTGGTGCGGGAGCGGGAGCTGGCGGAATTGGTCGTTGGTACGGCTGGACACCCTGGAAACCATACTCGGTCGCGCCAGAGGACCGGCGCTGAGCATCAGCCCCGTAGGGGAACGAGGGATCCACAGTACTGATACTGGTCGATCTAGGCCGTTCAACTGGAGTGCCTGCGTACCCATGCGTATCCGGGGTAGAGAATCGGTCAGAAGATCGGTAGACCCTCTCCTCGTCGTAGTCGTAGTCATCCGTGCGCTTCTCGCCCCGACGTCTCATGCGGACATCACGTCGAATCCGCACACGACAACCCTGCTCTGCAATAACCCGACTCAAGGAGGTACTCGTGGTCAATCCAGGGAACTTCTTGGCGCTAAAGACGGTGAACGGAACAGAAACGACCTCGAGACGGAAATCCAGGAATGATTTCGGCGCCATTGGTTTCGATGGCATTGCGTTGGGCATGGAAGACTGGATCGGAGCATTCTCGTTCGCATCCTTGCTGTCCTTGGTTTCCTCGTAGAGATGGAAGTTCAATCGATATACACCCTCGTGGCGCACGGAAAGATCTGGGAAGATGAAGTAACCGGCCTGAGATGGGCGGTCCAAGTAAGCCACGCCGGCTACGGGCACACCAGTCAATACTGGGCATGTCGGGTTCGGAGCAAAACGGCCTTGGGCCATGGGCCGAGCGGTTTCTAAAGTAGCGAACAGGAAGAAATTGGCGTTGTATGCGAAGGTGATATCGGTCTTGTTCAGGTCATCGTTGGGATCGGACTCGTATACTCGAAGTTCGACGACCGGTGGAGGATCGACTGGACGACGGTCCGCGGACGCTATATGAAGTCAGAACCATCAGCTTGATTCACTGTCCGGGTCCCTATTGCTAGTTGGGTTGCATACACTTCGCACCTGCACCGCAGGCTCGCGCACGCTCCGGTTGCTGCATGACACTGAGTTTGTATGTGAGCTTCTTGCCTTCTCGAGTGATCCGGCTGACGGAGGATTCCGTCTCGTTCGGCGGAGGCGCCAAAGGAGCTCGTGTCGCCATCTTGACTTTGGTGCGAATAAACTGCCAGGATTAGCACCACCAGACTCGACGGCCACCGTAATTGAGCACAATTTCATGGTCGAAATCCAAGAATGACCGGGCAGCCATGTAGGTTAGGACTTACTTGGCAATCTCACGGTCCAACCAAACAAATCACCGCTATTAAAAAAGTGCTTGCGTCAAGCAAGTAATCTATCCTCGTTTTGCCGTGTGTAAATCTGGTTTTCTTCTAGTCTGTTGATTACTTCGGGCGTGACTCCACGATTGCAAGCCGTGACACCGACCAGTCGGCCAAGAAAAATCCAGACAGAGAGCTAGGGTAGTGTCCAAGTAGCCTGCGCGATGAAGAACGAGAGAATCACCAATGTCGACTAAAAGGGGAAGGGAGGAAGACTAATAGAATTAAAAAAAATAAAAATTTTTTAAGCTGGGTCTGCTGCGCCGAAGCAGGTCAACAGACAATCCAGCGATTGACCCGTCTGGGATGAGGAAAGAAGGTATGGAAGAGGAGTGACAAAAGTCAAGTTGGTGATACGGGGGGCGAAGAATAATGAATGGAGAGGGGTGGAGCGAGCGAGAGAGAGAGCGAGGACGGGAAAGTCAAAAGGACCAGTCAGCCTGGGAATCGGCAGGTACACACACACTATCGCAACTAACTATAACACTCTAACCGTCTGGTCTCCAGCGCCGTGGTACTGTAAGATTACCGACGGTGACGGTTTCCATCATGCGGTTCCAACAACATGGTGATCGGGTTGACGGCCCCATATATTTCTAATATCCCAGTACCATGGGTCTACGAGTCGCATTTCTGCGTTTCAAGTACTCGTTCGTTCTAGATTTACGCTGTCTTCTCGACTGGGGGCATCAGGATCAAGAGGAGATGTTTATCCGTTCTGACGACGGGAAATCGGGATAACCCCGTAGATACATGGTGTATGTACTATGTACAGTACTCCGTACTTTCTCATAAAACTGGTATGTAGGATGGCACTAACTCTGCACGACTGAGCCGATATGGTGGGTATTGGGTCAGCACGGATGGCACTAAAATGGGGGGGGAGGATGGTGTCACAGAAGGAGGGGACAAAAGGAAGAATGGCCGATCCAGTGGGAAATCAGGTTAAAGGCAGGCGGTTACGGTCGCTGGGTCATGGAAACTCCGGTTGGCTTGGCCGTGGGTTCAGTGGAGTTTAGACATTGGCTGCATAACAAATAAGCTGTGAGAAAATCCGTCTCAAAAGACATCCCGGGAAAACAGTAATAAGAAAAAAATAAAAAAATAAAAATAAAAATAAAAAAAAAAAACACCTGAACAGGCAGTTCAAGGGTGGAGAACAAGGACCCACTGAGCAACCGACGGGGGGCTTCGAGGTCCGTGATTCCAGAGACCAGGGTAAGAGTAGTACAGGAATTACACACAAAGGAAGTTAATTTCACCCAGCCTAGTCTTAGAGAGGTATCGCTGGCGTCCATTCAGTCAATGAACACATCGCCCTGAATGGCCGGAACATCGACCAAGCGGGGAGCCTAATCTCAGGAGGGATTGTATGGCTGAAGTTAGTTGTTTGTGAATACCCCTCGAAGAACCAATTGAAGAAAGCAGGGAACGCTGTCACGGTAGACAGTGCCTCCATCATGGATCGTTTAAGGACGACTGATCATACACCAGTCCAGAGGAGGCTGATACGTCCTATATTTAGCGATCTTTTTTGGCTCGTCGGGATTTGAAAATCTGATAGTGCCATGCAATCAGAACAACAGATCGAGAGCTGCATCTTGCAGAGTCAGTAACTATCCGGAGCGAGATCCTCCCGAGTCATTATCCGGGGAGGGGAATTTTCCTATGAGCAATGGTTGTATAACAGTACACTGTAGGTACAGTACTCAATACATGGACCCTTGGTTATTGTCCCATATACCCGTTCCGGTCGGGTTCAGCTTCGAGAAAATGGGGAGGAAAAGGCAACCTTATTTAACGCTGTGTGACGCTGTACAGCGTAAGGCATAATTTATTCTCCGGTGGACGGAGCCTCTTACATACGTTGGAGGAGTTTTATGTATGTATGTAAGAGTATGGATGTTCCCGGTCGCAAGTATTACACGGTACCCAGTCCAACGGATCGACCGCCCGCCCCAGAAGCCTGGGAATGAGGATGAGTTTAAAGGCCAACTCCTGTGTAGTAAGCTGGCCCGAGCTCACCCCTTCTTTGTCTTCTCCTTTTCCCAAGTTCCCCCCATCCTGCAGATTACATTTCTGCGCCGAGCCCGCTTCATCCGTTGCGAATCAAAACGTGTGCCACCGTCGTGGAACCACATTCTTTGACCTCGAATTTGACGTCTCTCTTTTTCCTCTTTGCCTGCCTTGCATGGCCTGACAGTTGTCGATTGGACTCGGGCGACATGAGGGAATACCAGCGCATCGCGTTGGTATTCCCGTCTCCAAACCTATACCTCTGATGAAATCGTCGATGAATTACGGATACCTACGAGTAACTTCCTTGCAAGCTGGTAAAAGCGATCAGGTAAACTAGTAGGAGCTCATAGCTGCAGCAGAGTGGATAAGTGATCGATCCCCCTGGTGTGAAGAGAAACACCGATCCGGTAATCCTCATGGGTTGGAACAAAGGACTGGACCCGATCTAGCTCGCAAAGAAGCAATAAAGACTTTTCCATCACAAAGGAGCACCAGGTCGAGTCCAAGGGACAATCTAGCGGTCAGTCAATAGATCATTGAACCGAACGAAATCAAAGTTCGAGTCAGAGACAATCCTTACCCGAAACGGTCCCGATCGGGATTTGGTTACACCAAAGCAATTCCCGGTACGGAGCACAAACAGTATGACGGTGGCAGTTGGACTTCTTCCAGACCCAGTCTGTACTCCAGCCTCGACGCATGACGGTGCGTGCAAGTCCGGATATCGAAATCAACTGGTCCGTTGCGAGAGAATCAACAACGCATCGTACTTTGGCCTTACACAATAAAGCACATAAAATGAAGAATTATTCCTATCCTGGTGTAATTACGGGGTTATCAATGAGTCTCTGCATAGTAATACTCCCGTCCACTTGAAGACGTGGTCTTGACGCCAGCCATTCCCACTACGGAAATGCTTCTAGGGTAAAAACGGGTAAGGCGGGAAAAGCCAAGAGAATCCCAAGTGTTGAACACTGGGAAACTTTTGCAAGAAACCCACTCGGGCGGTCCGCGCCGAATGGGGATGCCCCATTCCAGCCATCGTGATTTTTGGTTCTGTTCGGATCATCCGTCCGTCCATCTTTATTTATTTTTTTACATACCAACTTGGACAGCTCCCCCCAGCTATGAGCTCTTTTGGGGGCGAGAAATCTCCTCGAATTGTCTAGAGCAAAGAAGCTCACGTTGGGATCGACTGACTCGATAGCCTCCTCTTGCCAGGGCCAGTTCGTCACCTAATGGACGAGGATCGAGGGCTAGGACTGAAGAGGTGAGACGACAGCACCGAATAAATCCACAGGCGAGATTAAAATACCCCCAGGTTGCCAAGCCCCACTGTAGAGAGAACCATGGTCTTACCCCTGTCTTCTCGGACAACGGTCCTGAAGAGGGAACAGGGAAGTGTCATCCATGTCCATACCAGGCTTTCATAAGACATGCTAATCGAAATGAAAACCCATAACATTCAGTATTATTACCCGAAGACGTGGTCGGATGATTATGAATCATGGTGGCGATCTCTCCCAGGGAGAACCTGAATCAGGTTGAATTCTCTGAACTGAGATTTTCAATGGTAGCTTCTTTGACAGTCTTTGACAGATGATAAAAGCATCAAAGAGACCTGGTTACTCCTTCATGTCAAATCCATCCATATTTACTTTCTTACCAGAAACAGTCCAGATAAGTGTAACCTTAAACAGACTCCCAATCCGCTGACCGCTGTCATGTGGCATTCCGCCTTCGGTATTGGGGAAGTTGCGCAGAGCCGAAGAACGCCTTGAAACTTTGCATACTCTGCGCCATGCATGACCAGATTGTCGGGTCTACCCGCATGGGATCTTCTTCTCCTGGCTGCTGACTGCGCCAACAATGACGCCTCCTGGGATTGACAAATCGTGCTTTTTCTTTTTCTTTTTTCTTTTTTCTTTTTTTCTTTTTTTCTTTTTTTTTTTTTTTTTTTTTTTTTTTTTTTTTTTTTTTTTTTTTTTTTTTTTTTTTTTTTTTTTTTTGGAAAACATGTCCACACATCGATACTGTGTACGGCGTACTCCGTACATACCCCACACATATCACCATTATTATGATTGCTGGGACGAATGGAATCCCAACTCTCTGACCTTGGTCTGTGTTGACTGAGAGGGGATTAGTGATTCATGTCCAATCAATAGTCCATCCATCACTGTATCACACTGCCACTAGACTACTTGCGAAGCTAACCTTCATTTTAAAGGTACTCCTCGTTGTATCACCTCTTATCAACACCCCCTTCGGCAAAGATACTCCGCGGAATGCCTCATGACGATACTCCACAACGGGTGTTTCCGTCGGGGTATACAACCATATTCAACGAGAGGATGCCACCCCTTACGTACGCTCCCTTACGCCTGCATACATGGAACTCTCCAAGTGAATATTTCGGGATATTAATATCTCATGCCAATACTTGCGATCAGCTCTTTCCTATCGCGTCTAGCGAATAATCCCGGTCAGGTGATGACATCATCCACTAATTCGAGTACCTCGAGAAGGGGTTGTGGTGTGCTACAAGATCGACTTCCTACCTGGGTTCTGTGTCATCACCAGAGATCGCAGGAAAAATCACTGTGCTTCACCCTTTAATATGGTGCAAATGCAACCTACACAGGACTCGGCGCGTTGTGATCTGCGACACGACTACGTTGTCGCAATTCAATGTTCTATATTCGCTGAACATGTAGTTTAACTTTGGGGGTATAGAGAAGCTCGAATTTGTACTCTGTACAAGTGGACTTGTTTAAGCCACCTCCTAAGCCATCGGCAAAATCATGGAAGAAGGCCAGACCATCATTGCTGAATTCGGGAAGTGATTGGCGCCTCTGAAAAGCTCCCTTTAGATAGAGCCGACAAAAGGAGAGACCACAGACCTACTATAGGTTGACTGCCCAAGGAAGGAATAAGGAGACAGGAGTTTTGTCGTCTCCCGTTCCTTGTCCTGTCGTCAGGATGATCGGCGTTTCTGGGGCTGGCATTCTCGAGTCTATACCGCTGACACTTGTCTAGTGACTGTCGTTGGTTTCCAATTGACTGTCTGCAGATATACTTCAGCATGTAGGGTCCAGATATCAACTCGACCTACCTCACCGGTGGAAGACTACGTTCATGCGAGATAGGAAACACCGACCCAGAAGGTATACCATAAGATGAACTATCATCCGACCCCTGGGCAACCAGTAAGGGTGCAACATTGCTCGCAGCAACATTGAAGGCATCTAATGCTAAAAAGAAGGCAACCCCTTATCGCGATAAGCATATAATTATCTCCGTAGGAAGATTCCTTCGCCCTCGGTACTATACTTTGCCATGTCTCGGACACGCGGCAAGCTTCAGCTGCAGCATGGAAGGAGTGCTGGAAATATGCGGGTACGTTAGATTATCCAAAGGCCTGCAGATTATCTGAAGCTTTTGTTAGGAATGGGGCGGAAATCCTCAACACGAGTCTAGCAGGACCTTCCAGTTGAGGCCAATTTCGCTGGTATAGCATTTCGGCTCTCTCCCGAAGGCCTGACAATGACGCCCTTACGTCCACCTATCTATGCCTTACTTCGTGCTACTAAGAGGACAAGCTGTTTCGAGGAATCTTCAGTAGTACTCCGTCCGCAGAAATTGCTAAGCTTACAGCCCTCGCCATCAATCCCATCACTATTGCTTTTATGGAAGCACCGGTATGCCCTAATTGGCAGACAAACCGTCTCTCGCAAGCCGGATTCTACAAAACTCGATAGCTCGCGTAGCACAGTGTAGCCTCACTCATCAATAGAATCTGCCCTAATTAACTCATCCTAGCACGACACCATGGCAGTAGCTTAACCCAAAAGACAAAAGGCTCGACGCAACGGGAACAACCAACGCATCTATCTACATGACACAGGATAGATCAGAAGCTAAAAGCTCTTTAGTGACACTCGCTAGTCCCCACCGGTTCTAGTCGACCGTTGCACTCGGATAGCGGCAAGAGAGTTTACTATGCGAAGTTGGCAGATGTGATCTATCACAAGTCTTTCGTATTCCAGGTATTCAGTATTCCTTCCCCTCTCGTCTAGCGGGGAATAAGCAATTACCGTAAATATCAATGATGGTATTCGTCTTACTGTCCCGTATTACCCTAGGTCCTGCCAGACCCGATCCAACCATGCAGGAATGTTGATCGTGATCTCAATGGTCCCTCGGCTAGCTGCTCAAAATCATGCTAGCAAGAATTAGTCCCCCGATCTACGCGAAGAGCCAGGACAACAACTTCCCCTCTGCGAACTCATCGCCGTTTTTAATACCATGTACGTAAGAACTAAAAATTGGTGCCTCCTGTGTATCCACGCCCAGAACCATGCACGTTTCGTGGAATCTCCTACGCAAGGGAGGCAGACCTTTTATCCCTTTTGCAACGGCAGGGCAGTCGGCTTGTTCCGACCCCAGCTGAAACATGGACTGGAGGTATGCAGGCGGCGGGAAGGGAGGTTGAAGACTGAATTCCTCGGTTATGCACGCCTCGTGGTGCGGTTAGTTTGGTTTTTTTTTTTTTTTTTTTTTTTGGTTTTCGCGTGGCTGCTTGGTTGATGGTTTGCTCTGTACTTGAGTTGGGGTATGATTGGGTCACTAGAGGTTGGGGATTGACGTAGGTTAGTTGGTTTAATATGTAGTTTATGCCTGAGGTGCAGATGAGATATGTCATTGTGCAGGTTTGGGGGTGATACTGTGCTGGTAGTGTAGTGAGAGTGGTGGGTTTGTATGGATTAGATTATTCGGATATATGTAGTTTGCGGTTTAGTGATGATTCTACAATGCCCGGGAAGGATTAGCTTGCTAGATATGTATTTGTTTCGTCCTGAAGATAAGGTCGACATATCTCGGCACCACTGAGTCAGTCTCTTGATCCAGTATATATCTGAAAGTAACAATCAAAAATCTGCAAAGTCTGCGTATTACATAGTTATAGCACGTTATATGCGAATATTCTTGTAAATAATACAAGTCAGTCCTGAATAGTGTGCTTCTCCGCTATCAAGTACCATTGCGTGCCGAAAATATATAAGCAAAGGAAAGGGATGAGATGCATTATATCTAACACCTCAATATCTCTAACACTATTCATATTACCTTCGACATGAGTACTACTCCAAAGGAACAGCAAATAAAAATGGTCAATTTATATCAAAACTTGCGTGCGCTAAGGCCTTTGGACACACGGTGCTGCGGTTCGAGAGATGTTCCTCAGGACCGTCTTATCTTCCGTCTCCAAAGTTCAGTATGGCCAAGATGGCAACTGCGAGCTCAGATTTTAACCCAAACTATTCAAGTGTATTGCCGTTTATTTTATGTTCTTCCGATATTAATATCCACCCTCTAATGATCGTCCCAGGCTACCCCCGTGAAGAGCAGAAGGGGAGCCTGACAGGAAGATTAAGGATGAGGTGTAAGAGACTAGTGCTTTAGAGCAGTTGCAGCGGGTGATTAAAAAGTAATACAAGTTGGTTCCGCGTAGTTTAGGGCTCTCACTGAAAGCAGTTTAAAATGGTTCAAGAGTTGGGGGTGTGCGCACAGTATTCTACGATGAATTTCGAACCAGTAAAAGATTGAGAAAAAGAAACGAATCAAACTAACAAGGTGCTCTAAAAGTGGTGAGCAAGCTTAAAGGACAGCGTCTTCCGTAAGAAGATAGGTCTACCAATTCTGCTTCAGCTGCAAGAGGAACTGAAACTCCTCTTCCGCTGCCCTGCTTGCCTTGAATATGCCTGTTCTGCAACTCGTCGTAGTCATAGCACTGCTCTTCTGAACACCTCTCATAACCATACACATATGGACTGACTCTATCACGACAGCGACCCCTGGGGGCCGTAGAAGGTCCTCAATGGTCTGAGCGATCTGCTTCGTGAGACGCTCTTGGACTTGCAGTCTGCGCGCGTAGATCTCGGCAATTCGAGCCAACTTAGACAGCCCCAATACGCGGCCATTGGGGATGTATGCAATGTGAACCTATATCGTCTTGTCAGATAGTAATGGCCCACTAAATATATCGAAAAACAGGGGAAAGTGCATACCTTGCCTACAAATGGAATCAGTTGATGCTCACACATACTGAACACTTCAATACCGCGGACCAGGACCATCTCATTATGGTCTATATGGAAGATGGCATCTTTTCCGATGTCGTATGCACTCTCCCCATACCCTTTGGTGAAGAAGAACATGGCCTTAGCATACCGTTCAGGGGTTTTGAGAAGGCCCTCTCGATTGGGATCTTCTCCCATGTCCTCCAAGATGCTTCGTATGCTGGCGGCTATTCTAGCTTCTCGCGATATTTTTATGTGCCCATCGGGGCCTTGGGGAGAAACATTCATGGCCTCGTTTTAGCGGTTGGGATTACAGTGAAATCAGGATATACGTACCTGCTTTGCCATCATTGTCTGCACTTACACAGTGATTACCATTCATGGTAGTGATGGTATCCTCAATCACTGGCCTTTCTGACGATACAGCTCTCCTGGCGTCCTGAACAAGGCTAACGTGGAAACCTGATTCTGAGAGCGTCATGCTGTGTGATCTGACGGAGTTGGATTCAATTCTTCAGGAAGCGTGTGGCAGCTAGTGTACCCCAGTAAGGTTAGCGATATCACCGATATCTACTGAACAAAGCAAGCCAACGGAAAAGACTCTACCTACTCCAAAGTCCTTATAAGTCAGATTGGCTCAGCTGAGTAACATCATCCGGGGATAACTATGGGAAAAGATAAAGTTACTGAAGAAAGTAAGAGGGAAGACGGTGGTCTTATTTCTCTGAACGGCGAGTATGTCTGCTGAGCTACCATATCCATCTTATTCACTGAGTTCTTTGTTTCTTATTTCTTTGTATGCTATATTTACCATATTTCCATAGTTCCTGCCTATGACATAGGGCATGGTGGGGAAAGAATCCTGCTAAACATATTTGGAAGGCCAACCAGCTCCTCGAGCAGTAATCTTTGGACCTGAAGAGTCTTATACCAGATATGGCATGGTGGTTTTCACCCTGATTTTATGGCCCATGGCTTACCACTCCCAAAAGAGAAATTACTGCCCGGTGAGGTTTTCAGTACCAGAACAAGTATAGACCTGCCAGCGAGGGTCTCTGAAAGATATTGACATGGATCCATATTAAAACCGGGCACATATCAGGCTCCACACCGAACAATTTACATAGGAAGCGAGGGGCTATTAGTGGGGCAGAGTTATATCTCTATGGAAACAATTCACTTCCATACCCATATATTGGAAGATATCACTTCTACTTCACTGCGCTCTTTTGTTGCTGGACTTCCATCGTCTGCCGAGGATCAGCGACCTGCATTGCACCCCACCCCAAGAGTCTCACGTGGCATTGCACGTCGCATATAAGATATCACTGTGAGCTTCACATCAACCATCAGTTGCGCCATCCACATACTCGTACTGAACCGTCATGGCCACCCTAAACTCCCTAAAGGAGGCATTGAAGCAGAAAGCCACAGCAACGCCGTCCTCGAAACAGTCGTTGTCCGACACACAGTACAGCGCTGGCTTCGATATCTTGGCCCAGGGATCAGAATACCAAGACTTTATTATTCCTCAACTATCCCAGCTGCTAGATCCGCTCTTCAGCTCGCGGATCCGTATCTCGATGCTAGAGATTGGACCTGGCCCAAAGAGCGTGCTTGGATTTCTGCCCCGGGGTCTAAGACAGAAGATCAAGAGTTACGCTGCCTTCGAGCCTAACGACTTGTTTGCTACAAGGGTGCAAGAATGGCTTTGCCCTTCTTTGGAGACAGAGTCCCCGCTGCCCTGTCTGACAGGCCCACCCGACATCCATCGAATACCATTCGTTCTGAACAGCGACATAGGACGCGGTGGCAGTATCAGTACGAGTACTAGTGGTGAAAATTTGACCTTATCTTATTCTGTCATAGTATGTACGGCATGAAGCCCAAGGACAAGTTCATTGAACAGGCGCTGGACATGCTTGTTGAGCATCTGCAAGGCGGAATGGTGGTGGTTTTCCATCGCGAAGGGACCCTGCGTCTCAACGGATTAGCATACCATCGAACAGCTTGTTTCCCTACTGGGATTGTTCGCGTGATGGAGGACGACGAAGTACTGGATACCTTCGCTTCCTTCATCGCGGGGTTTGTCATGCAGGATACAGGCGGACAAGGCGATCCGAGTCGAGTGGCGTACGGTGTGCCGCGCCTTGTGATGTCGTGAAGAAGCTTATCCACACCATCTCCTATTTAGCTCTCCCAACGTCATGTCGGCCTTTACCAAACATGCGACCACGTTGCCGGAGTTGACGGCACGGGTGGCGTTGGTGAAAGATAAGACGGTTAAGAACCGGGAGGCTCGCCTCCACGGCCCTGCTTCAATTGTTAAGCCCACAGAGGTACGGCATGTTCAGTAGTGCGTTCAATGGGCTCTGAAGCACAATGTCAGTCTGACTGTCGTTGGCGGGGGTCACAGCGGCCACTGCCTATGGCCCAACGTCGTCTCGGTCGATATGAGCGCTTTTGACCAAATACACATTCTCTCGGCTGGGAAAGCTGGAGAGTCCAGTTCTGAATCCGATTCCTTGGTTATCGTTGAGACCGGCTGCAAACCGGGGGATATCGTCCGCAAAACCATGGCGGCTGGCCTAACCGTACCCCTGGGGGCCCGCCCAAGCGTAGGTGCCGGACTATGGCTACAGGGCGGCATTGGGCACCTGGCTAGGTTATATGGGCTCGCGTGCGACGCCATCATCGGTGCCGTGGTGGTCAGTGTCGACTCGAGCGAGGTCCTCTGCATCGGCCATGTACCAAGCCAACACCGCCCAACCGGTGCCGTGCGCCCAAAAAACGAACCTGATCTATTATGGGCAATGAAAGGTGCTGGGACCAACTTTGGCATCGTAGTAAGTGTTACCTTCAAGGCGTACGTGGCTCCGGTCCACTTAGTTCGAAGCTGGGTTATCCCGTTGAGTGACGACCTCGAGGCGCGTCGCAGACTGAGCGATTTTGATAATCTCATCGCCAGCAAGCTCCCACGCAACTGTTCTGCAGATGCGTATCTGTACTGGGAATATGATCAGCTGCATCTTGGCGTGACCATGTTCGAATCTTCCACGACTAGGCCTTATATCTGAAACATCCACGTCCACGCTCGCACCTGTGGACGCAGGCACAATCTTCGGGATCGAAGGCAATTTCGATATTGTGGACAGCGTCGGTTTGTTCGAGGCCGAGATGTACATGTCCCAGATGCACGGCGGACACGGCGGCTGCAAGACCTCTGCGTTCAAGCGATGTTTATTCTTAAAAGGTATCGGAGCAGTGGATGTCGCCAACACTTTAGCGACGGCCGTTAAGACTCGTCCTTCGCCATTCTGCTATGTCCATCTGCTTCACGGTGGTGGAGCGGTCAGTGATGTGGCGGCTGATGCCACTGCTTTCGGTTGTCGAGACTGGGATTTCGCCTGTGTGATAACTGGTGTCTGGCTGTGCGAGCAAGACGGCATCGAGATCGCCCAAGCTGCCGAGCGGTGGGTATACAACGTTGCCAGGGACTTGTTGCCCTTTAGCAGCGGGGTTTACAGCGCAGACCTTGGGCCGGATCCCAGAGACGCCATCCTGGCGGAAACGGCGTTTGGACCGAACTGGCCGCGCCTGGCCCGTCTCAAGCACTGTTCGGACCCGCATAACGTACTGGCTTACGCCTGTCCACTCCCCAAAGCGCCGGTTAGGCAGAGGCTCATCATTCTTGTCACGGGTGACAGCTGCGCCGGCAAGGACTATTGTGCCGATATCTGGGTCTCCACGTTCCTCGCTTACACCCATAAATCCCTCACGGCGCGTGTAGTCAGCATTAGCGATGGGACTAAACGAGAATACGCGACGGCCACTGGTGCTGACTTGAGCCGTCTGCTCTCGGATCGTGCCTACAAGGAGCAGCACCGGCCAGCATTGACGGCATTCTTCCAGGACCAGGTGCGCCATCGACCTCGGCTGCCAGAGGAGCATTTCCTGAGTGTAGTAGATAGCGCTGCAGATGTAGACGTGTTGCTAATCACCGGGATGCGAGATGAGGCGCCGGTAGCAGCCTTTTCGCATTTGGTGCTAGATGTCAGACTGCTCGAAGTCCGCGTTCAAGTTACCGAAGAGACGCGGCGGGCTCGCGGAGGGTGCCACGGCGGCGATGACGATGGTAACAACAAGAACAACGATAATGGCGGGTCGAATTTAACGGCCTTGGAGCACCGCCCCTGTCTCACCTTCCACAATGACACGACCGGAGACAAGGCGGCCAAAAGGTTTGCCGAACACTATCTGCTTCCCTTCTGCCACCAAGACCTGCAACGACTGGCCAACATGGTGCGCCAGGTACCCGACTTTCCACGCCCGGGCATCGAGTTCCGCAACGTGCTCGACATTTCCCAGCAGCCAGGCGGGCTGACTCTGTGCACATCTCTGCTACAGTCTCACTTTACCGGTGACTCGGCCAAAGTCGATGTAATGGCGTGTTGCGAGGTCGGCGGCTTCGTCTATGCATCGGCGCTAGCCTCACGGGTTGATATACCCTTGGCGTTGATTCGCGAAGCCGGTAAGCTTCCCCCACCCACCCTTTCAGTCGTCAAATCTCCATCGAATGTATCGTCTTCAGCATCCAACGGTTTGAAAGAGAAGAGCATCGAGATGGCTCGGGATTTGATCCCCGGGGGCGCGTCAGTGGTGGTGGTGGTAGACGATGTGCTTGCCACGGGGAACACACTGTGTGCGGTACTGCAGCTCTTAGATAAAGCTGGCATCAGTGCGGAAGATATTAGCGTCAGGGTCGTGGCCGAATTCCCTGTTCACCGTGGCCGGGACTTTTTGCGGTGGCGTGGCTTTGGGGGAGTCAAGATTCAAAGCCTTTTGGTCTTTGATGGTGCGTAGGAAAGGGAGGGAAGGTTAAATCCTAAGATATTCTCCGTCGTTCTTCTTTTAGGTTTGATATGTCCTGTAAATGAATTCTACATATGATAACAAATGTTTTGGGAGTCTGGTGGTTTGTGTTATCTTGTCATCTTGGATTTATTTCCCCTTCGCTTTTCTTGTACCTCCCCTTCGGCTCACAGACATAAGACTTTAATAGATTAGACAGGTCTTTGAGAATCGCATGAACAGTCTTCTGACATAAAAGTTACAGATATTGTTCCAGGAGAGTGGATACCAACGATAGTGACTGTAAATCCTCAAGGACTTACCTAAAGAGAATAATAGGCAGTAACGTACCGATTGAAGGCTCCTCTGCCGTCACTACCAGGGACTCGGATTTCTAGTTACACTCATCTTCTTTCCAAGTACCACTGACTGACTGGGAACCGGGCCAGGTATGCTCATTCACTACATCAGAAATATGGTCAGTTCGTCGTCATTGCCAGGAAATAATTTGCACACATACAACAAAACTGAGTAGGGTGCTGTAACTTCAGGCGTGGTCGTCTGGTTGAGTCCAAATGAGGTCGATATTAGTGAGTATGCTGCTTCAAAGGAGGTTACTTGTGAGTATAAGGTTAATCTAAATCTCAGCCAATCCCTTTGTCTATATAACCCAGAAAATAATCATCAATGATCTAAAAGTGAGTGTAAGATAAAAATAGCTTAAGAACTGGAACTCGGGTCTTGGTGCCATCTGTGCGCAGGCGCTAACAAGGCACCCGTTCCTGGCTATATCAAACAGTGGATCCAGGCTCCGCAACTCTCAACCCAGTGAGCGCCAAAGTTGATTATCCTCTGGTGCCCTGCGTAGGGCAGTCCTCACTTTCATTATCCTTTCTTTTTCTTACTATCCAGTCATTATGGTAGGACCACCTCCTTCAGGCATTACATGGCTCGATGACGACAAATGGATAGGACGCGAGATAGCATTTGGTGAACCCATTCCATCAAAATGGAGGATTGTTCGAAAAGTCCATGAACGCGAGATCGTGCACACTGAATGGGAAGGGCAGCGGTTGGACTTCAGGGCTGAAGGACGTGGTGTTTTCCTTTGCACCAATGCCGACGGTAAAGAGGCCGTAGTTAAAGTTCGGTTCCAGTAGGTTCTTTTCGTATCTCTATGCACATGTGTTTTACTTAGTATACCGCGCCTAACACTTGACATAGAATCCCATTCATGGGGACATATTCTAGCTCCTCTGAAGAGAGAGCAAAACAAGCCAGACACGATATGGGCGAAAAGACTCTGTTTGAAATTGATGCTCTACGGTGTCTAACGTAAGTAGGCTGTTCATCAAGCCCAGCTTTGCTCGGGTGGACGCGCGAAACCCAAAGCAATACCGACTGGGTCCCCGGGGGATATATCGAATATATCCTAATGGAGCGGGTGCCAGGGGTCAGACCGCCCGCTTATTGGCACCCAATGGATCAAGAGGAGAGGGATCGGCTTTTAAAAGCATTCAAGGAGGCATATATGTGAGTTTCTGGTGGTTCTACTTGCTTGTACAGTGGTATCTTATACATTTTTGCAGTGAGTGTATGGCTTGTGGCAGAGTACATTTGGACGAGGGAGAACGAAACCTCATTTGGGATAATAGAGCCGGGAAGTGGTAAGTAGACAGTCTTCTCCATTATGTAATTCGTGCAGCTTGCTTATGGTGTCTATTCATTAGCTACATTGTTGATTGGGAAGATGCGTTGGAGACTACTCCCAAGGATTCCTGGCACGATAGGAAGTACAAGCAATATCTCCTGAAATGGGACTGACGCCGGAATAAAGCCTGGTAGGCGCTTTAATAGCTTGGCTAGGGCCTAGGCTCTCTTATGTCCATCCTTGCTCCAGTGATGCATGAGGTTCTAGATGATCATATAGTACTGTTGCTCAAACGATGCATCTAACTTTTAGATACCTATTAAGTATTATACTATTTGTAGAGATGATGAGCGCTTGAAAGGTTTGTGACCCATAAGGCCAAAGATGCTGCTTGGTCAACCTTATTGAGAAGACCACGCATCATCAGGATTCACCGTCTGCTAAGACCTGAATAAAAGTAAGTATGAACTTAGAAAAGAGCAAGGATACTGCTTCTCTCCTGCCGCACACTCTTCTTTACCCATAAGTTTGAAACCTCCCACGCTAGCATGTTAAGCCCCATCTTTGTTCGTTGATATTGTCCGACTCGCCATTTGATATACGATATATACAACTATTTTCTATCCTTGCTGCTTATTCCTATACCCGCGCGTCAGTTTCACGACATGAATGTATGGTCAGCAATATACCCGAGTCATTCGACGACCTTCGTTAATCGTGTCAAGTAGCTTGTCCGTGGCAGACTCTGAGGGATGATCGACTCAAGACTTCAACTGCCGGTTTTGATACAGTGATTTTCCAGAGTCCAACTGAATATATGCCTCTTGGCTACGCTAACTAAGGCTCCATTTTATCTGCTCATGGTACCTTAACTGCATGCCACTTTGAAACGCCCGTAGGCATCGGACACTGCGAAAAGAACTAACCATACTAATGCAGAAGCTTATTTCTTGACATGCTCTTGGCCGGTACCGGCTTCTTGGACTGCACCAGACCTTGACACGTTCTGAGGCGAGAGCCACTCATCTTGGCGTCCCATTTAGAGACTACTCATGGAATAATAAACTTTGTCGGAATAGTTCCTACTTGGGTACTGAACTGCAACTGGAGGATGTAGAAGAGACATCGAATCTCGCATGTTTGAGGATAGCTTTGACCTCGTGTGTGGAATGCTAGTAGTATCTGAGGTACGGTTATGAAGAATGTGTATCAGGAACAGAGACCTTATACCTGATATAGTAATGCCATTCAACAACTCCCTGAGGAACCGCCAGGGAGCAACAGTCACTCCCTCAGATATAGGAAGAAATTACCATATATACTTCAGCTAGTTCAAAGTCATTCTCTGGCATACGTATGTACGTAGATAGCGAGGTAGTAGAGCAGAGTAATAAAAAATACCGAGAACTATCACCCCCTAATATTGACCCTATACAGCGGAAGAAGCCTTCCATACTACCTTAATGACCCGTTTCTGAATACCGAGGACTAAAAAAACTAAAAACTACTAAGACCAGAATAGCTAGGATCTGCTCTGGTAGAGCCCTGGTTCGCTACATCCCTAGAGCTTGTGTATTTCGTCAAACGATATCCTTAATCAAAGTTTCCCAAATTGACACCAAGAAAGCATAGTGACGGAATTGCCAGTCGGGAGTGCCTCAAATTGACCACTGACGCATTTGTACCTTTCTGCAAATATATTTCTGTATTAGGTAGTCATTTTAAAATATTTAGACAGGAAACAAGCTGATTGACGTGCCTTGTGTTGACTCCTTATCTGTGAAAAGGACTTGAGCTAAAATTGCCACATTCAGTACCTTGGCTGGTCTTCCTGATGTGGTTCGGGCAAGTCCTAACAGTAGGGGGCAAAGACATGGAGTATATCGTCTGGGGACAGTAACCTTAATCCCAAAATCGGGAGCCCTCCACTGCAACAATCTACCCGACTCGCAAGTCGGGCGGATATTACGCCGCAAGGTTAATCAAGTAGTATATCAAGTGGGTAGTGCTTGCGAGATCCTCGCCCCACACGATTCGCAAGATCCACTCCGTCGCAGCTGGTGAACGGTTGGAAACTTAAATCACCACTAAGAGTCTTTTGCTATATTGTCTCCTAGAGTTTTAGAGACGGTCCAATGTATCATTTTCTTAGCTGAAGCCGAGGTGATGATTTAGTGATCAACCGAGCGAGCACTCAAGGTTCATAAGCTATTGGACAGACAATGTAAAAGCCGCTGCATCCCTTCTAAAAACAAGAGAAGGGGGAAGGAGAAAATATTCTAACTCTAAATATGGCCACCGCAGGGATTGAACGTCGTGTGGATATCAAAATTGCTTCATCCTCAGAGGATCTTTATGTGTGGATGGCTTTACTCGTCTCAGACGTTCACCGCATCGAACCCCGGGCCAGCCATCGTCTTAGCCCACGGCCTGGGTGGAACGAAAGAACTTAAGCTCGACGTATATGCCGACAGGTTCAATCAGATGGGATACACATATGTCGTCTTCGACTATCGTTGCAGCGGTGGATCGGAGGGTCTGCCAAGAGGTCTGATTGACTGGCATCAGCAGCAAGAAGACTGGAAATCTGCCATCAAGTATACGCGTCAGCTGGAGAATGTCGATCCAAACCAAGTCGGCCTTTTTGGAACATCTTTCAGTGGGGGCCATGTCATCCAGCTGGCCGCTACTGATAAAAAAATCAAAGCAGTCATCTCCCAATGTCCCTTTACTTCTGGCTGGCAGAGTACTCTTTGTACAGGGATTGCAGCCGCTCCGAGGCTGGTAGGGCTTGGTCTTTTGGACGTTCTTTTTGGCTCAGACGAAAAGCCAATAACTGTACCACTGATCGGGAAGCCAGGTGAGGGTAAGTGAAGACCGCTTATTCTCGGACAAATGAAACCAAAGAAGCTAAAACCTACTATAGCGGCTCTGATGAATGCTGCAGACGTGCTCAGTACCTTTCCAAAACTTATCCCAGAAGGTCATCCGTTTCAGGAAAGAGTCCCTGCCCGTCTGGCTTTAAAGATTTCTCTCTTGAGACCTGGCTCTTACGCATCTAAGGTTGAATGTCCAATCTTTTTTGGTATATGTAGTACAGACTCAGTTGCACCTGCAGGCACAACCTTGGCATATGCGAAAACAGCACCCAAAGGAGTGATCAAGTGGTATGACATGGGTCATTTTGAAATCTACTATGGTCAATCATTCGAGCAAGCTATGCAAGACTATAAGCAGTTTCTCCAAGACTCTTTGCCAATTAAGGGTTAGGGAGAGACATAGCCGAACAAACCATACCTTGGAAAGGGATATTTTGTGGGAGTATTGGTAAACATGATATAGTCGCTTCGTACAATTGATGCGGACTACCGCGACTTATATAACACCATCTTCTTTTCCAGTATTCTGATCCATAATACATAGGCACTTGGAGTTCCTGGCGATTGTGTTGGTCTTGACACGATGCCTGAGGCAGAGTATTGATATAGGCCTCCAGAGGAGGGCCCTATAAGATATCAGTGTATTATAATCTCTGCATCCAAGGACTTGGTTTTTCCTAATCCGGTACACATTGTATTTGCTTCTTTGACTTTACATTTTGCTTTCTTAGAGTTAATGGAAGAGAGGGCTCTTAGGGCTAATGTACGGTGGAGATGCAAGTACTGAAGAGGTGGTGAACTGTAGATGAATTTATTGCCAGCTCTCTCTCGGTTATCAAAATCACGAACCGATGAAGAAATGTACCCCATCCAGATCAATGAGTGTATTGGATTTTGTATAATTTGTATACTATTCTCGTGGTCACTGATGATCTATAATGGCCTCCCCTGATTGGCCAGTCGGCTCCCGCACACGTCTTCCCGCGTCTTTCCACTTGGATGACAATCTTGAGTTATCGACTTGACCTCCACGCATATGGATCTTTTATCAGTCCTCCCGGACTTCCATACCAAACCGTACGCGCATATACTTCCGCCTTTGGAGAGAAGCAAGATAACCACGGTTGATCTCATCACTCTCGATACGCTTGAGATCGCGAAACGCGCCCACGTGCCTCCAGCCGATGTTCGTCGGTTGTGCGCCAGCGTCATCAAGGCGCTCCATCATGATATCGGATTTGAAGATATCGATCAGCCCGCGTCTGCCGAGCCGAGCTCCAGTATCAATGATGACCTGCCGATTACCCTGGGACCCACGACAAAGCTAGACCTGTCGCAATGGAGCGCGATCAGCACTCTCGACACCGCATTAGATGAGCTGTTGGGCGGCGGGGTACCAACTAGCTATGTGACGGAGGTGACTGGCGAGAGGTACGTGCGTCCATCTACATGAGCGGTAGCTTCTGGGAGTTGGACTGACCAATCTCGCAATCGTCAGTGGGAGTGGTAAGACACAATTTCTCCTCACTCTGTTGTTGGCCGTCCAGCTTCCTTCACCTCGGGGTCTGGGGAAGAATGCCGTCTACATCTCTACAGAGGCCCCCTTGTCGACGCCACGACTCTCCCAGCTCGTTTCTTCCCACCCGTACCTCTCGACCCTGCCTCGCGATCGTGCCCCGACGTTGGAGAATATCCTATCCATCAATGCCATGGACCTCGAGTCCCAAGACCACATCCTCAACTATCAGCTCCCCGTCGCGATTCAACGCTACAACATCGGACTCGTTGTCATCGATTCTATCACCTCCAACTACAGAGCAGAGCATACCGCACACAATATGCTAGGCCTCTCGACTCGATCGGGGGAACTCACCAAGCTGGGACAAATGCTACGCAATCTGGCGGTACAGGAGGACATCGCAATTGTGGTCGCGAACCAAGTCTCCGATCGATTCGATGCCATGGACGGTCCTTCAGGATTCCCAAGGATAGGAGGTTTTGTACCTGGCAACGGATCCCCTTCTACTCAACCACAACAACTGCAATCCGCTCGCGAGCCAGGCACCGCGTCCCCCTTACCAAGGGTCCGGGCAACCGAGTCCGGCAACGTCGAACTATCCCAACATAACGCTATGCCTCCATCTTCTCCCTCTCCCTTCCCATCTTCACCGTATGCCGCCGAAGAAGACCCGCAACAGCAACCTTTCGACGGCTCATACCTGGTGGGAAACCCGGTGCGCAGTGAGATCCTCAGCCTGCTACACCAACAGCGGTTCTTTACCGGATGGGGCGACTCGCCGCAGTCATTCCCCCCTAGTTCATTCCCAGGCTTCCAGAGACCGTCGCAGAAGACACCAGCCCTCGGCCTCGTGTGGTCGACGCAGATCGCCTGTCGAATAGCCCTAAAGAAAGAGCGACAAACGGCCATAGATCCCCTTCTTCCAGAGAGTACCCCTGCCCCATCAACAGCCAAAGTACACCCGGAACCGGAGGCACCCGATTCCCCCGCCGAGCGAGAACAGCCCCAGTCAGATCCCCCAGCAGAGACTGTCGCGGAGGAAAAAGACGCGGAGGAAAAAGACGCGGAGGAAAAAGACGCTGAAGCCGAAGCTAGTCCCGAGACTGTTTCTGTTCCTGTCCCTGCTCCAGTCTCTGAGAACAAACCGAGTAGCTCGCAGCTACCACCCTCCTCGCCCCAGCCGCCCGAGCGTCCTGTCCGGCGTACTATGAAACTCGTCTTTGCGCCCTGGACCGGAGGGTCGGTGAACGAGCAAAACGAAACCCAAGACGAAGTCAGCTTTACGATCTGGAAAGGTGGATTAAAGAGCTGTGAATAGAGTTAGGCTTCCTTCTCCTTTCTGCTATATACCCTCATTATGCCACCCTCCCCCCTGGTCTAATACTCCGTAAGATGTAAATTTAAGGTACGGAGTGGAGTACACGAACGGAATACAGTACAGTACATATAAAGCTCAAGCTTTTAGTATGTTTCTGCCTAGGTCACTGCAGAACTTAGGCTATGGGGCTCATTTTTAGTGCCTTCATCGGCGGGTCGCGGAAGCTAAAATTCCCCGCAGTTCCAGAAATCTTAAACCGTTGCTTTTCCTCTCTCACTCTTATTCTCATTCTTCGACATCCTGGCTTACGTTGCACACTATCCGGATCCATATTCAGAGATTTACTTCGCATATATTCGATAAACGGTCTAGATATTTAAGTCTATGGGCAGAAATTGACCCAGCAGCTTGTAACGAGTTGTTCGTGTCTAAACAGTGACGATGGAGATGAACTTTTTTGTTTGACGGAGGTCATGGATGAGAAACCAAAGGCTCTTTCGCTGGAAAAATGACAAAAGTATTTGTCGTGAAGGATAACAGAGATGGTCTAGGTCGAACATACACCCAAAAAACAGACGCCCCAGATTAATCGCAATTAAAGCAAAAGCTCAACCATGAGTTTCCCCCAGATCTCATGCCCCATATACGCCTTCAAGTTGATCGATTAACTCGCAGCTGCTCTATGACGTGACGTGACGAGTGTCCAAATCGTGATCACTCGATCCTGCGAGCACCACACAGGAAATTTCAAAATAAACTCGTTCTATATCGACAAACACATAATCTATTTGGAAAGCTTGGCCGGAGGAACTCCGACGCCGTTGGTATTACGGTAGAAGAGCACACCTTCGCCCTCGCCCTTGGCACCCTCGGTCGGCTCGACCCAGTGGCAGACACGGGCGCTGGTCCAGAGAGCCTTGAAGAATCCAGTCCAGCCAGTGTGGGCCTCCGTGCGGTAGTGCGAGCCCATGACCTTCTTGATGGCCTCGCTGGCCTCGTCGGCGTGGTAGAAGGGGATGGTGCTGACGTAGTGGTGAAGGACGTGGGTCTCAATGATACCGTGCAAGATGTTACGGCCGACAAAGCCGAAGTCACGGTCAATGGTGGCAGCGGCTCCACGGGCGAAGTTCCACACCTCGGGCTGGTAGTGAGGAAGAGTGGGGTCGGTATGCTGGAGGTAAGTGATGGCGACTGTTGGCAACTGTTAGCACATGTCTCGCTAGGTCATGAAAGTTTCGAGAGAAATCTTACCCAGCCAGTGGTTCACCCAGAGGTAAGGAATTCCATACCACACCAGGAGGTTGAGCCAGCCATAGGTGGAACCAATGTAATAGAGGACGGATCCGGTGATGGCGAGACCCAGGTCACTCAGGACAATCAGCTTAGCATCCTTGGCCTCGTACAGAGGGCTGCTAGGGTTGAAGTGGTTGACACCGCCGAAGTAGCCGTTGCGCTTTCCCTTTCCACGACCCTCGGGCTGGCGCTCGTGGTTGTTGTGACCGGTAACGTTGGTGATCAGGTACATGGGCCATCCGAAGAGCTGCTGGAGAATGAGGTTGAGTACAGTGGCGATAGGAGTTTCCTCCATCAATTCGTTCAATTCGTGAATGGTCTTGCCGACGCGGGAGGCATACTCATCGCGGGTCTTGGGGACGAACACCATGTCACGGGCGATATTACCAGTGGCCTTGTGGTGCTTGCCGTGGGAGATCTTCCAGGAGAAATAGGGTACCAGCAGGGCGGAGTGGCAGATCCAGCCAACAGTGTCGTTGAGAACCTTGGAGGTGGAGAAAGCCTGGTGACCGCACTCGTGGGCCAAAACCCAGACACCAGTAGCAATCAAACCCTGGACGATGGTGTAGATGGTCCACAGAGCAACGCGAGCCGGGAGAGAGGGAACGGTCTCCGGGGTGACATAGTTGTGGAAGACATAGAAGATGGATCCCAACATGGCTACATCACGGAAGACATAGTACAAGCTGGTGAGAGCTTTCCGCTCGTAGCAGTGAGCAGGAATGGCGTCACGGATCTGCTTGATGGTGTAGTCGGGGATCTTGAACTCATTTCCATACGTGTCCAACATCTTGCCCTTGTTCTCGGACTCGGACGCAAGCGACGAAAGGGAAGTCGAGGACGGCGAATGACGAGGACTGTCAAACGGAGATACCGACACACTGGGGACGGAGGAATCCGTGCCCGGGTTGCGGTTCAGCGCCATGCGCTTAGGGATAGCTGTGGAAGACATTGTGGTTGTCGTCTGGAGTATCCAACGAGGGGTCCCGGGGTTGCTTTCTCTGATGGTTCTTTGTCAGTACATCGCACATTGTACATGGGCACATGGTCGCAACCAATGGAGGGAAGGGATGTGCTTCTGCAGGCAAAAGCTATGCTGTGGACATACCAATGGCTCACTCCAAGGGGTTGGAGGTTACACGATATCAAAGGATCCTGAAGGATGAGAGCTCCCTGGCAGCTGATATAGGAACGAGTGGGTATGGGGTGATGTTCAGCACCACTCCGGAATTGCCCAGGCCGGGATTGAGGAGGGGAGGGTAAGATATTAGACGAGCTGAAGAAAGCTGAACAGAGGCAACAAAAAAGAAGAAAAGAGAAAAAAAAAAACTTCAGACGTTAAGAATCAGCTGAAGGACATCGGCCCGGGGAAAAGGCGTGGAAGGGAAGGAAAGGAAGGAAGGCCGCCCCAAGCAAAGAAAAAAAAAAATTACAGACCAATGGCGATTGATTGGAAAAAACCCAAATGGGCAAAAAAGGAAAGGAAAAAAAAAAATCACCATAAGGTAAGGCACCCGAGTGGAAAGGAACCAAGCATTGTTCTGGATGGCGGTCCCTTTCCATCTGGTAATTCTCGTCCTTTGGGGAGATCGACGCCGTATGGAGCCGTGCAGGAGAGGGTAATTTTGTGTACCGTTGGGGTTCCATGATTGGCCAGGACTCCTGGGTTTTGTTACCCGTGGTGGTATTTGGGAATACTGATCTGAAGTTTGCTGCCAGCATCCTGTCTTCAATTCGCCTCCAGACTCCTGAGCCTGTACAACCAAGACTCGATCGACTGGCAATTAGCCTGTTTCCTGACATCCTCCCCTCCGTTACTCACGCTGCCGAGGGTCAGGCACATCAGGCGCATGGTTCAGCTACGGCTAACTTCTCGTCCTGCATGCATATGAACGCGAGTTTCCACCCACGGTGACGAATGGCCGCTCAGGACACCTACATCGCCCAAATGTTTGCTCGGCAGGGCTAGCTGAGAGTATCTCTCATCATTTCTACTAGTCAACTGGTCCAGTTTGACAACGACTCGAGCATCTGCAATCGTCCATCGAGCACTGGTCATGAGAAAGCCACCCCTAGAATAGACCATTATTTGCTTATCGTGATCGATAACATGAATTCGGGAGTATGTGGCGTTATCCTTTGCGGATTGAAAAATACACAGCGGGGAGTATTCCCATTACGTGGCGATTGCCAGGGACACCAAAGAAGCTGGGGAGCGCTTACCGCCTTCTCCTGTCTGCATGCCATCGGATCCACTTCAACTGCAATCGCTCTTGGCTTCTCAACAATCCTCGTCCGATCATCAGTCCACTTGTCTCGCTGGTGTTCGTTCCTAGCCAAATTAACCTTTTAGAGTTACTAAGGCAGGCAAGTCGAGACGCTGTCAGCCCGAGGTATCATGTGCAATGGGCAATTGCCCCCTCGCTGATTGGCACCACCGTTCATGGCCGGTGGAGGTCGGAGATGACTCGGATCTTAGGTCGTCGACAGGTGTGGAGGTCCAAATGGATCTCATTACCTACCTTATTCCATCATGACTCGCCTCACATCCTCCACGAGTTTATTGGGATGGGATTGATGTCGAAGAGCATAGAGGCGACAGTTGCCATCATGACCACATCGATCTCAAACGTAAAGCATAACCTCCTCCATTGGCGAGCAAGAAAGCCGCCATGTGATGAACTCAATCCCCCGAGATAAAAGCCAAATCGAGAATTCTCAAACTCTCCCCGAAGTCAATGCGAGGGAAGTGTATATCAACTACGTTTCATGTTTCATCCCGGACTAGATGAAAGTCCATATCATTATATACTTCAACGTGGAACTATACACTCACCAACATACATACACCTACCGTACCTGTAGAACCACGAAGCCCTACCCCTCAAGATACCTAGGTACAAAGCACCCAGTATCCTACATCACACCAAGTACACATATATACACACATCCATACATACATATACCACCATCTACTCCAACACCGAAACCCAAAATCCAAAGACAATATCAAACAAAAGCGCCAAAACAATCAAGATAAGCTCTGAGAATGACAATGACACTGATCAACTGTAGATAGATAATCCCTGATTGGCAGAATCGATGTGATCCTGGTGATTGGACTAGTCCGTACCAGGTAGGTAGTAGTTGTTCCTTACTTTTACGAAGTACAACTTTGTTTTCTCTTCCACATGTGATTCTGACCCCTCTCGTGTCTTCTATTTCTTTTACTTTCATATAAAGGAGGTAATTTATTTATCTCTTTCTTGGGTATTATCATCGAGGTAGGAATACCTTAACAAACACCCAAACAAATAGATAGATAAATTAGCAACAAAGAAACAACAAGTGTAAAAATAAAATGCCCTACAAAAAACATAAAACCAAACAAAACAACAAAAAAAACCACTCAAAAGAACACAAAAAAAAAAGAACCGAGTAGAAAATGACTGTGGCTAGTAAACTGTAAGGATCATGACTGTTCTGTTGGGGGAGACGCCAATTTTTGTTGAGGTTGGATCGGGTGGGGCTCTGAAAGGATTGTCGGTCGGCGCTAGAACGTCTTGAGAAGTCAGAGAGGGAAATTCGAAGTCGCTGGCCACTGGATGAGCCACTGCGGTATTTTGAATTTGCCTTTTCTTTTCTCTTTTCTTTTTTTTTTTTTTTTTTTTTTTTTTTTTTTTTTTTTTTTTTTTTTTTTTTTTTTTTTTTTTTTTTTTTTTTTTTTTTTTTTGGTATGGGGCTAGACCTTTTTGGGTGCCT